CTTCCTGGCCTGGAGAGTTCCGATTGGATTCTTCTTGCCATGACTGCGTGATGTGGGGGTCACAATCGGAGGGTAAAAAGCCAATCGATGGTGTTGCTGGTTGTGTGGTGGATGCTCACCAGGGGTCACGACGTGAGCCAGATCACGCTGGCGCTGGGCAGCGCGGCGTCGTACCCGCGTGCGTGCCAGGCGCTGGGAGCCATGCTCTCCAAGGGCGCTCTCAATCCGGCCGACATCACCGTCCTCTACAAGATGTTCACCAGCTTGGACCCGCCTCCTGTCGAGCTGGTACCACTTGCATGAAAGACAAAGATCTCCCATATTGCCTTTAACAGACTGTGGGGGCAAGTGCCGTTAGCGAGCGCCTATTAAGGCCAGCACGGCACACAAGGGAGTGGGTGGCCACCACGACGCGCCGCTTTTGTCTCCCTAGTGGCGATGTTTACACATCGGACCAGGTACTCATTTGAGGCTGAATCAACCTCGAGGAGAACCAGGACTGGTTCAAATAATCATTGTCACTGGTGTTGGCCGCGAGCTGGAATCGAGCTCAGGTCGTCGGGTTTTGTAGCGCAGCGCACCCCAAGCGCGACACTACTTGTCCCTACACACGCAACAAATACATTCACACGTACACATACACACACCTCCCCATATTTACACACAGACACCAGCACATACCTTTTATAGGTTTTGCCACCACCCGGTAATTTCTGTGGACTATTATGGAAGCTGAGAGGCACCTTAAAAATATGGACATTTGGCAATTTAGAATAATTGTGTATCATTTTTATAGCCCACGTTGTGAATCAAGGATCTGGATGGACTCTCTCGCATGTTTCTGGGCATCAAACGCAATTGAGTGCAGTCATCAGAGACTGGTGGAGGGTGGGCGGAGAACTTTTATCGTCTAACCGAATTTATTTTAAAAAATCCCACCTTTTATTCCAATTGCTCTCGGTATCGTCTTGCGGTGAGACACGTTTGTTGGAACTCTCGCAGAGCACCGCGTCGCACTCCATGTTGGAGAAACAGTTCTTAGGAGGAGATATCGTAGAACTTGCCTCCTGGGATTCTCTCATGTGACCTTCTCATTCCGCATGCTAGGGGTCAGCTTTGCCCCACACACCTTGCTGCAGAGAAATTTTGAACGACAGTCAAACTGAGATTTTATTTAACTCTCGGAGAAGGAATTTTCCAAATTAAGCAAAAACCTAAATTGAATGTGGTCACGGATTTTTGTGCAGTCATTGGTTACCAAGCTAACACCATCGACTCGTTACACTTGAAAACCCAGTTTAATCGCAACTCAATCTGCGCAAATCCATGGGTCTCCGTGAGTCTGCGGGTCTCTATGCGAATCATGCCAATCATACACCTCGGACTCCAGTTTAACGATAGTTGAGCAGCTCAAACTCGGATTCAAACTCAAGTTATCAGCGGAGTCGGTTCAGCGTCTTTGACCCCTCTGGGCCCCCCAGCGACCGCGTGCCACGTGGTCTGAGTGGGGGCCAGTGCTCGAGGCGTTGTGACTGAGCACGACTTCACCGGTGGGCGTGCAGGTGCGCGTGCCGGCCTTCATGGACCTCTTCATGCAGGCCCTCTTCAAGCCAGGGGCCAAAGTGAACCCCGACCACAAGCACAAGTACATCTATATCCTCGCGTATGCCGCCAGTGTCATCGAGAGCTGGAAGAAGGTCTGCGTCGCCCGCACCGCGCACGCGCACAGAAACGCTACTCGCTGGGCATGTGACTAGGATTGCCCTTAATTACAATTTTATATGCCACGATGTCGAATTATCACTATATAAGATTCCCAAAAGTTGTACAGTAATTGTATTTAGAATTTTTATCTTGGTGGGCTTGTGTGCTGGTGGGAGTGGCGTACACGGATAGCGGTCGTATTGAAATGTGTTGTGCAGGAGGTGGTGGTGTTGGTATTGGGGTGCGGTGGCCGTGGTGTATACTGATAGTGCGTTGCTGGTGGTGGTGGTAATACTGCGCGCGCTGTGCCGACGTCGATGCGCGTGCTGCAGAACAAGCGCGTGAACATAAACAAAGACGAGCTGAAGTCAACCTCCAAGGCCATCGAGACGATGCACACGCTCTGCTGCAACGAGAACAAGGGCGCCTCGGAGCTGGTGGCCGAGTTGGCCACCCTGTACCAGTGCATACGGTGAGACGCTGTGCGTGTGCCTCCACTGGGCTTGGGGGTAACAATACACGGAGCAAACGGTGGTTTCTAGACAGCAGAAGGGACGATTGTCACAATTAGATTGGTCCTTCCATTATGCGTTGCATGTCACGTGCAGTACGGTGTTGTCGAGAAGTCACCTTTTGCATGGATTATTAATCCCATTACCTGTTTATAGCCTCCACACACACACTCATAATTTACAGCAGACAAATAACTGGGGTGCGTCAATGTGTGGTGATCTCAGGGTGTGGAGTGGTAGTGTCGTGAATACAATTTAGGATCGGTTCAGAGCGCACTGCCTCTGCATCGGGCCCCTCGGTCCACGGCGACCCTTGACCCCGCGCATGACTGCGGTGCGGCGTGCGTGCGGCGTGCCCCCAGGTTCCCCGTGGTGGCTATGGGCGTGCTGCACTGGGTGGACTGGACAGTGAGCGAGGCCAGCTACTTCAAGCTGCAGACCGACCACACGCCCCTGCACCTGGCCCTGCTGGACGAGGTCGGCCCTCCTCCCGGCCCATGATCCCTTGCGCCGCGCGTGCCGGGACAATCTCGATATTCACAAATGCTTCGTGGGAGACACAAGGACGGCCTTCCTGAAACCACCATGACGTTTGGTAGCTTTACCCCCAATGCCTTATACGTGCACCTCCCCTTGCGTCCGTGCGTGCACGCAGATCAGCACGTGCCACCAGCTCATGCACCCGCTGGTGCTGCTACTGCTGGTGAAGCTGTTTGAGACGGAGCACTCGCAGCTTGACGTCATGGAGCAGGTGAACGCCGCAACGCAGTCCGAGCGCCCCCCAAGCGCACCGCGGGACTTGAACCGTAGTTCAAGCTCAAACTCAATGGGGCAGCTCTCTCCTGCGCCTTTAGTTTTCTCCTTCCTGGCTTTCTTCCAACTTATGGGGTCTTCTTTCCCCGGTCCCTTTTCTCCATTCCTTTCATGTCCATGTCCAATCCACAGTCCTTCACAGGCTGGCCCCTTTAACTTTGAGCCACATCTTTCATGGCCTCATTCTCTGCACCGGTGCTTCCAATCTCGTCAAGAGCAAATGTGTTGCCTTCTTTTTTAAGCCCTTATGTTAAGCCACTGCCAGACGTGGGCCTCCCCACACCATGTGAATCTTATGTAACCATACCTTGCTGCACTGGCTAGTGTGAGTTGGTCTCGGCAGGGAGCATAGATGAGAACAGAGGTACAGTACAATAGATGTTGCACCACTGCTCTTTGCTGCCCTAATCCCCATTGCCAATGACACCTGCCGCGCATGGCTGTAGCTCACTCAAAGACTATCCAGTTTCAACCCTGCTTAGCTTCAAAGATCTGGCAATTGGGCACATTCCACATCAGAGGTGGTTATGCAATAGCCTAGGTTAAGCTCTGCAGTTCCATTGCTTACATTTTGCAACATAGTTGCATGGTACCGAGCTAGTAAACTCAAGCATTGCTCATGTCGGTGTAATAAACGATAGTCAGGGAATGCGGGCCTGAAAGTCTCCTATTAACTTGGCGACCAGTTCCTGGGAAGCCCAGCAGATGATCTAGGCGAGGAAAGGTGCCTGCTCGGCCTATTAAAAAATTATACATCGAGGCACCGTAGAGATTATGGTGAACTAATGCTAATAATGGTGTGTGCCTGTGCAGCTGGAGCTGAAGAAGACGCTGCTGGACCGCATGGTGCACCTGCTGAGCCGCGGCTACGTGCTGCCCGTCGTGGCCTACATGCGCAAATGCCTGGAGCGGCAGGACACGGACATCTCGCTCATACGGCACTTCGTCACCGAGGCGAGGCCCAGCTTGGCCTCGTGCCCAACAACTACCGGCAATATGGGGTCGAGAGGGCCTCGCGGTGACCACAAGTGGCCGAGCACGCTAAAATTATAAAGTGTTGCTATACCATTGAACCTCATTTGCCAGTAACAAAATGATAATTGGTTTTTTACCCTTTTATCTGGCAACAAAACTGACACCTTTTTTACAAGGAGTCATGTTTGCATTGACCACAATACCTGCAGTCGGAATGCAAACAAAAAACACAACTCTGATGATGTATGCACTGTCCTTGAAATTGGACACATGGTGTTGGACCAGATGACGTCATCTGGTCCAACACTATGTGAGACTAGGCTCCAAAGAAAGCTGTCTCGGGTGTGGACCAATCAATTTCAAAGACCGTGCATACATTATCAGAGTTGTGTTTTTGTTTGCATTCCGACTGCAGATATTGTGGTCAATGCAAACATGACTCTTTGTAAAAAAGGTGTCAGTTTTGTTGCCAGATAAAAGGGTAAAAAAACAATTATCAAGTGTTGCTATGTTGACAATATTCCTTTCTAGTACCCGTTTAGGGTGGCCGAGATGCTTGCAGTGATGGAGAAAGATCGTTTGTGTGCTGGTTTGAAGTGGTGGGCCTCGTGTGGCTGTTCCCTTCCGCTGGTGCGGACTAATGCTGAGTGCGATGACAATCCTCTGTTCCCGTGCCTCCAATCCACCGCGTGCGCTTTTTTCTGAGCGGTCGCGCCTTGTGTTGCCCATGTGCGGCGCGTCAATGCACTTTACCGTGTTAATGTGTCGACCGCGGTGTGACTTGTGTTAAAAGCGCTGGCCGTGTTAACGCGGAACCCCACGGCGTGTCGACGCGTCAGGTGTTGGACATGATCGCGCCCCCGTACACGGCCGACTTCGTGCAGCTCTTCCTGCCCATCCTGGAGAGCGACAGCATCGCGGGGACCATCAAACCCGAGGGCGAGAGCGACGCTGTCGCGGAGTTCATAGGTCAGCAGACACCACCGCCACCTCGCGTGGGAAGCCTTCGGGGTTACGTCCTTTAATTATTGCTGAGTGATCTCACAGACAAAACACCCGTCCGCAAACAATTTGAGAAGCGAAAAAACGAAAACGCTGGAAGTGCAGCAGCCTTTCAGACATTTGCGTCACAGCCAGACTTACAAACGATTAACGAGATTGACAGCCGCAATTAGGGGATGGTGGGAGGGGGGAAAAGGGGTTTGGGGGAGAGGTATGGGGTCGACTGGGGTACATTATACCTTTCCAACAAGAATTGCCGCCAATTATTTTGTTCAGAACAGAAAAATATATAAATATATATTTTAACCCCAACAAAGCTATATTTTTTTTGCTGCATTTAAAACCATTGCAATCATGATTTTTTTTCTGCTTGCTGTCTTTTTTTTTTATGCCAGCCCATTGTAAAGCAAACTTCGTCGGCAACTGAGTGGACTGACGGAAGGACGGAGGGCGGTGTGGAAGTGCCGGTCCGTAGTGTTGTCACGGCACCACGGGCTCCCACCCTGCTGGGAATTGCCACGGACAAGACGGGCGCCGATCTTCGATGCCGACGCCACCCGAACGCCGTCCAACATCCTTCTCCGCCCCGCCGCATCAAGATCGCGGAGTTCACGCGACATTGTCCACTCGCTTAATTCTATTAAAAAATAAATATAAAAAAACGAATTGACAACAGCAGCCTCCACGACGAACCATGGAAAAAAAACGATCACAGCCCTCGCGAGCCTTCTGTTCAAGCCTCCCCCGCGAAACTCTCACACGCAGCCGCACCTGCAATGGTTGCGCTGGCGCCAGCGCAGCGTTTTATTGATTTACAGTGGACGTCCCAGAACACGATCCCTGTCCCGAGATCGTTAGTGTAGTTATGCTGCCACCCATGTAAAGCGCCCAACGTTACCTGTTTTTGTAAATAAAGCATACTTTCAAGGTATATATTGATCGATAGTTGCTATAGTTTGCTTCATCAGAATTATCTGGTCGAGAAAGAGTAATGCCTCCTTGTTGAAGACCACAATATTTCTGAAGAGTATGTTTTACACGGTGGTGAGCGTGGGTTTTTCAGTGAGTCTCCCCTTGCCCCGCGACATGAGCTAGTGTGAGCAGGCCCTGGGGGGGGGAGGGAGAGGGGGCTACTTTTCCTGGAGGGAGCGCTGCAGCACTTCCTGTAGGGTGGAATCGTCGTCCGCCTGGTAATCCTGCACACGTGCAAAACACACTCGTCAGAAATCGCAATTCTTTTTTTACATTTTTCCAAAATGTATCCAAATTATAAAAAAAAATTGAATTTGAGTACTTCAAGTAAGAGTTTGGCCGGCTAGCATCATGGTTCTCAAATCACTACAAGTAAAATAAAATGTTTGCTCCAAAACATTTCAAGAAGTTGCAGAACTAGTGAATGAAGACACAGCCTTGAGGCCCAGTGAGGCTTTCCTGGGTAACAAGGGGGGGGGGGGCATTGCCCATACCCACTTCCTGTAAGCTGAAGTCTCATTCTTTTGTTTTTTTTTTCCTCCTTTTTTCCCAATCGTGCTATTGGCACCAGATTTTTGGCAGAGCCGTACAACCCCCGCCACCCCCCTTTGTGTTTAGAGTGGCTCATGGACGCAGATATCACAGTGACTTCCCAGTTCCCTTCAATACACCTCTGGACAACAGGCAGCAGAGGGCAGCAATTCCCCACTGGTTCTGTCATGCAATTGTCAACCTGTGGATTTTACTTCTCAGAGCTGGGAATTAGCCAAATTTCATTCAGAACCAATATGGTTTTTGCGTGCAATAATTGGAGATCGGACTGAGAAATCAATTCTTTACGCTTGAGAACCCGGTTTAATAACACTCGATTTACATGAGGCCGAGTCTCTATTAGTTGCTGGTGACTGGGCTGAGACCACCAACTCACTCCACTTGAGGACCCGGTGTGATCACAGGCGGCTTAAACCTGGATTTAAACTCAGGATCTCGGCAGTCCTCCTGGCTTGGCCGCTCCGCCCTCGGAGCTGCCCAGCCAGCCCTGACCCGGTGAAGTGTTGATCTGTACCGCGGGGGCTGGGAAAGTAAAGCTGCGGGGTACGCGGAATGAGACTCACCACGTAGGTGTCGTAGGAGAAGCGGTGCCTGTGCGTGAGGTGCTGGATGAAGTTTGAGCTGCAGTAGTTGGGGTCGCCCCATGGCATTGATGCGCACACTGGACACACCTTGGGTACGCACACACCACAGACACCACACACACCACACCACGTGTCACCTTGGCAGAGAGTTATGCCCAGCTGTTTGCCGCAAGCCTTATTAGTGAGGTAGGGACGGTCATGCGTGTGCTGGCGTGTGCCACATTGGTGCAGTGGCGAGGCTTGGCACGTGTGTGTGCTGGTGTATACCGTGCTGGTGCGGTGAGGTTGGGTGTGTGCATGAGGTTGGGTGTCTGCGTGCTGCGTTGGGGCGTGTGCGTGAGGCTGCGTGTGTGCGTGAGGCTGCGTGAGGCTGCGTGTGTGCGTGAGGCTGCGTGTGTGCGTGAGGCTGCGTGTGTGCGTGAGGCTGCGCGAGGCTGCGCGAGGCTGCGTGTGTGCGTGAGGCTGCGTGTGTGCGTGAGGCTGCGTGTGTGCGTGAGGCTGCGTGAGGCTGCGTGAGGCTGCGTGTGTGCGTGAGGCTGCGTGTGTGCGTGAGGCTGCGTGAGGCTGCGTGTGTGCGTGAGGCTGCGTGTGTGCGTGAGGCTGCGTGTGTGCGTGAGGCTGCGTGTGTGCGTGAGGCTGCGTGTGTGCGTGAGGCTGCGCGAGGCTGCGTGTGTGCGTGAGGCTGCGTGTGTGCGTGAGGCTGCGTGAGGCTGCGTGTGTGCGTGAGGCTGCGTGTGTGCGTGAGGCTGCGTGTGTGCGTGAGGCTGCGTGAGGCTGCGTGTGTGCGTGAGGCTGCGTGTGTGCGTGAGGCTGCGTGAGGCTGCGTGTGTGCGTGAGGCTGCGTGTGCGTGAGGCTGCGTGTGTGCGTGAGGCTGCGTGAGGCTGCGCGAGGCTGCGTGTGTGCGTGAGGCTGCGTGTGTGCGTGAGGCTGCGTGTGTGCGTGAGGCTGCGTGAGGCTGCGTGTGTGCGTGAGGCTGCGTGAGGCTGCGTGAGGCTGCGTGTGTGCGTGAGGCTGCGTGTGTGCGTGAGGCTGCGTGTGTGCGTGAGGCTGCGTGTGTGCGTGTGTGCGTGCGTGCGTGCGTGCGTGTGTGCATGTTGGCACGTACCACGCGCGTGCGGTCCGAGTGGTGCCGCTCCATGCAGTGCCGCAGGAGGTCGTCCTGGTCGAGGTTGCGGGTGCCACAGTACGGGCACATGAACGTGAAACGGTTGGGGCCTAGGCTACAGTCGCACACACACACACAGATCCGCCGTGTAGCCATTACCACACCGTGGTGGGGCAATTGCTATTCGTGAACGCCTATGAAGGCCGGCACAGCGACACACAACGGGAAAGTGTTGCCATCACCATGCCCGGCTGCCTTTGTCTCCCCAATGGCGATATTTACACACCGCACAAGGAACTCATTTGAGGCCGAGTTGACCTAGGGAAGACCCAGAACCAACCTGACCACATCACACGATTAGCAGACAGCAAAGACAAAGGACCACTTTGTAGCCTACACAGGCTGATGGGCCAAGTGCTGTGGCCGAGCACGAGGCAGGCAGCATGCCCGGCCACCTTTGTCTCCCCACCCAGTGCTGAGGCTTATTCATTGCACCTGGTGCTAATTGGAAGGGTAAGTCAACCTCGGCGAGGCTCAGGACTGTTCAGATATCACTCGCCACTGATATTGGCTGTGGCCCAGGCACACAGATTGAGGCACGCAGGTCCCACAGGCAGACAAGACACGTACAGTGGTGTGGAGGCAAATGGGACATGCATATACACACTGGGGGTCAGAGACATGCTTTAAGACGTTCCCACATGGAAGTAACTTGGAGCTATGCTAAAGGCATATATGCATATACATATGGCAGTTCACCAGCACTACAATTAGCACGGTTGGCTACGTATGGTGCAAAAGAAGCTTGACGTACAGAGGTGCGTGGACCCAGGTTGACAAAAACACAGGCACGGGCATCACAAGCGCCAAATACTTGAGAGAAATGCACAGGCTTGCAGATGCACATACACCAAGGCTCACAGACACACCATCACACAGTAGTCAGGCCTCACAACCACATGGGACCATATGCACACAGACAACGCAGGCCCACATTTCCATAGACTCTCCGCATTTTGGTTTGCATTTGCCCAGGATGTGAACAAGAGTCTGATGGGTGCGTTCCACAGTTTGAGCTCGTCCTTCTAATATATACCTCTGAGGGGAGCGGCAGCGTCGGCCGTACCTGGCAGCAGTCGTGGTGGGCGTCTGGAATGCAATCTGCGCCTTCTGGGCTTGTGCACAGGTGGACGTGTGAGCTCGGAAGTCGGACACGCGCACCTGTAGGCGAGACGGACGATAACGTCGATCCTGATCGATGGCGCCAAAACCCGGGGGGGGGGGAGGGGGCACGTAATACGTCGTGAGCGGTCGGGAGGATCGGGACTGGTACGCACACAGACGCAAACTTCTCACGGGTAACAACGCGTTAAGCTTTCAGACGCAAACTTCTCACGGGTAACAACGCGTTAAGCTTTCAGACGCAGGTCTCTGAATGGAGGGTTCCGAGGGCACAGGTGTGGCCGTGCGAGATGCCAGAGGGCTTTGTGCCCTCGAGCGACGAGCACCACTGATTTGCGTTCTCATCTGGAATCGACTCCCCCGTGAGCACTGCATTCACCCACAGTTGTTTTGCGTGCCGCGGTTTTACTACGAGTTCTGGTTTTGGCCGTGCTCTGAGGAGCGTGAGCTGATGCGGTAGTCAGCTGGAAGTGGGACGTGGGGTGATGGGATGGGGGGCTCAGTTTTGCAAGGTTATGACGGGGGACCGGCCTGCGGCGCTCATCACAGATTCTGGCTTCAGGGCATTGCAGCAAAGATCCGCCTGCCCTCTTTATAATTCAGCTGTGCCACGTGGGAGCCAGAGTTAAAATGCTCGCAGCACCAAACTCGGACTGAACGCAACTTATTTTCAAATCGACACCAAGACTGGGTGCCTGTATTTTCCCCGTGCGCTGTGCATCGTGCCTGTATTTTACCCGTGCGCCGTGCATCGTGCCTGGCCTCGTCGCCCCCACGGGGGCGCGGGTGGTTAGGGGCCAGCGGAGCGGTACCTTTTCCGAGCAGGCCGAGCACGGCGCCAGCATCTCAGCCATGGTGCGTTCCACGGCCTCGTTGCGCCTCGCATCCCTGGCGGCCAGTGGGGAACGGCAGACGGCGCACTGGGGCTGCTGTGTGGACAGGCAGCGGTGCAGGCACGCCTCGCAGAACCTGCACGCAAGGCGGGACACAGCCACGGCACTGTTTACCACTACGGCACGAGCATCACCTGCCCCGGCTGGGGCTCCCGATTGCCACCACCTCCCTACTGCCTCGCCGGCCCAGCTGGGTCGGTGGGCGTCCTTTTGGGCGCGTTCCCTGCCACTCGGCCATTATTGTCATCCACTGGCTTGGACTGGGCACTCGGGGTGTAATTCAAGTAATTGTGGATATATTGGTTTAAGCTGCATATCTGCCAACATTTGAATATCCCTAGAATCCTGCAAACCAAAAATCTCCAGGGTGGATCTATAATCAGGTGGAGCGTGAATAGACGAGAGCGCGGCCTCATGGATTACGCCACCGATCATCGAGTCGATATCTTGACGAATCGGATTACACAATACAATTGCAAAAACATGGTCACCTCTGTTCCCACGTAGGCTCTGGCCGCCGGCAGGTGATGGGCGGGGCTTCGCGATGCCATTGGCATCATCAGCCACCGCCGTGCTGGGCGTGGCTTGTAGGGGGTTTCCCACCTTCAGGAGCCAGGATGTCTGGGTAGCCACTATTTACAAAGCTCCCCGAGTAATCGACCACCAACAACGCAGACGATCACAACTTTATGTCGATTGAACTAGGTCTCCACGTGGCAGAGCAGTTGCATCAAAACTGCTGTGCCAATGTTTTGCGGTTGTGCGGTACAGCTCTGTGAAGCGTTTCCCGGTTGTACCACGCGTTGCTCGGGCACGAGGTCCGACGTTTCGCTCCAAGAGCTGTGAGCTTCTTCAGGAACAGTGCACTACAGCACCAGATGCTATGTAGTTCAGGACCAGAAATAATTTAGTGCAGAAGGCAGCTGTACTAAAGTACACAGCTGTAAAATCCTCTGCCATGCAGATAGCGGGAAATCCACGTACACACCGTGCTTTTCAAACCAAACTGATCATGGGGAAATCCCCACGGTGATTAGGATCGGTGTACAAGACAGGCGAGTGTTGCAATTTCATGTTTTTGTTGTCCTTGTCCTCCTGTCTCCACAGATGACGCTGCCGACAGACAGCGTCATATCTTGTGCGCGCGACTCGTAACTGCAGTGATTAAACATCTCCTTCCAACGAAGAAAGTATCACCATTGGCGATGAGCAGTCCACTGCTGGATGAAGGCGTCCGCAAGGCTGCGCCAACTCTCATGGGCCTGCGATGCCACGATCCCAATCCCACCAACGCACAACAATCTCGTCGCTCCAACTCTGCAGTGGTACATCCTCCTGGGCGCGTTTTCCCTCCTTTGACTGCGACTCAGTCGATAGTCTCGAACACTGACCATCACCATCTCTTCACGCCCTCTGTCATTACATCGCAATAATGTCCCTGGTTGTTTTCTAATCCGCAAGTTCCTCTTTCTGTACCGAGTGTTTAGTTCCTCTTTCTGTTTGCCAGTCTACAGAACACTTTATTCACCAACATGCTGCACGGTCATTGCCAGACTCAATACGACTAGCGGCGGGGGGGGGGGGGTACTGCTTTGTGATTACAATCATCTCATCATAATCAATTAGATTTGTGGCATTGCATACGCGGATGATGAACCACTGCCACAAAATTACACCCAACGCGCTGAGATTCTGGAAAGCACCTTTAGTCAAAGCGTGCCCCTCTACACACTGACACACATATCGTGTACTGTGTTATAGACTGCATTAACCATGCTAAACCACAACCCACGTTCACACCTTGCACCGGTGTGTTAACTACACACACACCTGTGTGTGTTAACTTAACTACACACACCTGTGGATGCATACACCTGTACAGGTGCTCGCTAACGGTGCTTGCCCCCGCAACGGTCTGTTAAATGTTACATGGGGCATCTTTGCACCATATACACCTGTGTGTGTTAACTCCAACACCACCACCAACCACCAACACCACCAACAACACCACCACCACCAACAACACCACCACCAACCACCACCACCAACAACACCACCACCAACCAACACACACCACCAACCAACAAACACCACCAACACCGCCACCAACAACAACACCACCACCAACACCGCCACCAACACCACCACCACCAACACCACCAACAACACCACCACCAACACCACCACCAACAACACCGCCACCACCAACACCGCCACCACACCACCACCAACACCACCACCACCAACACCACCACCACCAACACCACCACCACCAACACCATCAACACCACCACCACCAACACCGCCACCACCAACACCACCACCACCAACACCACCAGCAACAACACCGCCACCACCAACACCGCCATCACACCACCACCAACACCACCACCACCACCAACACCACCAACACCAACACCACCACCACCACCACCGCCACCACCAACACCGCCACCACCAACACCGCCACCACCAACACCACCAACACCACCACCACCAACACCACCACCACCAACACCACCAACACCAACACCACCACCACCAACACCGCCACCAACAACACCGCCACCACCAACACCGCCACCACACCACCACCACCAACACCACCACCAACACCACCAACACCGCCACCAACAACACCGCCACCACCAACACCGCCACCACACCACCACCAACACCACCACCACCAACACCACCAACACCACCACCAACACCACCACCAACACCACCACCACCAACACCACCACCAACCAACACCACCACCAACACCACCACCAACACCACCACCACCAACACCACCACCAACCAACACCACCACCACCACCAACCCCGCAAGCCCTGACCCGGTTCCAACTTCCGCGCCCTGGTCCCGGCTTTCGCGGTGAGCGGCTGGTGAACAGGGGGGGGGGGTGACTGTGTAGGGGACTTGGCGTGCACCCAGAGGTCGCCGCTGCACTCACGTGTGCCCGCAGCCCGTGTCCCACGGCGCCGTGAACACCTCGAGGCAGATGGGGCAGATGAAGGCGCCCAGCGAGTCGCGCGGCCCCACGGCCGCCACGGGAGAGAAGGCCATGATGACGATGCCGCCACTGACGACATCACGAGGGGCGGGGTCAGAGGGAGGGGAGGGGCCGAGAAGGGGGAGGAGCCTAGTGAGGGGAGGAGCCGAGGAGGGGGAGGAGCCTAGTGAGGGGAGGAGCCGAGGAGGGGGAGGAGCCGAGAAGGGGGAGGAGCCGAGGAGGGGGAGGAACCAAGGAGGGGGAGGAGCCGAAGAAGGGGGAGGAGCCGAAGAGGGGGAGGAGCCCAGGAGGGGGAGGGGCCGAGGAGGGGGAGGAGCCGAGGGAGGGGAGGAGCCGAGGGAGGGGAGGAGCCGAGAAGGGGGAGGAGCCGAGAGAGGGGAGGAGCCCAGAAGGGGGAGGGGCCGAGGAGGGGGAGGGGCCGAGGAGGGGGAGGAGCCTAGTGAGGGGAGGAGCCGAGAAGGGGGAGGAGCCTAGTGAGGGGAGGAGCCGAAGAAGGGGGAGGAGCCTGGTGAGGGGAGGAGCCGAGGAGGGGGAGGGGCCGGGGACGGGGGATGAGCAGGAGGGCGCCTCTAGTGGCAGGAAATAAAACTAAGAGTTTTGATTTCATGTAGAAGGCAAATCATAAAAGAATATAATATTTTATAATATAATAATATAAGAAATTATAATATAATAATATAATATGTTATAATAATATATTATATTATTTTATAATTTCCCTTCTACGTGACTTTACCGAAAGAACCAAGAATATAAAACTAAGAGTACAAAAACTACACCCTTCAGCAGCGTCACAATCATCACCAGTTGTATCAGCCGTGTTGTGGTAACCTTGAAAGACAGTACTGTATCATAATTGTCACCATCATCAGCAGCAGCAGCTTTATAAACATCATCAGCAGTGTCGTTATCAGCAGCAAAAATAACCACCATTGTCATCATAAATCACAGCAGCAATATCAGCAGCATCATCATGATCACCATCAGCAGCATCGTCATAATCATCATCAGCAGCAGAAGATTAAGTGTCATTGTCATCAGCACCATCGTTATAATCATCAGCAGCAGCAGAAGAGTAAGTGTCATTGTCATCAGCAGCATCGTCATCATCATCAGCAGAAGAGTAAGTGTCATTGTCATCAGCAGCATCGTCATCATCATCAGCAGAAGAGTAAGTGTCATTGTCATCAGCAGCAGCAGATTAAGTGTAATTGTTATCAGCACCATCGTCATAATCATCATCATCAGCAGCAGAAGAGTAAATGTCACTGTCATCAGCACCATCGTTATAATCATCATCAGCAGCAGCAGAAGAATAAATGTCACTGTCATCAGCACCATCGTCATAATCATCATCATCAGCAGCAGAAGCGTAAATGTCACTGTCATCAGCACCATCGTTATAATCATCATCATCAGCAGCAGAAGAGTAAATGTCACTGTCATCAGCACCATCGTTATAATTATCATCAGTAGCAGCAGAAGAGTAAGTGTCACTGTCATCAGCACCATCGTTATAATCATCATCATCAGCAGCAGAAGAATAAATGTCACTGTCATCAGCACCATCGTTATAATCATCATCATCAGCAGCAGAAGAGTAAATGTCACTGTCATCAGCACCATCGTTATAATCATCATCAGCAGCAGCAGATTAAGTGTCACTGTCATCAGCACCATCGTTATAATCATCATCAGCAGCAGCAGAAGAATAAATGTCACTGTCATCAGCACCATCGTCATAATCATCATCATCAGCAGCAGAAGAGTAAATGTCACTGTCATCAGCACCATCGTTATAATCATCATCAGCAGCAGAAGAGTAAATGTCACTGTCATCAGCACCATCGTTATAATCATCATCAGCAGCAGCAGAAGAGTAAGTGTCACTGTCATCAGCACCATCGTTATAATCATCAGCAGAAGAGTAAGTGTCACTGTCATCAGCAGCATCGTTATAATCATCATCATCAGCAGAAGAGTAAATGTCACTGTCATCAGCACCATCGTCATAATCATCATCATCAGCAGCAGAAGAGTAAGTGTCATTGTCATCAGCTGCATCGTCATAATCATCATCAGCAGCAGCAGAAGAGTAAGTGACACTGTCATCAGCAAGATCGTTATAATCATCATCATCAGCAGAAGAGTAAGTGTCATTGTCATCAGCACCATCGTCATAATCATGATCATCATCAGCAGAAGAGTAAGTGTCATTGTCATCAGCAGCAACGTCACCATCGGCAGCAGCACGAGAATCATCGCCAGCAGCAGTGTAGCGCTGTCTGCTCACCGCCACGCCAACACTGCTGCGTGTTGTTCAGGTCCCAAGGGGATACAAGGACCCCCTGTGTATGGGGGGGCCCACGTGGAAGCCGTGATTACGGTGTCTCACAGAGGATGCGAACAGACCCCTGCGGAGCGGACCCATGGTGCACAAGAGGCGACCCCCGTGTGGGAGTACCAAGGGGATATCCCTTGTGTACGGGGTCCCAAGGGGATACCCCCGTGTATGGGGTCCCAAGGGGATATCCCTGTGTATGTGTACGGGGTCCCAAGGGGGGGGGGGTACCCCCGTGTGGGGTATCTGAGAGGCGCCCCCTGCCTGAAGGGCTCGAGGGAGCCGCGTGCGGGGAGCGGTCGCGGATCAATGGGAGCGATTAGTGCGGAGCGCAGGTTGCTAGGCAACTGAGCCCTGTGTGAATACACAGGGCAGCAGTGTGCACGTGTGTGTACGGCGTGTACAACCATCATCATACCCATCGTTACCACCGCAACCATCATCATCCAAATCGTTACCACCGCAACCATCGTCATCCCCATTATTACCACCACAACCATCATCATCCAAATCATTACCAACACAACCATCATCCCCATCATTACCACCGCAACCATCATCATCCAAATCATTACCAACACAACCATCATCCCCATCATTACCACCGCAACCATCATCATCCAAATCATTACCAACACAACCATCATCCCCATCATTACCACCGCAACCATCATCATCATTATCGCCATCACTACTCCCACCAACATCATCATCCCCATCGTTATCACCACAACCGTCATCATCGCTCTTATTACTACTACCATCATCATCCCCATCATTACCACCGCAAGCATCATCATTATCCCCATCACTACTACCAGCAACATCATCATCATCCCCATCATTGCCATCACAACCATCATCATCCTCCCCATCATTGCCACCGCAACCATCATTATTATCCCCATCACTACTAACACCAACATCATCCCCATCCCCATCGTTATCACCACAACCGTCATCATCATCGCTGTCATTACTACCATCATCATCATCCCCATCATCACCACCACAACCATCATCATCCCCATCGTTACCACCAGCACGACCATCATCGATACAGTATTATCACCGCCACAACAACCATCATGTTCGCCATTATCACCACCACCATCACTATGCTGTCGAGCGCCCATGGTTGTCAGCAGACGTCTGCCATGGAGGGGCTCGAGGTGACTCGTGGGTGATGCGGTTCACGTGCCGCTCCGCCACGCCTGGGGCGGCGTCGGTGTGGACTGGGGGAGTGCAGTAGAAGAGTAGAGGCGTGGGGTGGGGGGTGGGGGGGTGGGGGTGTGGGGTGTGGGGTGGGGGAGTGGGGAGGGGTGGGGGTGTGGGGTGGGGTGGGGGTGTGGGGTGGGGTGGGGGTGGGGTGGGGGTGTGGGTGGGAGTGGGGAGGGGTGGGGGTGTGGGGTGGGGTGTGGGGTGGGGTGTGGGTGTGGGGGTGTGGGGTGTGTACTGGGGGTGTGCAGTAGAAGAGTAGAGGGCTGGGGGTGTGGGGGGGGTTGTGGGGTGGGGTGGGGGTGTGCAGTAGAAGAGTTAGAGGCGTGGGGTGGGGGGTGGGGTGGGGTGGGTGGGGGTGTGGGGTTGGGGGAGTGGGGAGGGGTGGGGGGTGGGGTGTGGGGTGGGGGTGTGGGGTGGGGTGGGGGTTGTGGGGTTGGGGTGGGGGGTGTGGGGTGGGGGAGTGGGGAGGGTGGGGGTGTGGGGGTGGGGTGTGGGGTGGGTGGGGTGTGGGTGGGGGGGTGGGGGTGTGTACTGGGGGTGTGCAGTAGAAGGTAGAGGGCTGGGGGTGTGGGGGGGGTGTGGGTGGGGTGGGGGTGTGCAGTAGAAGAGTAGAGGCGTGGGGGTGTGGGGTGGGGGTGTGGAGTGGGGTGGGGGTGTGGGGTGGGGAGTGGGGAGGGGTGGGGGGTGGGGTGTGGGGTGGGGGAGTGGGGAGGGGTGGGGGTGTGGGGTGTGGGGAGGGGTAGGGTGTGGGGTGTGGGGTGGGGGTGTGGGGTGGGGTGTGGGGTGGGGTGGGGGTATGCAGTAGAACAGTAGAGGCGTGGGGGTGTGGGGTGGGGGTGGGGATGTGGGGTGGGGTGGTGGGTGGTGGGGTGGGTTGTGGCGTGGGGGGGGTGTGAAGTAGAGGGGAGGGGTGGGGTGTGGAAGTAGAGGGGAGGGGTGGGGTGTGAAGTAGAGGGGAGGGGTGGGGTGTTGAAGTAGAGGGGAGGGTGGGGGTGTGGAGTAGAGGGGAGGGGTGGGGGTGTGAAGTAGAGGGGAGGGGTGGGGGTGTGAAGTAGAGGGGAGGGGTGGGGGTGTGGAGTAGAGGGGAGGGGTGGGGTGTGGAGTAGAGGAGTGGGCGGGTGGTGCAAAGTAGTCGAGGTGTCGAGTCGGGCTGCGGCGACGCGGTTGTCTTTGTGACTGCGACCCTCTGCACCCCCCCCACTCCCCCCTCTCTGGGGGGAGGGTTCTAGGAAATTGATCCAAACTCTATCGCAATCGCTCATCCCCCCCACCTTCCTCTCATCCCCCCCGCGGGATCGAGGATCAAACGCCAAGGACGCACGGGGCATGGACGCCTCTGCTGCTGATGCTGATACTGCTGCTGCTGCTGATACTGCTGCTGTTCGTACTGAGAGTGCTGCTTGTACTGACTGGCATTTCTGCTGCTGCTGCTAGTGCTGCTGCTTAGAGCTAGTACTGCTGCTGCTGGTGATAGTGCTGCTGCTGGTGATAGTGCTGCTGGTGCTAGTGCTGCTGCTTAGAGCTAGTACTACTGCTGCTGGTGCTAGTGCTGCTGGTGATAGTGCTGCTGGTGCTAGTGCTGCTGCTGCAGGTGCTAGTGCTAGTGCTGCTGCTGGTGATAGTGCTGCTGGTGCTAGTGCTGCTGCTGCAGGAGTTAGTGCTGCTGCTGGTGATAGTGCTGCAGGAGCTAGTGCTGCTGCTGGTGCTAGTGCTGCTGCTGCAGGAGCTAGTGCTGCTGCTGGTGATAGTGCTGCTGGTGCTAGTGCTAGTGCTGCTGCTGGTGATAGTGCTGCTTCTGGTGATAGTGCTGCTGGTGCTAGTGCTAGTGCTGCTGCTGGTGATAGTGCTGCTGCTGGTGATAGTGCTGCTGGTGCTAGTGCTAGTGCTGCTGCTGGTGATAGTGCTGCTGCTGGTGATAGTGCTGCTGGTGCTAGTGCTAGTGCTGCTGCTGGTGATAGTGCTGCTGCTGGTGATAGTGCTGCTGGTGCTAGTGCTAGTGCTGCTGCTGCTGGTGCTAGTGCTAGTGCTGCTGCTGCTGGTGCTAGTGCTGCTGCAGGAGCTAGTGCTGCTGCTGCTGGTGGAGCTAGTACTGCTGCTGCTGGAGCTAGTGCTGCTCCTATTGGTGCTGCCGCTGGGGTCTGGTCGAGGTTGGTGCTGCTGGAGCGAGTGGTCGGCTGAGGGGTGGGAGCGTGACCCCCCACTGGCTGGGTGTGTGATGGTTTGTGTTGTGATGGGGAGCGGTCGTGTAGCGGTTTGCGCGCTGCGCTACGAACCCGGCGGCCCGAGTTCGATTTCCGCTCACGGCCATCACCAGTTAAGATGTTCCTGAACCGGTCCCGTGCCTCCCCTAGGTCGACTCAGCCTCAAATGAGTACCTGGTGCGATGTGTGAACATCGTCACAAGGGAGATAAATGCGGCAGGGCGTGTTGTTGGCCACCTACCCCTTCGTGTTTTCATAGGTGCTCGCTAACATAACTTGCCCCAATAGTCCTCTAAGGCTATACGGGGGATCTTTGTCTTTGTTTTATTTTGTGATTGGTGACGTGTTCAGTTGATTTTGTTTAACGATGTGGTGAGAAGTCAAGAACTCGGGATGGAGTCTCGTCTGCCAAGAGAGCGACCTGGGGCATTAGTCTGCCAGTAGGGGCGATGACTGCTGCTGCTGCTGCTGCTTTGTGAAATGCCAATTGAGGAATTCGCGAAGTCATTTTCGAATCGGGCAAACGTGTCTCCCTGACGCCTGCACACACGTGACCTCCATTGTGACGGAGAGGGCACTGAGTGCTATCGCGGACGTTGCACGCACGGAAATAACTGGGGCGGCCGCTGGGATTCGAACCGCTCCCGCTGGCGGTCATGCGCGATGGTGCAGGTGGTGTGGTGAAGGTTGCGTGATGGGTGTTGTGTGCTTTGTAGTGCGTGATGTGTGACGCGATGGGTTATGGTCCATGCGCAATGCGAGATGTGTGGCTGGTGTGTTTTGTCTGACGGATGGACGGGCCTGTGCGTGATTGGGTGAAGAGCGATGGGTGATGTTTCCTGTCATGTATGATGTGTGTACAGTACTTTGCGACGAGTGATGTGTCTGTCATGTACGATGTGTGCACCGCGTGATAAGTGCCCCTGTTATGTAATGCTGGGCGCTGGGTTTGGGTGCAGAAGGGTCGACATCGTTAGCTGGAGAGGTGGGGGAGAGGAGGGGTAAATGGGGTTCAGGAGAGACAAGACAATGGAAGTGGAAAAGATTTATACACGGAGAGAGACAAAGGGGGGCTGGGAAGCATTGGCGGTCGGAGCGAGGGCGAGTCGATGGAGAGATTGTGGGACTGAGACAGCGGCAGGCGAGAAGCCGCAGGGACGGGAAGAGGATGAGATACGGGAAGGCGTCTGGGGGGCCGAGGAGACGGGGGACGAAGTGACTCGGGCGGTGGGAGTAGGGGGTGGGGGGGGGGCATGGGAGTAGGGGGTGGGGGGGCATGGGAGTAGGGGGTGGGGTGGGGCATGGGAGTAGGGGGGCATGTGAGTAGGGGGTAGGGGGGCATGGGAGTAGGGGGTGGGGGGGGCATGGGAGTAGGGGGTGGGGGGGCATGGGAGTAGGGGGTGGGGGGGGGGCATGGGAGTAGGGGGGCATGTGAGTAGGGGGTAGGGGGGCATGGGAGTAGGGGGTGGGGGGGCATGGGAGTAGGGGGGCATGTGAGTAGGGGGTAGGGGGGCATGGGAGTAGGGGGTGGGGGGGCATGGGAGTAGGGGGGCATGGGAGTAGGGGGTAGGGGGGCATGGGAGTAGGGGGTGGGGGGGGCATGGGAGTAGGGGGTGGGGGGGCATGGGAGTAGGGGGTGGGGGGGCATGGGAGTAGGGGGGCATGTGAGTAGGGGGTAGGGGGGCATGGGAGTAGGGGGTGGGGTGGGGGGCATGGTAGTAGGGGGTGGGGGGGGCATGGGAGTAGGGGGTGGGGGGGCATGGGAGTAGGGGGTGGGGGGGCATGAGAGTAGGGGGTGGGGTGGGGGGGATGGTAGTAGGGGGTGGGGGGGGGCATGGGAGTAGGGGGTGGGGTGGGGGGCATGGTAGTAGGGGGTGGGGGGGGCATGGGAGTAGGGGGTGGGGTGGGGGGGGGCATGGTAGTAGGGGGTGGGGGGGCATGGGAGTAGGGGGTGGGGGGGGGGCATGGGAGTAGGGGGTGGGGGGGCATGGGAGTAGGGGGGCATGGGAGTAGGGGGTGGGGGGGCATGGGAGTAGGAGGTGGGGGGGCATGGGAGTAGGGGGTAGGGTGGGGGGCATGGTAGGAGGGGGTGGGCGGGAGTAGGAGTTGGGGGGAGAGGCGCGACGATTTTCTGATGCGGACTGAATCTTAATGCGGTGACGTCACCACAGTCGAAATCCAGCAGCAGCAGCAGGAGGAGGAGGAGGAGAGAGGAGCGGGGAGCTCTCGCTCTTCATCACGGGGGCCCCGCGTCTCCCTGCCCCCCGCGGGCTCCGCCGAGGGGCCCTGGCAGCACCATGCGTGCCCCGTGGGTGCTGTGGGCCCTGGCGGTGCTGGCTGAGGTGAGGAGGGAGACTTCGTCTGGTGCCGATTCGCTCCCCGCGATCCCCTCCTTTGTGCTGCTGCGGCGAGCGCCGCCTGGCTCGGTGATCGACACCGCCACCATCACCACCAACATCACCACCATCATCACCACCATCATCACCACCAACATCACCACCATCATCACCACCACCATCATCATCACCACCACCATCATCACCACCATCATCACCACCATCACCACCATCATCACCACCACCACCGCCATCATCATCACCACGACCACCATCATTACCACCACCATCATCACGACCACCACGATCATCACCATGACCATCATCACCAGTGCTCTCGCTGTTTCCATCTTCACCGCCACCATCATCATCATCACCACCATCACCGCCATCATCATCACCACCATCTTCACCGCCACCATCATCATCATCACACTCATCACCATCGTCACCAGCGCTCTCGCTCTCTTCATCATCATCATCGATACCACCATCATTATCCTCACCACTATCAACACCACCACCATCATCATCCTCACCACTATCAACACCGCTGTTGCCATGGTCATCATCATCATCATCAGCATCGTTGTGGCGGTCCTCATCATGATCATCATCTGCGGGTCACCGCCATCATCATCGTCGTGGTCACGCTGCGCGCACACCTCCCCCTCCATCCCTGGTGCGCTGAGCGGGGTGCGCTGAGCGGGGTGCGATTTGCAGGGCGCAGCGCGCGCGGTGTGCAGGGCGCGGCGTTCAGAGTGTGCACGGTGCAGGGTGAGCTGTGCAGGGTAGAGGCGATGCATTGCGCTGGGTGCAGAGACAAGGGATGGAGGGGTGCACCGTGCTGGGCGCAGAGAGGCAGGGCGCAGGGATGCGTAGTTTAGAATGCGCAGGTGGGGGGCACGTGAAGAGACGAAGCAGGGTGCAGCGTGAGCGCAGAGAGGCAGAGTGGAGGGATGCAGCGTAGAGTGATGCAGGGCATAGTTAGGTAGGATGCAGGCGCATGTGATACGTGAATAGCCGTAGCAGGGCGCTGATATGTCAGGGCGTGGTGTCCAGAGGGACACGGGGAAACAGGGGGGCGCGGGGAGATGCGAGATGCAGGGGGTGCAGGGAGTGTGGGTGTCGACTTCGAGCGGTGGAGGGACGCGAGGGGACACGAGACCCTGGCATGCGGGGTGCAGGATTCATGGTGCTGGTTGTCGGAAACGAGGTTGCGATGTGCAGGGAGCTGGGTACGATGTGCAGGGTGCAATATATAAAATACTGGGTGCGATGTGCAGGTTGTTATATATTGACGGGGCTGGGATGGCCGCTCTGGCAGACGGAGTGTGTCGGTGTGTATGTGCGGCATGTGTCCGTTTGTATGTTTTGCGTTTGTGTACCGGCCGTGTCTGTGGTGTGTATGTCAGTGTCCCTGTGCGTGTGTGTCTGTGGGGAGCAGTAGTGTAGCGGTTAGCGCACTGCGCTACGAACCCGCTCACGGCCAACACCGGTAACGAATATCTGTACCGTTGCTGGGCCTCCACTAGGTCGACTCAGCCTCAAATTAGTATCTACAAAGGCGGTCAGGGGTGGTTCTGGCCACCCACCAGAGCGTGCACCGTGCTGGCCTGCATAGGTGCTCGCTAACAGCGTGTACCCCAACACTCTGTCAAGGCTATGCGGGGGGGATCTTTGTCTTCGTGCATTTCTAATGCGGCGGCGCGTGAGCGCGTCCGCGTTTGTGCGAATCGACGCGGTTGTCTTTGTGTCCCTGCGCGTCCCCGCCCGCGTGTCTTTGTGTCGATGGGTCGGATTCGCCTGCGTCTGAATGCGCCTCTTGTCCGACGTCTCGAGACTTCGCCTGCACCAGCGCGCACAACCGGGAGGCTCGCCCCAGCCGGCCCTCACAGTGGGGCCATCAACGTGCCCCCCTCCCCCGACTCCCGCCTCAATAGGTGCTCGCTAACAGCACTTAGCCCCCATAGGCTCCATGCGGCTACACGGGGGTCTTTGTCATTGTGCGCGTGTGTGGCTGTGGATTGTCTGCGTGGTGTGGAGCGGTGGGGCAGCGGTTAGCGCTGCGCTGCGCTAAGAACCTGGTGATCCGAGTTCGATTCCCGCTCACGGGGAACGCCGGCGACGATTATCTCAACCGGTTTTGGACCTCCCCTAGGTCGACTCAGCCTCATATGAGTACCTGGTGCGATGTGTAAACATCGCCACTGGGGAGACAAAGGCGGTCGGGCGTGGTGCTGGCCACCCACTCCCTCGTGTATCTTTCCGGCCTTCATAGGAGCTCGCTAACAGCACTTGCCCCAACAGTCTGTTACAGGCTATACGGGGGATCGTTGTCTTTGTGTGAATCTGCAGGCCTTGCTCGGAGTCTGTGCGCGCCGCGTCCTCGAAGCTCCGAGTCGAGGACAGCGTCTGCACCCGGGTACGAACCCAGCCCCTCTGGGCTCTCTCTCGCACCCCTGTCTGCCGAGCAAGTCCCGGCGTTTGTCACCTGCGTCCAGAACGCGCCACTCACGTGCGAGTCGTTGATTCGGCTCCGTCTCCCCATGATGATCCCCCGTAACTTGAGACTCGCAGCTGCCAACTCTTCCGAGTCACGAGCAAAAGGCCCTCCTCCAGTTCGGGGACGGCGCGTGCGCCAGAGGATTCCATCTCTGGAGCGGCGCACGCGGTCTCTTCGCGAGGAACACGGCGATCCGTCGGAATGTCGCGTCCGCGTTGGAGATCCCAGTTCCCGTTTTACGGAACCCGGCGTGAAGCAGCTCGGCTGAGCTATGACGCTGCGCTCCCCGATAAATTCCGTTCACGCTTTCCCTGTATTGTTCGGTTGCTTGCTTTCTTTCTTTCTCACTAATGTATCGCTACTACGTGAACCTTTCCGACGTAAGTGGGAGGCTGTCGATTTCTAAGCGGGGTTTTTATCTCGCCGCGGATTCCCGGCACAAAAGAATTGTGGTCATGTTTTTCTTCATCCCATTTTTACTCAAGCGGTAGGTGAGCGGGTCACCCGCGTGACCTCTTGACCCCCCTTCCCTCCGTCACGTTGACACTCCCTCCTCCCCCCGCAGTGGAGGTGGTCACGTGCTCGGGGAACGTGAGCGGTGCGCACGTGGAGCGGACGCCACGCGGGGCGCAGCGCTGCTCCCCCGCGGAGCCGCGTCCCCACGGGCCCCCACCGGGTCGCCGCGACTCTAAGGCACGTGGACGAATCTAAACGCGCAATCCAACACACCCAATCTAAGTGCGCAATCTAACACACACAATCCAACACACACAATCCAACACACACAATCTAACACACACAATCTAACACACACAATCTAACACACACAATCTAACACACACAATCTAACACACCCAATCTAAACGCGCAATCTAACACACACAATCTAACATACCCAATCTAACACACACAATCTAACACACCCAATCTAACACACACAATCCAACACACACAATCTAACACACACAATCTAACACACACAATCTAACACACCCAATCTAAACGCGTAATCTAACACACACAATCTAACATACACAATCTAACACACACAATCTAACACACCCAATCTAACACACACAATCCAACACACACAATCTACCACACACAATCCAACACACGCAATCTAACACACACAATCTAACACACACAATCTAACACACACAATCTAACACACACAATCCAACACACGCAATCTAACACACACAATCCAACACACACAATCTAACACACACAATCTAACACACAATCCAACACACGCAATCTAACACACACAATCCAACACACACAATCCAACACACACAATCTAACTCACCCAATCTAACACACACAATCTAACACACCCAATCTAAACGCGCAATCTAAGCACGCAATTTCGCGAGTAGTTTTTGTGTAGCGTCGTCGTCGTCCATGCAAATCGCAGCTCACAATCGCCGAGGAGGAACCACAGACACGGGCTGGGAGGTCGCTGCCAGGCGGTGAGCGGCCTCCTGCCGCCAACGATTCCTCATCGCTTCTCTCAACATTCAGAGGCTTTCACCCCGTTACTGGAGTCGTGCAAACACGTGGGGGGAAGCCGGGAGCACGCGGAGAAAACCCCACGCATGGAAAGGGGGCAACGCTGTATCTCATTCCAAAGGCACAGATGATGTTGGTTCACATTTGCTGTACAACATTCTACTGTTAAGCAAGGATATGGCACCTCGATGGGCGTGATGACGACGGTCACGATACAGATCGCCAGGATGATGAAGAACATTGTGATGAGAGTGGCGAGGTTGCAAATAGTCAACGTGACGATGATAATTGTACTGATGATGACACTGATGCGTCAGATAATCGGCATGATGTTACTTCTTCTGCTGAAGATGTCATGATGCTGATGATGATTATTATTGTCATCATAATGATAAATGATGCTGATTGTCGTGATGATGATTGTGGTTATGCTGCTGGCTGATGATGATTATTGTCGTGACAATGACGCTATAGCTGCTCATCACTGTCCGGAAGATGATGATGGTGGTGTTGGTGGTCGTTCTGATGCTGCTGCTGCTTCTACTACTGATAATGACGGCTGTTGTGGTGCTGTTGATGCTGCTGCTGCTGCTACTACTGCTACTACTGCTGATGATGCTGCTGCTGATGATGGTTGTTGTGCTGTTGATGCTGCTGCTGATAATGCTGCTGCTACTACTGCTGCTAATGATGTTGCTGCTACTGATGATGGTTGTTGATGCTACTGCTGATAATGCTGCTGCTACTACTGCTGCTGCTGATGATGTTGCTGCTACTGATGATGGTTGTTGTGCTGTTGATGCTACTGCTGATAATGCTGCTGCTACTGCTGCTGATGATGATGACGATACTGCTGCTACTGATGCTGATTCTGCTGCTGCTGTTGCTGATGATGATGATGGTTGTTGTGCTGTTGATGCTGCTGCTGATGCTGCTGCTGCTACTACTGCTGCTGATGATGATGTTGCTGCTACTAATGGTGGTTGTTGTTGTCCTGTTGATGCTGCTACTACTGCTGCTACTGATGATGGTTGTTGTTGTGCTGTTGATGCTGCTGATGATGCTGCTGCTGCTACTACTACTGCTGATGATGATGACGATGCTGCTGCTACTGATGCTGCTGCTGTTGTTGCTGCTGATGATGATGGTTGTTGTTGTGCCGTCGATGCTGCTGACGGCGGCCAGCCTGTGGGTGCCCGCGAGCGCGTGTTCTCGTGGAGGGAGCTCAGCCGAGGTGGGGACGCCTCCCGGCGCCAGAAGCGCGACTGGGTGATCCCTCCCATCAGCGTGCCCGAGAACGACAGGGGACCCTTCCCCAAGCACCTCGTCACGGTCAGGGGCCGTCACCTCATCACACGCCCACACGTACCTCGTCACGCCTCGTCACACACGCACTCACCTCGTCACACTCTCACCCCGTGACACACCCACTCGCCTCGTCACACTCTCACTCACCTGGTCACACACTCACCTCGTCACGCACTCACCTCGTCACGCACTCACCACGTTTACACTCACGTCGTCACACACGCACTCACCTCATCACGCACTCACCTCGTCACACCCACACCCCGTGACACATCCACTAACCTCGTCACACCCACACTCACCTCGTCACACACTCACCCCGTGACACACCCACTTACCTCGTCACATACTCACCTCGTCAGACACCCATGGGCCCACACCGAGGCCTCGCATCACCGTCTGTGTCCGCGCCCCTTCCCACCAATCACTCATCAGACTCCCTGCTGTCCATTCTCCGCCGCCACCACCGTCACACAAGACAAAGGTCCCCCGAATAGCCTGCGCAGACTGTTGGGGCAAGTGCTGTTAGCGGGCACCTATGAAGGCCGGCACAGCACACGAAGGAGGGGGGGGGGGCAGCACTACGCCAGGCCGCCTTTGTCTCCCTAGTGGCGATGTTTACACATCGCACCAGGTACTAATTGAGGCTGAGTCGACCTAGGGGAGGCCCAGGACCGATTCGGATAATCGTCACCGGTGTTGACCGTGAGCGCGAATCGAGCTCCCGTCGCCGTGTTCGTAGCGTAGCGCTAACCACTACACCACTGCTCCCCACCACCGCCACACACACATTACAAAGATCCCCCGTGTAGCCTTCACCGCCTGTTGGGGCAAGTGCCGTTAGCGAGCACCTCTTAAGAAGGGGGGCACGGCGCACGAGGTGGCGGAGTGGCAAGCACCATGGCCGGCCCCCTCTGTCGCCCCAGTGCTGATAATTACACACAATGGCACCGGGTGCACACTTGAGGCCGAGTCAACCTAGGGGATGCACAGGACCCGATTCGGAGAATTACTCCTCACTCGTGATGCTATCCGTTGCTGGGACTCAAACGCAGGAGCTGAGATTCAGAATTCGGGTTCGCTCCGCGCGATTGGAGCTTTCCCGCAGGAACTGAAATTCTGCGAAAGTATCCTGGCGCGTGGAGCGAAACGTCGGGCATCGTGCCGAGCAACGCGCGGCGCGACTCGAACACGCCGACCTCGCTGGGAGCTACGCAGAAGCAGCGGCGGCAGCAGCACAATGGGCAGTGCAGTTACCGCCCCACGTGTCGTAGTGAGGAAATGAAACGCGCGCTCTTTCTATCCGTGGGGGTCCACGGGCAAACGTCCCCGCGTCTGCCCCCCCCCCCCTCCTTAATCGGGAGCTGGGGCGCGTCTCACGGTGTGTGGGGGGCGTGGTGCCGTGCAGGTGAAGTCCGACAAGGACGGCAGCAGCGAGCTGCGCTACAGCGTGACGGGCCCCGGCTCCGACCTCCCTCCCATCGGCGTCTTCACCATCAACGCCATCACGGGCCGCCTCTACGTGACGCGCTCGCTGGACCGCGAGCACATCGCCAGCTACCAGGTGAGTGAGCTCATCGCCAGCTACCAGGTGTGCGAGCTCATCGCCAGCTACCAGGTGTGTGAGCACATTGCCAGCTACCAGGTGTGTGAGCTCATCGCCAGCTACCAGGTGTGCAAGCTCATCGCCAGCTACCAGGTGTGTGAGCTCATCGCCAGCTACCAGGTGAGTGAGCGCATCGCCAGCTACCAGGTGTGTGAGCTCATCGCCAGCTACCAGGTGTGTGAGCTCATCGCCAGCTACCAGGTGAGTGAGCTCATCGCCAGCTACCAGGTGAGTGAGCTCATCGCCAGCTACCAGGTGTGTGAGCTCATCGCCAGCTACCAGGTGTGCGAGCTCATCGCCAGCTACCAGGTGAGTGAGCACATCGCCAGCTACCAGGTGTGTGAGTTCATCGCCAGCTACCAGGTGTGTGAGCACATCGCCAGCTACCAGGTGAGTGAGCACATCGCCAGCTACCAGGTGTGTGAGTTCATCGCCAGCTACCAGGTGAGTGAGCGCATCGTCACCTACCAGGTGTGTGAGCACATCGCCAGCTACCAGGTGAGTGAGCGCATCACCACCTACCAGGTGAGTGAGCGCATTGCCAGCTACTAGATGAGTGAGCACATTGCCAGCTACCAGGTGAGTGAGCTCATCGCCAGCTACCAGGTGTGTGAGCGCATCGCCACCTACCAGGCGGCAGGTGCCTGCGGCCTGCAAGGGGCAGGGGGAGGAGGAGGAAGGGTGGCGCGGTCCGTGTGAGCCAGAGCAGATATCGGTACCATCGTCCGCAGGGGCTTGAGGTTAGAAACTCGCTGTGAGGGTCAGGGTCTCATTGTGAGGGTCAGAGTCTCATTGTGAGGGTCAGGGTCTGACCGTGAGGGTCAGCGTGTCGCCCTGAGGGTCAACGTCAGCACCTCACGGTGTTGATGTCTCCACAGCTGCGAGGCCACGCCGTGGACCTGAACGGCAACCAGGTGGAGAACGCGGTGGAGCTGCTCATCCAGGTGATCGACCAGAACGACAACAAGCCCGACTTCTCGCAGGCCGTCTACAACGGCTCCGTGCCCGAGGGCTCCCCGCCCGGTGAGAGGTCGCTCCGGCGGGCGGGCGGGCCGAGTAGACGGAACGGGTTAACGGGCGAGGGGGGAGCCGCGCTCCCGGCATCATTCAGCTTAAATAGACGCGGGGATGAAGAGGGGGGTACGGTGGGGGAGCAGGGGGAGGGGGGTTACTCCTTACGCTCCGCTGATCGCGCCGTCCTTGGGAGGTGCGGGGGGGGGGCGTTACGCGGGGGGGCTTCTCCGTCGCGTTCGATCGACGCGCGGGCGGAGCGCGCGTCGATAGCGCCGAGTGATGGATGAGTGGCCCCGCCTGCTCGTTCCATCATCGCAGGGGAGTTCTCACCACCCCCGAACCTCCGTCCCATCTCAAGGCCCGACCGGCCACCGTGGCCCCCCGGGGGAGCGGAGATTCACCCAGTCGATGGGACACACTCGGCTCGCCTCCTGTCCCCCTCGACAAATCTCCAATCCCGTGATCCCCCACTACTCACTCTAATCCCCCTTTCACGTCTCCATTCTCCTCCACCGCTCCACTGCTGGAGCGCTCCACTCTCGACGCCTCGCTCCTCTCCCCCCCTGTGCCTATCGCGGGCACCGCAGTCCCGTCAGGGCCGCCACTGAGAAGCGGCCGCGCACTGACAGAAGGCGACCGAGCGTGACAGACAGGACGAAGCACAAATTGGAAACACTCGACCCCCCCCCTTCCCCCATCTAGTACCCGATCATTTGCTGCTAAGATGTTCGCCGCGGCGATGTGTAAGTGTTGTGTGCCGCGGTAGGCCTCGCGTGGCCGCAGGCGGGGCGGGCTGGAAGTGGCTACGGGCCGACGCGTCCAGCCCCCAACGCACTACCCCCCCCCCCATACCACCCCCCGCTCCATCCCTGCTCCCTCCCCTCCCTGCTCCCTCCCTGCTCCCTCCCCGCTCCCTCCCTCCCACCCTCTCCCCTCCCCGCTCCCTCCCCGCTCCCTCCTCTCCCCGCTCCCTCCCCTCCCCGCTCCCCGTTCCCCTGCGCCGCGCGGCCCCTCCCCCGGCGAGGAGTCCACTCCGCTGCCGGTGACGACGTCGCCGCTCTGCGCACTGAACCATCCCCCCGCCCCCTCCCCCCGCCCCCTCCCCCCGCCCCCTTTCCCCGCCCCTCCCCCCACCCCCTCTCCCTGCCCCCTCTGAACCCCCTCTCCTCTTTTCGTCTCTCTCCCCTCATCCCCCTCTCCCCTCATCCCCCTCCCCTCATCCCTCCCTCCCCGCTCCCCTCAATTTGCCCATCTCCCTTCTCTATTTTAATCATTCTCTTTTTCTCTCCCTCATTTCCCCCTACCTCCCTTCTATTATCTGTCATTTAACCCCTCTCTCCCTCATCTCCCGCTAACCCTATCACGTCTCCCTTCACATCTCTCTCCTCTCCCATTTATCCTCGACCCTCATCTCCACCAACCCCCCGCTCCACCCCGTCTCTCCTCTCTCATCTCTTCCGCATCTCCCCGCTTTTATCTCTCCCCCTCGGGACCACGGCTCTCGGTGTGTGCCTCTCCGACCTTGTGGCTTACACTGAGACACAGCGGCTTCTCGTGGGTAATGGGGGTGGGGGGGGGCAGGTCTGTTTCACTCCGGACTCTTCTAGGTCCGCTCAGCCTGAAATCAGTACGTGATGCGGTGGGAGTCGGAGATTGATGCCATCAGAGGGCCATCAATAAAGGGCGCTCGACGACGAAAATATTGGAATTGGTTCTCGTTATGACCACGAAATGCGCGCGTTCTCAACTCACCTCGGAAAAACCGCCCACACCGCTCCGAAAGTTCGCGAGCCGACAATCGTCTCCAGTGGAATGGCAGGAAGGAACGCACCGCATTGGCAATGCGCGAACACGTACAAACCGCACGGCGGCACAAGTCACCGCGCGAGATGCACTTTGCCTTCGAGTCCCGTAGAAAGAAGAAGGCGCAGGCCTGCAATTGCTCGCTCGCGTCACTGCTGGCGGAAGGGCCCTCCACGAGCGGGAGCTCTAGAGTGGCCTTTGGCCTCCTCTTCCACGCTGGCCAGATGTCAGAATCAGAATATTTATTCATACTGGAGGAATCCGATGAGCGTACCCACACCTTACCCCACCCCACGCGGTGACCCGCCGATCGTCTAGCCGTGGTGCACCCCATGACTGCTGCCGGGTTGACAGTCAGTGGCATGAGCACCGTTGTCTAAAACTGCCGCCCCGTTAAAGAGGCGAATTCGTCCGGCGCGCTGCTCCCAGACGGCTCGATCTGTGCGGTGAAGCCCGTAATGGGGTTACCGGATAAAGCCGGAAAAAAATAAACATTGTAACATCCTCGTCCCGCTGGTTTGGCGGCAGAGCAAACGAGCGGCTCACAGACAAAGTGGCGAGTTCAAACCCTGGTCGTGGGGGGCTAACTCAGCCCTTCATCTTTCGGGCGGGGCGGACATGGGGGGGGGGGTCGATAAAACGAGCACCGACTCCGTGCGGAAGTCAACACTGGACGTCCAACGGATAGACTCTGCTCCGCCAGAGGGATGTGGAACTTCCCACGTTTATGGTCGAAAAAGTGCTCGTAAAATAAATCGATTTTCAAAAAGAAAAAAAAACATTCCAGTGGGTGGCGAAGCGCGGCCGTGTAGGGCCCGCCGGAGCGGCGAGGCGGCGCTGACCGCGGGTGGGTGCCGGCCCGGCAGGGACGCCGGTGATGCGGGTGCGGGCGGACGACGCCGACGACGCAGAGCAGCCCAACGGGATGGTGCGCTACAAGGTGGTGTCCCAGGAGCCCGAGCGGCCCTTCCCGCACATGTTCACCATCAACAACGCCACGGGCCTCATCAGCACCATCGCCTCCGGGCTCGACCGTGAGGTGCGCTCTCCCCGCAAACGCGTGCGCCCTCGAGCGTCGCTGCCTTCGTACCTATGCAGTCACACAGCATGCTACCTGCACCGTGAAACCTATAGTCATACATCATGCTACCTGCAACATGAAACCTATAGTCATACATCATGCTACCTGCACCATCGTGGGCGTACTTGCAGCACGCGACCTGCACCATCACATCTATAGACTCACACAGCATGCTACCTGCACCATCGTACCTAGACAGACGTGCTTGCAGCATGCTACCTGCACCATGAAACCTATAGTCACACAGCATGCTACCTGCACCATGAAACCTATAGTCACACAGCATGCTACCTGCACCATGAAACCTATAGTCACACAGCATGCTACCTGCACCATGATACCTATAGTCACACAGCATGCTACCTGCACCATGATACCTATAGTCACACAGCATGCTACCTGCACCATGAAACCTACAGCATGGTACATGTAGCATCGTACCAGCAGCATCATAGCTACGTTTTGTACCCTCAGCAGCGTACCTTCATGATCCTATTGCCATCTCTCGTACACCATACGCTCAGCCTTATACCCGTGTATGTGTCTGTATGTGTGTGTCTCTATGGATGTGTGTGTCTCTGTATGCGTGTGTATGTGTGTATTGTGGGGGAGCAGTCGTGTAGCGGAAAGTGCACTGTGCTACTGTACTACTACGAATCTGGCGACTCGTGTTCGATTCCCGCTCACGGGCAACACCAGTGACGATTATCTGAACCGGTTATGGGCTTCCCCTAGGTCGACTCAGCCTCAAATGAGTATATGAGTGCGGTGTGTAAACATCGCCACTGAGGAGACAAAGGCGGCCGAGCGTGGTGTTAGCCACCCACCCCCTCGTGTGCCATGCCGGCCATCATAGCTACTCGTTTGCCCCAAACGACTTGCCCCAACAGTCTGTTAAGGCTATACGGGGGATCTTGGTCTTTCCAAGATGTAATCACTCCCATCTGCCGGAGGCACTGCACGGTGTGCCTGAGTGTTGTTATGCACGCGTGTGTATCTTGCCTTACGTGTACGCATTCATACCCGTGCATGTATGTACGTGTTCAGTGTGTCTGTGTCATTTGTCTCTGTGCGTGCGCGCGCGTGCACGCTTGTGTGTGACCGATGAGATGCGGTACGTACACGCATGTTGGTGCGTGCGTGTGTGAGTCTCCGTGCCGCGAGACGCAACGACCCCCCCCCCAACCCACCCCTACGTGCCGTGTGCGAGGCACCGCGCTCGGACTCCGCTCCCCGTAACGCCGCCTCTTAAACGGCGGTAATGAGCTGGGGCCCCGCGTGGGGGCAGCCGTGGCGGTCACAACACGAGGCCCTGTGCCTCCGGATCCCAGATCTTGGGACCCCGGGCCCCGCATCCGTGACCTCAAGCCCCCGGCACCAAACCCCCATTCCAGCCGCGGTGACATCAGCCATTCGCCAAGTTAAAAAAGTGGCGATTTTAATGAGAATCAAATTAAGCTTGCGCCGGGAGTGAAATTCCCTTAGGCCCACTTAGTCTAAAAATAATAACCCAGGAATGTGTAATTATGGCACCTCTGCTTTCTTGAAACTGTTAATACTATTCACAATAGGAGTAATAATATTTGTTAATTTTGTTCAGCAAAGCTGCAAAGCTGAACAAAATTCTAATAAAGCTGTAGCTGGGCCTTGATATTTTGTAGCAAGGCCCAATTGCATTGGGATGTTTGGCCAATCCCTTGTCAGGATACCTTTTTCGCGGAAAATTTACGGATGGTAATTCATATTTTTCGCATTAATGGTGGAACGTGTCAGAGAATACATTGACCGAGGAGATGCAGCGATGAAATCAGCTCGGGTAAAGGTGTTGGTCGAACTATTATATGGTGGGATCTTGAGAGATAAAGGTGGCTCATGGAGGCTTTCATCCAGCAGTGGATTGACCATGGCTGCTGATGATTACTAGGCGTGTAAAGATTCACCATTTAATATCGATTGTCATCCTTGCGGTACGTCAGTGAATATATTTAGGATCCGTCGCGTCAACAGTGTTGTCACGCGCGAGGGGTTGGGGAATCTCGGTGTTGTGGGCTGTATCCGGCACACGACCTCATTTCACGCGGCCCACGGCCGCACGAGACCTGCCACTTCAAAACGGCACTCAACCACCGTTTATCCAAACATCGCAGCCAACCTAATCGGGTACGGGGGGGGGGGGGGATATTTGTGACCTATTTTGAGCGCAAGGGGATTCTTGTTGCGGTGGCAGGATCTCGCTAACTCCAATAGGCGCTCGCTAACTTTGCCGTGACAGAAGGAGCCGGTGTACAGGCTGCGCATCCAGGCCACGGACATGGAGGGCACCTGGTTCGGCCTCACGAGCACGGCCCTGGCGGTCATCCACGTGATGGACGTCAACGACAACCCACCCGAGTTCCGGACCTCCACGGTAGGGCAGCTGCACGGCAGGGTGGCTCTATGAAGGGTGGCTCCATTGATAGGGTGCATCCACGGTGGAGCTGCTCCACGGTGGAGCTGCTCCACAGTGGGGCGGCTCCACAGGAGAGCGGCTCACAAGTAGGGTGGCTCCCCGGTCGGTGGCTCCACGATAGAGCTGCTCCACAGTAAGGCGGCCCCACAGTTGAGCTGCTCCACGGTGGGGTAGCTCCATGGTAGGGCGGCTCCGCAGTGGGGAATCTCTACGGTGGGGAGGCTCCACGACAGAGCAGCTCTGTGGTAGTGCACCTCCACCCTAGAACGCCTTTGACGTCCATCGAGGCACCACCATCACCGCCGCCGCGTTTTCTTGAATAATGCGACGCCCACGAGCGCGCGACAGCATCGACGTGTCGGATCGATCGGCCCGGCGTGGCTCTTGTGACCCCCGACCCCCGCCCGCAGTTCTACGGCTACGTGCGGGAGAACGTGCGTGACGTCACGGTGGCCAACATGAGCGTGCTGGACCTGGACGGACCCGGCACGGCCGCGTGGCGCGCCCGCTACGCCGTCCTCCGCGGAGACCCCGGCGGGCACTTTGCGGTGCACACCGACCCGCTCACCAACAACGCCATCCTCACCGTGGTCAAGGTGAGCGCCCCGGAGCGAGAGGCCACGGCGACGGGGCGGGTGGTGGGGCGAGGAACTGGGTTGAGCGAAGGGTGACGGCGGGTGAGGAGGACCGAGTGATGGTGAGCCGGCTGGACAGCTGAGATTGTTTTATTCTAAATGCCGCCAACGGTCGTGTTCAGCTCTCGGCAACCCTTGGGTTAGTGTCCAGGGCTCGGGTTATGGTTTAGTGTCTAGCTGTTAGTGTACGGGATTAGCGTTAGGCCTATGACCGTGAGGAAGCAAATGGTTTCACAGCCCTCCTCAACCCCGTCTTCCTCGCCCTCCTCACCCCCCTCCTCACCCCCCCCCACCCCCGTCCTCCTCACCCCCTCCTCGCCCTCCTCACCCCCCCCACCCCCGTCCTCCTCACTCCCCAGCCCGTGGATTATGAGGTGGACCGCCGCTTCGTGCTGCTGGTGGAGGCGAAGAACGAGGAGGAGCTGCAGGGCTCCCCGTACGCGCCCTTCTCCACGGCCACCGTCTCCGTGGCCGTGAGCGACGACAACGAGGCGCCGCGCTTCTGGCCCGAGCGGCGCACGGTGCGCGTGGCCGAGAACGTGACGCCCGGCACGGCCATCGGGAACCTGTCGGCCCGCGACCCGGACTCGGACATGAGGCAGACCGTGCGGTGGGTGAACACGCAGGCCGTGCGCACGTGCGCATGTGCACACGCACGGACGCACACACCCAATAATAACACGCGCACGTGCACTCAGACAGGAAACTGCAGATGGGAGTGATTACATCTTACAACGACAAAGATCCCCCGTGTAGCCTAAACAGACTGATGGGGCAAGTGCTGTTAGCGAGTAGCACCTACGAAGGCCGGCACGGCACACGATGGTGGGTGGGCGGCCAGCACCACGCCCGGCCGCCTTTGCCCCCACCCCTAGTGGCGATGTTTACACGCCGCACCAGGTAATCAATTAAGGCCGAGTCGACCTAGGCGAGGCCCAGGAACGGTTAAAAAAATTCGCCACTGGTGTTGGCCGCGAGAGCGAATCGAGCTCGGGCTGCCGAGTCCGTAGCGCAGCGCGCTAACCGCTGCACCACCACTCCACACTGGGATGCACGCTGACAGCATTTGCCCCAACAGTCTGTTAAGGCTATGAGGGAGATCTTTGTCTTATAGACTCACACGCCCAAACACTCACACGGATACGCTGGTGCCGATGACGATGATGATGCCAATGATGCTGTCCCAGGTTCTCGAAGCTGAGTGACCCTGCGGGCTGGCTGTCCGTCGACGCGCTCGGAGGCCGTGTGGTGACCACGGCACCTCTGGACCGCGAGTCTCCCTTCGTCTCCTCCGGCTCCTACGTGGCCTCCTTCATCGCCACGGACGGCGGTGAGGCCCACGGCACGGGCCGTGTGCGGCCCACGGCCTCGTTTACACCCCGCCGCGTGTCCAACACACGACCACCTGGCCTCCTGTACCTGGCTTCCTCTGTCCGTGCTGCGTATATATTTAGGTGGGGAGTGGTTGCGCAGTGGTTAGGGCGCTGCGCTACAAACCCAGCGACCCGAGTTCGATTCCCGCCGATGGCAAACACCAGTAATGGATTAACTGAACCGGTCCTGGGCCTACCTTAGGTCGACTCAGCCTTAATCAGTACCTGGCGCGGTGTGCGGTGCTGGCCTTCATAGCTGCTCCTCACTGACAGAACTTGCCCAACAGTCTCTGTCAGATGCTACACGGGGGGGGGGATCTTTGTCTGTGTGTCTGTGTGTCTGTGCATGTACACAGCTGGCGGCACGGGCACGGGCTCGCTGCTGTTGGAGCTCGTGGACATGAACGACAACGCGCCGGCGCTGCTGTCGCGCGAGGCCGAGCTGTGCCTGCGTCCCCGCGCGCGCCGCTCCCTCAACCTGACGGCGACGGACGCGGACGGCGACCCCAACGGGCAGCCCTTCTCCTACGAGCTTCGCACCCTCGCCCCCTGACGTGCGCCGCAACTGGACCATCAGGCGCATCGACGGTGCGACGGCGCCCGACCCTCGAGAGGGTCCCCCCCCCAAAACGGGTCGAAGGGGTCAAAGGGCAGCCTGGGTTTGAGAGGTTGAAAGGGAACGTGGAGTTTAAGGGTCAAAGAGGAATCCATGGATTCCGGAGAGGCGTGTTTTGTGTTTAACATTTCTTTATTCCCCCTTTAAATAAGGTTATGCTACAGGGCCGGTTCAGGAGATGGAGGGGGTCTTGATCAACGAGGGGACAGAAGGAGGATCAAACAGGTCGAGGGGGCAAAGGGGAATGATGAGAGGTAAAGGGGGGAGGAGGGTCTGTGAAGACAAGGGGATGGGCATCCAGGAAGCCCAGTGGGACGAGGGGAATCTGGGGGCGTGGAGTAATGAAGGGGATGTAGGGAGTCAAGGCTGGCTCCAGGCATGCAATGGCTTACTCGTTGAGAACGACGTCACGGGATCGTTGAGGTGCACTGTGAAGCCAGGGCGACGCGTCATCGCGGCAAACGCGCCTGCCGGATTAATCCAGGGTGGCCTGCCTCATCATTCGAACCGCGAACCTCCGCAACAGCGAGCGGCGAACGCGGCGCCATCCCTGGTCCACCCCCCCCCTCCCCACTCCCCGGGCGACCTCTCTCTGTGCGCGCGTCCCGCCCCAAGCAGGCCGCAGCGTGGAGCTGCAGCTGCGCGTGCCGCAGCTGCCCGTGGGCCGCTACGCGGTGCCCGTGCGCGTCACCGACTCGGGGAACCCGGCCATGAGCAACGTCTCCGTGCTGCTCGTCAAGGTCTGCGTCTGCACCGACGACGGCGAGTGCGCGCTCGTGCAGCCGCTCGTGGCCGCTCTCGGCACCGGCGCCATCATCGCCATCCTCACCTGCGTGTTGCTGCTGCTGGGTGAGACTCCAGAGCCGGGCGTCCCGTCCACTACCCCCCCACCACCACCGTGCTCGCTTGTGCAGGAGTGCTGTGTCTCCTTCCCCCCCGCGTGTCCCCGTGCCCCTGCGACCGCGTGTCTCTGCCCCGTGTACATGTCCCCACATTTATCTCGTCTTTCTCCCCATCTCCCTGTGTTGACGTCTCTATCTTCTGTCCTCGCATTAAAACGTCTCCGTGTGCCTCGATGTCCACATGCCCCTACATCCTCTGTCCACGAGTCATTATGTCCTCGCACTCACATGTCCCCTGCTCTCTGTGCTTCCATGGCTCCTGTGTCCCCGTGGCTTCATTCCCCGTGTCCCCCACGTGTCCCCCACGTGTTCCCATGGCTTCATGCCCCGTGTCCCCTGCAGTCTTGGTGCTGCTGCTCGCCGCGTACTCGCGCCGCCGCGACAAGGACCACGCGGCCAAGGAGCTGCTGTTCGAGTCGGAGGAGGACGTACGCGACAACATCCTGCGCTACGACGAGGAGGGCGGCGGCGAGGAGGACCAGGACTACGACCTGAGCCAGCTGCAGCGCCCGGGAGACTCTCCCCTGCGCCGGCCGGAGTGCGCCGGCCGTGGCGGCGGCGGCGGCGGCGATGCCGGCACGGCCCTCCGGCGCCTGGACGAGAGGCCCACGGCCAGCCCGGGCCCTCGCTACCCGAGCCGGGCAGCGGGGCCCCCGCAGCACCCCTCCGACATGATGGACTTCATCGGGGAGGTGAGGAGCGGGAACGGGAGACTTAATCAGTACCTGGCGCGGTGGTGGGGGAGGGGGGGGAGCGGAGTGTGTGGGTCGTGAGAGTGGCAAACCGTGGCGGGGTGTGTTAGTGCACGCGTGTTCGTGCTTGCATGTCCACGCATCTGTGTGTGTAGCGTACACCTGTGTCCATGTAAATAACGGGGAAACCCATCCCAACAGAAGAATGAATGCGGGCTGGAAACGAATATATTCAATAACAGAGGTGTGCATTGCAGTTCTTTTGAGCTGGTGGTCTGGAAAAGGCAGAGTGCTTTTGCACGTGCAGCGATTAAACAGTGTGCACTAGTTAATCTTTGTGCGCATGCTTTATCCACGCGTGTCAGTGTTTGTGCGTTGGATTTTTGTTGTTGCATGTGCGTCCACGTGTCCGCGTGTACACACAGCCATGCGCTTGTGTCTGCGCGTCTGTACCTGCGTGTGTGCGTGTGTCCATACTTTCGCTCGTACGTCTCCACCCGGGAGCGTTCACCGGCGCGTCCCGTGCTCCCGCGCGCGTCCCACGCAGAGCCTCCGCGCGGCCGACCAAGACCCGACGGCGCCCCCGTACGACTCGCTGCTCATGTTCGACTACGAGGGCAGCGGCTCGACGGCGGGCTCCCTCAGCTCCCTCGAGTCCTCGTGCTGCTGCGGGGGCACCGAGGGCCCCTCCGGGGGAGACCCCGACCACGACTACGCCTACCTGCGCGAGTGGGGGCCCCGCTTCCGCCGCCTCGCCGACATGTACGGCTCTCACGAGTAGCGGCGGGCGGGGACGACCCCTCGCCTCGTGCCAAGTCTCCAGTGCCAAGTCTCGTCCCCTACATCCCATCGTGCCCTCCTCCTCTGCCCCCCACCCATCCCTACCTACTCAGCCCTTTTTCCGAACGGGCTTCATTTTCACCGATGATTTTCCGCGTCGCTACCTAGAGTGGGGTCGGTGGCGCGTGGCCCTGGCCAGCCACAGCCACCTGCAAAAGGGGAGGTATCCTGGATGCGGCGGGTCAGTCGTGGATACGTTTAAGTCCTGGGGGCCACAACACCGGAGTACCCACCCCCCGCGGCGGGGCGAGGAGAGGCCACCCGCTCCACCAGAGCTCTCGGGAAGAAGCCCCGCGGGCGTTGAGGCTTGGCGCTTGACGCCCGCGCGGCTGGGCGCCGTCGGCCGCGGCCTCGTGAAGATCCCGGGGTCTCCGACGCGGGGAGCCCCTGCGATCACGGGAAGAAGCCGCCGAGTAGCACGGGGCCGCTGCCCACGATGGAAACCACTCGTGGACGAGCCCCCCCCCCCCCCTCAGCCGGCGGGGGGGCGGGGGGTCCCGTGGGCCGTGAGTCCAGCCGCGAGCTGGGGCAGCGTTGGGCACGCCGCGTGATGGCGGAGCGACCGCGTGGAGTTGGAGGTCTCAGTCCTCTCCCCGCACGCCGCGGCCCTCGCCGAGTCTCCACACGGGAGCTCTCGTTTCTCGCCCGTCACCGAGAGGTGGTGGCCGTGGTGGTCGTGCTTGGCGTTTTTAACCATTGTGCTGGTGGCGGTGGCCCGGTGAGATGTCGCCTGCCGTGTTTGCCCCAGGGGCTGGCTGCACGAAACACCTTTGGCCAGGTTCGTTCACAAGTTGGCGCGGCAGTTGCATCGTGCAAACATCCCCATGTTCTCCTGATTGCAAGACGCAATTGATCCCTACCCTCGATTCTACAGCAAACCTTGCGGGTGGTAGGGCGGTGTCTTTTAAGTCTGGCAGTTGCGTGAGCGTGACCAGATATGCATAACACAAGGCACAAGTTAGGGGTGCGTCTTACTTTCAAGAGCATCTTATAATCTGGAGAATGTGATATTTGTCTTAAGTCTGATGATAATAATAATAATACCAACGTGATTTCTTTACCGCTCCATTTTTGTGTTCGCGTCCTTTCTCTGTACGTGGCGGCGTTGTTCCTCCTCCTCCTCGCGATGAAGGATAAATTGTCGTGACACGATTGTCGCTTCGATGAACGCCGCGGCGTCCAATGCTGTAAATATACGTTTGAAAAAAAAAGTGTTCGCATCTCAACGAAACGGCCAAAACGCATCGCATGGCCTTGCCGTTTGCCCCCCCCCCCCCCCCCCCATTGGCGGCTGTGGGGATTTTGGCGCAATGACCCCTTCCCTCGTCGGGCAGGATTCCCCTTTGCCGTGCGAGGTCTCACTCAAAGGAGAGGAGCGCTGGCTTAGTCAACGGAGGGCAAGTGCAAAAAAAAACGTAATTGTTGTACTGTACTACGCCCAACCGTCTATGCGCTCCACCTTCAACTGTTGTACGATCTAAGACCCCCCCACCACCACCACCCGCATGGCGTAGGGGGAGGTTCTCATCCAGCAGTGGATTGACCAAAGGGCTCGCCGTGTAGGCGTACTGTGCGAGGGAAAGGACCGCGAGGGGTGTTCGTGAGACCGTCTGCCTGGGCTCTGGGGGGGCTCCCCACGCTTGCTCGCCGCCAGGCAAACACGTGGCGGTGGTGGTGGCGCGGCCACCCTCTCGCTCGCCCACGTGGGGCGGTTTTTGTTGTTCAGGTGGTACCGCGCAATGCTCGGCACCATTGACGTTTCTCTCCACGTGCTGGGAGGTTCTTCAGGAACTGCACGCGTTGAGCGAAACATCGGACAACCGTGCCAAGCATCGCGCGGCACGAGCCGGAAACGCGGCGGAGAGCCATACGGTAGCACAACCGCGAAAGCCAGGCGCGATCCCCCTCTCACCCACGTTGACCATGAACTTTGCAAATCGCCCAGGTACGAGACACCGAATGATGTGTACAGCACCGCAGGCCCACTGGCGTGGCAACCATTGCACTGCCAGTGACAGCATCATGCCATTTACTTACCCCGGAGATTCTCGCTGAGTCTCAAAACTAGTTTTTTTCAGGAGAGCCCTGCAGTATTTGCATGATTGGCCAAATCCATTATTACATTTTGGCTTCGTTTCAGAGAAAACTGTAGTAAACAAAAACAACCCCAACTCGCATACGATGGGGGGGGGGGGGGGTGCACCTGGCACTGCCATCTCCTGGCCACTCCTCGCAGCCCCATGCCTACAACGCCTGGCAAGCCCTGGTGCTCACCCATCAAGGAACTAAGCAGGCCCAACCCCGATTAGCGTCTGAGATCCGACGAATTCTGGCGCGTGTATCGGTGATAGGGCCATGTGGCACGTAGCTGCGCCTTTGCGCAAACCTAGTTCAATAAACCTGTGACCTTAGAACCGTTGCTGAGATTTGCGGCCAATTAGGCCAATTAGATTAATTGAACCCGCTTGGCCGTAAGCCAGCACAGCACGCTGTCGGGAGGTTAGGGGCCCAGAGGTCGGCTATATAAAACCACTTAACTATAATATTCCCCTAGCCGCTTCTTTAAATTCGTGTTAATTAGGAGGGGGGGGGGGATCTCGCGAAAGGTGTTTTATGCACGTGGCGGCAGACGGACCCTGGTGGGAACGGGGACTGCCCCTGACCACGCCACAGTCGGATCCCGGGGAGAGGAAGAGGTGGCGAGGGGGGTTGGGTCTCCCATGCCAAGCAATGCCACGTGCCAGATCGGCTTTACTGTTACACTTCTCAAACCCCGGAGCAAGTACCCGTCTCCCCCCCCCCCTCTCTCTTCGCTCTGTCTCTCCGTGCCCTGTCCCCCGCTAGCTTTGGAGGAGAGACGCTTGCAGCGCATTTTCGCCCCCCCCCACTCCTCTCGAGTGTTGATGTCACGGGGTCGGCGGCGGGTGGTGGTGGTGGTGGGGGAGCGACGCACGGGGTCGCCCCCCCCCCCCCCCAGTGTGATGCATGCTTCAAGGATGCTGCCGTGCGCGCGCGCGTGCGCGTGCCTGCGCCTACCTCCGCGGCCTCCTCTCAGTTCTGTCTGTGTGTGTGCGTCTCGTCCACTTTTTAAAGCCCGGCTTTTTGTAAAGCGTGCGCCCGTGTGTGTGGATAAGGGGAACGCAGCCCCCGCTGCCGTGCGTTTTGTACTCGCGGGGCGCCACGCGGCGCCGCTGCCGCCGCCGTTGCTGCATCCGCGGAGAAGCGGAGTCATCCACCAGAGTCCACCACGACCGCGCCATCAGTCGCGCAACCTTGGCTGCATGCAACTGTGGCTCGTCTCTGCAACCAACCGCGAGCAACTGCCACAGCCGCTTGCGTGCGCGCAGTAGGGACGGGGAGACTCTGCTTTCAAGCAACTCAATACATTGGTCAATAACAGCTGGTGCTTTCAAATACAAATTTACGACAGAAGGTCCATTACCCGAAACGTCGTCTATTATATTATCTTACGTTTAAGGCCACAGTGTTATTGAGAAACGTGTTGAGTTTGTTGCTGTTGTTAATTGTGCTTGTGCACCGCTGCCAACGCAGCAGTAACGGCGTGTCGCCAAATAATTGGGCCACTTTCAAGTTTCGAGTGACCCTGCTCGGGCGATTCGGTTGCCCAACTGGCGGGGCCGAGGTGTGGTGGTGGAGCCGGCGCGAGAGGTTCTCGTCGTGTCGTCGTGTCGTGCTGTCGAGCGTCCCACGTGGACGCGCCGTTCTCGCCGTCTTGTCGCGTCCCCACTCGGGGGGGGGGGGGGGTCACGCACGTCCAGTCGTCGCGTGCCCCGTGTTTTAGCAGCGCCGAGTTAAAGTGTTCAACACAAAGCCACGGCGTGTCCTCGAAATAACAAAAAGCCAAAGTGATGTTCAGCTCACATGATCATTGGGGCGCCCACCTGCTATTTTACAGCCCTGAGCCAGTGGTAGAAATTCCTCGTTCCTATGGCGGGTTTGAGTTTATCCATAGGACAACCACTGTTCGTTTCCCTACAAAGCAATACTAATTTTAGTGACCTCGGAGGGATGGTTGATTGAACGAATCCATTCCCCCCAACCGTGATTTGACCTCACAACCTTAAGATTAGTGAGCAGCTGGCTCCACCGCTTGGCCACCGAACCTGGGAGTAGCGTGGGCGGATATACCTTGTCCCGCACATAGCAGGGATTTTTTTTAACATCCCTAATACTTGAACACAAGATTGGAGGGATATTGAAAATCGCACTCCCGAAGCTCAGTCAAGCCATCGTGCAAAGCCACGATGCTAACCGCGTCGCCAGCCGCGTCTCTCCGCTGCTCAGGAACGACACAAGGCAGGCACTCTCAGTGTGGGTTTCTACTGAAACACTATCTACTGCATAATATTGGATTGTGCGTGACAGAACTGGCTTATGATTTCCCATGGTTTCAGTGGCGTAGTATTGAGCATAAGGCCACAATAACTTCCATAGCCTGCACGGTATGGGGTGGCCCTCATTCAGCAGTGTATTCATATATACACCACAGAATCACATCATGCTATTTAGGAACAAGTGTGGTAGGCTGGCTGGCGCGCGGGCGGACATGTGATCCGTGTTGACGTCATACGCACATCTGCGCGATGACGTCACATGCATCCCACCGCATTGATCCGGGTTCGTACGTGCCGACGTTTCGCCTCCCCACACCCCACCCTCCACCCCGACTCTGTATCCCGCGCAAATACGCGGGCAGTACTGTACTAGTAAAAAAAGTGAATTCGCATTGCAAGCTGTGAATAGGATGCATGTGGTCTTCATGTACCCCATCACCGAATCATCTCCGGTATTTCGAGGACATGCTGTACTACCTCCCGATGTGTTTATTTTTTCTTTGTACTCCGTTCAGCTGCGAGATTTTGCGCGTTCACAGGGGCTGGGACACGAGGCAACAAGTGCTGTCGATTGCATCGTGCCGACGACTCCTCATCTGTGATCCGGCCTCCTGTGCTTTACTCGCTGCGGAGTGACGACGGCTTCTGTTTTTTACTCAAATAAATCTGTGTCTCACTTTTGCACCGCCCCTTGCCAAGCCACTCACTGGGACGTGGGTTTCGACAATGAACCGTAAGTGTACCGGCCCGTTATCCCACGCTGAGTGAGGGTTCACCTGATGCCGCGAAGGTCATTGGGGTGGGGGGGGGGTTACTTTAGCCATATGCTTCACCACGCTGGTCCAAGCGGGTTTATAACGGCGTGGAGCACAGATATGGCAGCACCTAAGTACGGCAACTGACATTGATTTTACTTCACTGCTCTCTGCTGATGCTGCACACAACAGCGCTCACCTCCTGTTTGTTTGACACGGTGGTCGCATATCCAAGCACTACCTACCTCGGGCTCCATCCTGCTTAGCCCCTGAGATTCTGATGAGATCGGGCGCATGCCCGGTGATTTGGACAAACACGGGGAACATAGGCGAGGGATCTTTTCAGCACCGTGGAGAGCGAAAAAACACTCGTGGATCACAATGGGTAAATCACAACTGAGAGATTTGGGAGCATGCAAATAATGCGGGGGTTTTAACGAGGAATTGCAGATGTTGGCAGTTTTGGGCTTTGATGCTGGACACTGAGAGTCTTAACATTTGCGATAAATGCAGTCAACAGCAACGGTTTAGAGATGGGTACTGTATCACGGGTGTCAGCAGGAAGTTGTAATATGGAGGAAGTAATATGTTTGTATATGAATCAGAGCGCTGGACATAACAAGTACAACTCTTTAAACCAATCCACTGCTGGATGAGGGCCTCCACACGCCGTGCAGGTCATGTGCACTATTTGACCAAACTGGTCAGTAAAATAAGGAGTATAGACTTAGGGCCGGCAATGAAATAATACAATACATTGGACTGTGCTACACTGGCATCTTCTGCCAACAACCCTGCATCCACTAATACCTCTGATAATACCCGTTATAACGCCTGTTATAGCACCCGTTATACACGGTTATAGGATTGACACGCGACTCTTAAGAGCACGTGGCTCCGGGAGACCATGCCTCTGTGTTGTGAGGCACGATCAGCTGGCGCTAGTCACGTGCTCGCAGGGACGACCAATCACAGCGACGCATCAAATATTTAACCCCCCCAGCCCACAGGCACCATGCCTCCTCCCCTCCATCCCATGAACCTCGACCAATGGGTACGCGGTGTTAGCACCACGTGACAGTGGCGAGCGCGTGACGTTCGACGTCGCATTCGCACGTGACCGTCCAAAGAGCCCCCCTCGTGAGGCGGAACCAATCAGGAGCTGGCGATGGTGCATGCTCCAGACGCATTTGGCTCCAGATGCAACCAAACTCGGGGGGCATTTTGGTTGCGCCTGCCAATCGTCTCAGTCGGTCAACTCCACGGCACCTGTGGGGTCAGTTCCGTGACCTCCTTTGCCAGCAGCGAAGACTTTCAACAACTTCACGCGGCCTCAAAGTGCCAATAACCAATACCCGCCATTCGGCAATGAGTGACTGTGACGTCACCGCGGCGCCTGTGCCAGGCCAGGTGCACTTTGAATGCGAAGTGCACCTGGCGCGCCAACGCCAGCTGCTCCTGATTGGTTCCGACTCACGGGTGCCGCCTGTGCCAGGTCAGGTGCACTTTGAGTGCACCTATCCTGGCACAAGCGCCGCGGTGACGTCACCGCGACCTGGCGTTTAAACTTGGGCTGCTGTTGTTGTTGGCGCCCCGCATCACGCGGTCTCGTGCGGGGAACAATTTCCTCTGAGCGCTCTGACCAATAGCAGCTCGCGACATCACAATCCCGTGACCGTCCAGGGGTTCCGTCAGGTCGGATTAGCTCCACCCCCTTCTCGGCACGTCAGCCAATGAAAAGGCGCGCTCTACGCAGCGCCCTGATTTGCATAAATCAGCACCTCCTACGCGACAAAGGCCCCACCCCCCCCCCACCACCGTGAGTCACGTGACCCCGGCACCATTCGCTCGTCACGTGACCCGGGCCTTCGTCTTCCCCACCCCAGAGAAAATCGGCGGCGGCGGCGGCGGCGGTGACAGCGACGATAACAAAAAAGATGTCGCGGTTCTCTGAGCTCTCGTTCAACGTGGACCATGGCTACCTGGAGGGGCTTGTGCGTGGCTTCAAGTCGGGTATCCTGCGCCAGGCCGACTACCTGAACCTCATCCAGTGCGAGACCCTCGAGGGTGAGCCGGCGGATTGGTGCCGGGGTGCGGGATAAGAGGCACGGTGATCGGTAGGGCGGCCAGGCGAGCCTCGGGGGCCCGAGAGCGGCCTGGTCTCACGTTCATCGTTTTCTTAACGCTTCTTTTGATTCTCAATTAACCCGTCCTGTCTCTCTCTCTCTCTCTCCTCCGGCCTGACTCGCTCCCCTGCTGAGGCGTTAATCTCATGGTTATAGCCTTCAGCTTGTGGTGAAAGTCCCGCTTTTCTGCGGCGGAGATGCGGTGGCTTTCATCCAGCAGTGGATACATGATGATGATGATGATGATCGCGTGGGGGAGCGAGGCTGTAGAATGGCCGCTGTAGAAATCTCACAAAAGCGGTAGTACTCGTGTTATAGAGCGCGGAGGGAGGGATGATGCCTTGCTAAACTCGTAACGTTATTTATGATCAGTCATTTGTATTTTTGCCTTGGCATCGTGTGTACCGTATACCATGGTCTTCCGCCTTCACCAGTCCCCAATAACCACTGCGTGCAGGGGACCCCCTCGTCAATCAGTGGTTTGATTAAAAAATTAGTTTGTAAATGTACAATTAGCACTCCAGATCTCCCTTGTCCAAGAGACGTTTCTCATGGGGATCTCGCCTGGCTTAACTGGTTGGTGATGTGTCGCAAACTCTGCTCACAGAGTCAAAAGATTTGTGAGTACAGCGATGTTATTACTGAATCAATTTGTGTGGCTATGTACGTACCCCCCCCTCTCCTCGTCATATCTGTAGTCTTTTTGAGGTATTCCTGTTTCCTGCCATTAATGGAATATTTAAACATCCCAATTTTGGCACCTACTGAAAACTATCTACTATTGCGTGAGGCTTTCGTGGATAAATTAGTGTAATAAGTCGTATCCAGCCACGCTACACCGTGCCGGGGTTATTTCACCACAAATTCACCAGGGCTTCTCAGTACGGGTTGGTGAAGGGGGGGGGGGGTAAAGTGTGGGTGCGCTCACATCCAATACATCTGGTCGCCGTGGAAGAGTAGACCAAATACCCTCCCAGAGCTCCCTGTATTTGAGGGCTCTTTCACCAACGAGCAGGGGCATGAGCAGGAAAGTAATTTATGGATTGCACCTTCACCTTGAAACCGAGAAACGGAGGCAAAATTTTCTTCGGTCGCCGTCTGGTTTGTACATTCGCGCGTGCCAATCTACATTCATTTGTAAAAATCCACTGAAACATTTGTCGTATTTTGGCTTTCGAAACCGGGAATCGATTCTAAAATTGGTTACCGGTTTAGCGGGTTATTGGTTAACAACCCTACTATGAACCAGAGTTCGGTTCTCGGCAATTGCTGATGCCAGCGGCGAGTAGTATCTGAACCGCTACTGACACCGTTCACTATTCCACACTGAGCAGCACGATGGAGTGTGGTCAAACAACCTCCATGACCCCAACAGCGTGGAGAGACCTTAATCGAACAGTCGATTGGCAAAGGGCTGCACATCTGGGATGTGGTTTTTTGGGGTTGTGCCTTTTAAACTTGCATGTATTGGCTCAATGGTGTAGTCTAGAGTAAACGCTTATACATTGATTTTACCGACTTCTCAGTTCAAGAAGATGGCTTTTTTTCCATATGTTTGTTTATACAGTTTGTCTTTTTGTTGTTACCACTACACTACTGGTATTGTGTGGCCTGCAGAGGCGTTACATATGGGCAATGTTAGAGCCGATTCACCTTCACAAGCAAGACGTGTCACTGCTCATCCTTAAACGTCTACAGCAGAGTCCATCCCACAAGCCCGGGATTAGGTGTACAACGTTATTGACCTATATGAAGCTAATAATCAGCTTATTATAACAGACATTCCCGTTTGTAAATGATACATGTTCATCTGATAAAGAATGGCGTTTGTACAACGATGCCACTTAACATTAAGTGTTCGTGCTAAGAACAGCGACTGGAGTCGTCACGATCTGCCTACTGTTAGATGAAGTAGGTCAACAGTCCATTGTAACTATAGTAGTAGTAGCTGGAGTTCGTAACAACTTGAGTCTTCATTGGCAGGATTAATTTGTGATTGAAAGTGCGTAGTTCCTGGAGTCAAAGGTAGTTATGGTCTATTTGATTTCTCAAGGATAATTAATGATTCTGATTCTGACCAGTAGATTCAGTGAGTAGTACCTGAGGTCAGTGTCTCGAGTCAGTAGGAGTTGGACTCAGTTGCTGGCATGTAAATGTATAACAATTGGCAATCCAATACCGGCTGAGGGCCTCCCCACACCATGCATGTCGTGGTGGTTGTATGACCATTCTTGTTTACGCTAGTCATTACGGGTTGGTGAAGTGGTGAGTATAATTCTGGAGTGTAGTAATACATTTTATTTTGAGTAAGTACTAGCAGCCTCAGTATGTAACATCACATTCCCCCGGTGAGATTGTGCACTTTCCAGGGGGTGGTTGTATTGAACTCGCATTTAGCAGAGATATGGCGGAACACGTGTGCCCATCAAAGCCAAGCCTTTTTGCCAGCTGAGAGGCCAGATCTCCTCTCCCAGCACCCAGCACTCCTTGCTGCTCATTCCTGCTGCTCCCCCTAGGGCTCAATCTCGCCCAGGCCAGTTCACTCAGCTTGGGGCCAGCGTGAGCCTCAAGGGCAGGAGGGCGAGTGCCGCAATGTTTACTGTTTACCCTGGCCTCAGACGAAGCCGGGGCTGGCCGCTTTGTGATGGTTTGAGCCTCATCTCGTGACTGGCGGTGGAGCTGCATCACCCTGTGCCCTTGTGTGTGGAATGTCGCCAGGCTAATTGTCAGCCTGCGTCCAATTAAAGCATTAATCAGGGCCAGGGGTTATCAATCAGGTGGCCCGTCTTGTTACCGGCGCTATCCCGCGTTGCATGCAGAATACGTTTATTTGCAGGCAAGATATATGGTGACGATTATCGGTGTTGTGCCTGTAATTCACGCAATGTAGGACATTGTGGATCAAGATACATTTACTGTTGTGGGACAAAATTAAAACTGCCGCACCATTGCCCTTCACTGCCCGCTCTCCTGCTGTCAGGGCTTAGTTTCTCGTGAAATTGATCTAGATTTTATTGTAATGGAATAGGTTCTATTAAAATGCCTGAACTGAGGATTTTGCCTTGGATATAGAGTGCGTCTTTGAGATGATTCCTAAAAAATTGGAGTGGAAAACATAACCTGATAAAATGTCTTACAGTGGGGATACTTTTATTTCGTGGATTCGTGTATATCCCTCGGTCTGATTGAAAGTCAGTCCTTTGTTTGAGTTTTATTGTCAAGTTTGTCCATGCGAACACAGTTATGGGTCCCTGAAGCCCAGAGCCAGACTTGTGTCGGATAAAGCTGGATTTGCCAAACCCTAACTAGAGCTGAGAACAACCCGAGTGTTCTCATTGCTGGCTTAACCATAGTCGTCCAATCTCATTCTTCTGCAGCACAGGGGGCAGCGTGTTTATACTGCACGTCTTGGAGGCGTGCATTGAGCGGTGTGCACGAAGGGGTTGCAGATTGGGCGTTTGACCACTGTTCTGTCCGTGTGGCCTCTGTAGGCATGGTAACGATGCATCCGTTCATTAGTTAAAAATCAATTCTTACACAAGCACTACATAGATAGAATAGTACGTGTGAAATTTAGACTAATGGAGTGAGAGTTATTGTACCAACGAGACAAAAAATGTTTATTTGAAACTATAAATATGAAGGGTGTGGTGGAAAAACACTTTAACTCATAGAAATCTGCTTGTCTGTAAAGTAGGCTGCTTTAGAGTAGCCAGAGTAAGTGGATGACAAAAGTGAATTATTAAATCTATTTTGTCATATGTGGAGAAATTTTACAATAATAACTATCCACAGCGGATTGTAAACTATTCTGATGAAGGGATCACCCTCACCCTTACATTCTTTGTGGAACTACCGATCAGACTTTTGGATAGATTGAAATGTCAGTCATAGGCTGAGGGACTGATCTGGGCTCATTTGCAGTCGTGTAATTCGTAATGAATTACAATCGCATTTTAATTGTAAAGCTAGCCAACAACGCTTTTGTAATTCTAATTTGGCAAAACTTCAAGACATGGGGGGGGGGAGCAACAGCATAGAAGAAATTACTACCCATCGATTAGAGATTGATTTAGCACATTGACAGGAGGCCTTGGTTACTTCGCCAACTGCTCAAGTCTTTGCTGGTAGTAAGGGGTTGGTTAAGCGCAGTGCCGAGCATGGGCGGTGGGAGGATAAGTGTCTCTCTGTTCGTCATCACCCCTGTGCCGTGTGTGTGTGACGCAGATCTCAAACTGCACCTGCAGAGCACGGACTACGGTCACTTCCTGGCCAATGAGGCGTCGCCGCTCGCTGTCTCTGTCATTGACGACAAGCTCAAGGAGAAGATGGTCATTGAGTTCCGCCACATGCGCAACCATGCCTTCGAGCCGCTCGCCACCTTCCTGGACTACATCACGTGTGTGGCTCCGTGCTACACCACAGCACCACTTTCTCTCTCTCTCTCTTTTTAGCCCTGTCTCAGTAAAGTTACGTTTACAATTAAAAAAGCGCCCGATGCCATCACTGTACCACCGACTGCCATCGTCTGCTGTTGCAGCGGTGCCATCTGCTTCTGCGATCTGTCGCTGAGCTGTAACTTTTGTAGTTCTTGGTAATTCACATTCATCACTGCTGTGCTTGTGGTCTGGAAGTCCAGGCTCGTTTGCTCTGTCAATGACTGACTGCCTCACTCTACAACATAAATATGCCCATTACTTCTATTGAATGTTGTGAGATGTGGTCTCATTTAGAGACCGCTATATAAATCCACATTGTATTGTGATGTTGTTTGTTTTACAATGGAGGTTATTCAAAGACCTTTGTCCCTGATGAGGAACGGTATTTAGATGCTCACGGCCCTCAAACACAAATAGCTCTTGTCTTGTAGATAGACATTTAATGATGAATTGATTAAAATTTATTCTGACACTCGCAATTAAATAATCGGGATAAAGCTGTATATGTTGTATTTAATTGGTTCAACATGACTTCAGCAAACACTGGTGAAAATTCATTCGCCACTGCTTCTCCCCCCATACTACTTATGTGGATCAAAAATAATTCTTACAAAATTCAAGTAATGTATTGTGAGCATAATAAGCCTGCTGCGTAGAGCACGTCCGCTGTGCGAGACCCGGTTGACTAAGATAGAGTGTTCGTGCCACTGCCCGTGGGACAGGTACAGCTACATGATCGACAACGTGATCCTGCTGATCACCGGCACGCTGCACCAGCGGCCCATCGCCGAGCTTGTGTCGAAATGCCACCCGCTGGGCAGCTTCGAGCAAATGGAGGCGGTGAACATCGCGCAGACGCCCGCTGAGCTCTACAATGCCATCCTGGTGGACACGCCGCTCGGTGAGATGACGCGGGTGATACCCTTCCGCCAACACCACCAGCCCGCACTGTCATGTGCAGCACTGAGAGCAATTGGACTTGCACACAAAAGGACCGGTGCCTAATCTAAAACTGCTTATGATTTGTTTTCCAGGTCCCTGGTGGACCAGGAAGTGGCACGTGACTAGTAGCCCCGACCTATAGTAATATACTGGATGTGGTGTGCTGGGCGTCAATATTTTACGTGTCGCCGACATGGGTAGCTTCAGCTCAAATTAAGCTCTGACGAAAGGGTATTTCTAGAGAGGAAAATGTTCATTGTGACTATAGAATCGGTCCTCCCATCATGCCTTACATGTTACGTGACATCGCCATACTGTTGGGCATAATGCACACAATCTTACTTTAGACCACCAAGTCAAAAGAGTCCATTCTGGCCACAATTTTAGACAGCTGCAGGATGATCACACCACTGTATACCGGTTCCATCTTCATTTGGAAACATCTTTATTGTACATCCATCCTTCTCTACTGCTACCTTGTGCTTCGGGGGTTTATGTGGACAAGCCCTTCCTGATCACACTGCAGACAGCTTTTTGTTTGAGGCACCGCTCCTTGTGGTGCCAGGTGGCACATACAGAGCACAGGGCTGATACCACTGAGAACCTGGGTTTAATGCGGATTGTATCTGCCCTTGATTAATTCAGCTTCCCAAGCGTAGAGAGTTAATGGTCTTAACCTGATGACCCAATGACTGCACACAATACCAGCACATTGAATGTTGTTTTTTTGCTAATTTGGCAAAAATCCATCTCTGAGTTTTAAAGAGGTATCAAGCTCAACCCCCATTCAACAGACACTTCTGCAATAGCAGGTTAGGTGGGAAAATATGCGTCCTTAAAAATATAACCTCATTAATCTAGAAGTTCTGTGATGTCAACTACTGCAGGCCCGTTCCCTAACATGGGGTGATGCCCTGCTCTCAGTCCCAAACGAATATTTCACCCCCTGGCCCACAGCACAATTGGATTGGAAAAAAGACAAAAACTCAAGCAGTGCTTCATCCAATCAATAGCGATTCCCGGCTGCTTAACTACATGCCAATCCATCCCCTTCTTTCCCATTCACAGCTGTGCCGCACCCTCAAACGAACCTATTTCAACCCCGTGAGCTCCCAAACCATTTCTGATTGACGGCAATAGTATTTTTCAGGGTACGAGCGTTTTTTTGCCGCGTCACTTTTGATCTGCTTGGCACCAGTTTAACCTCGGAGCGACACCAAGCATAATTTTTCCGTGAAGACGTGGTCAAAGTCCACTTGGCTGAGACACCAGGTGGCTTTACACTCCAAATGCAATTATAGTTAATATGGTTAATATGTACGGTTGATATGTGTAGATTTTAAAACTTAATTCTGGCTCGAGCGCCGTCGGAAAGTGGCTTAGGCACGGCATTCTCTGACAAGGTTCACGGCGTCTGGTGACGGCAGCTCACGGACTCGCACCTAACCCAGCCCATTGACACTTGGGTGCCAACCTCTACCAAACTCTTTTACGGTGCCTCTTGATCTCATAATTGCGCCGGTTGTTTTTTTTCTCTCTTCTACTTTAGTGCGTTTCATTCACCACCATTAAGTACCTCATTAGTAAGTTGTGCAATGTTGCTCAAGGATCTGTACTCGCTCGTTTTTTGCAATACGGATCTTTCTGTCCTTGGCTTTTGTTGGTGTTGTGCTTGCGCAACAGCAATCCCTCTTGTAGCTGGCTGAACGGGATCATCCGTGGAACAAATAAGATTTCAAAGCCGGCGGCTTAGTTATCGGGTGTGCAGGAGGTACAACTGTACAGGAGGGGGAGCCCAGGTGCTGGGCTACGAAAATGGAAGAAATTGGATTGGAGCAACCCTATTCAGTTCCTTGAACCATGGCCCATGCCAACAATGGTACACCAGCAGTGCCAGCCTCTGGATTTATAGAGTGCACTGTACCCAATAAAAAAAGATAAGAGTTTCACCACTACCAGGGGCAGTAGTCAACTTACTTTTTGCCAGGGGATGGAAACAAACCCTTAGAGACCACGCGAGACAAGTGGTCCTTTTGAAAATGCCACTGCTCCCCCATGTAGTCATGCCTTGAGCCTTCGCCCTCGGTGTTTCCACAGCCCCCTTCTTCCAGGACTGCATCTCGGAGCAGGATCTGGATGAGATGAACATTGAGATCATCCGGAACACGCTGTACAAGGTAGGGGCCACTCCTGAGCACGCTCTGTCACCTCCGTGCACCTCCGATCAGCACGGTTGGCAGGCTACGTACGATGCAAAAGAAGTTCAACACACAAACATACATACTGTGGTCGTCCCGCCGTGCCCATGATGCTGCGGCTTGTTTTTTTACGAATAACCATAAGTCACTGACAACTGCTCACTTGTTGCAAACCTCGAACAATTTATTGGTCAATGCCTGATGGTTGCGAGTGCACCCGATAACATCAGCAGTTCGAAAGCGAAGCGGATTTGAGCCTGCATGGTGCTTTCATGGAGAATCGGCACTCATACCAGGTGGTTATAGGATGTGGGACGACGTCTTCGTTCCCAGCATTCACCAACCCGGACTCGTGTGGTGATGTACAGTCAACGACTCCCACGACCCATACATCTGTGGGGGGGGGGGGGGGGGGGAGGGGCTTCATCCACCAGTGGATGGACAAAAAAGTGCGATGCATTTATTTACCATGTTTGTGTTCTATGTGGTTTGTGCCTAATTGTGTATTTATTTATACTCGCTGTGTCTACCATCTGTATATGTATGTACTTTGTGTTCCATGTGTGTCAACTGTGTGTACTCTGTATGCGGATCGTGTGTGCACTCTTGTGTTCTGTGTGTGTGGTGTTTGTTAACGGCTCGCCATGACCCAGTGTCTTGCTCGATGCTCCCCCAGGCCTACCTGGAATCTTTCTACAAATTCTGCAAGAAGCTGGGGGGCACCACAGAGGATGTGATGTGCCCTATCTTGGAGGTGAGTGGTCACCGCTCCCCAACTCAAGGCCCTGTTTTTCACGAGGGTTCCGTGCTTGTAAAACATCTGAATAGACAACGTGTGTGTGTATATATAGACGATGGTGCAAGGGTGGTTAGCTGTGGTTTTCTGGGAGGTGTGGCTGGCGAATGATGATCCCTCGATCGTTTGTGTCAGTTTGAGGCCGACCGCCGCGCCTTCGTCATCACGATCAACTCGTTTGGCACGGAGCTGTCCAAGGAGGACCGGGCGCGGCTGTTCCCACGCTGCGGACGCCTCTTTCCCGAAGGCCTCACCCTGCTGTCCCGCGCCGAGGACCTGGAGCAGGTCAAGGCTGTGGCGGACTACTACCCGGTGAGACTAACCAACCGTAGAGGCGTAGCTCGTGACTGCTAAATCCGACCCTCGGCATGACCTTTGCTGCGTCCCAGTGAGCGACTAACCCACGTTGACCGTGACATTGACTCATCTGGACGCTGGCCTCGACGCTGGCCTCAGCCTAAAAGGCCTTCGGCCTCCAGCTTGGCCTAGCCAATCCAAGACTGATGCCAGCCGTGCCCCTGGCACAAGTGGGCACGCCCAGAGACGGTCCCGGTCCCCCTGACGGTGCCTGTGTGCGGTCACCCCGACAGGAGTACAAGCAGCTGTTTGAGGGTGCAGGGAGCGGCCCCGGGGACAAGACTCTGGAGGACCGTTTCTTCGAGCATGAGGTCAGTGCCGTCGGCCCTGCCGCCTGCTCCTGGCGAGTTTCCTCGTTGCTAACTCGCAGCCTGCAGAACCACGTGTGACATCAGTGAGAACTATTGTTTTAAAATCGTGCTCCGTTCATTCTTGTTTTGGAATGGAATTTCCAAAGCCACTGTTGGGCATTATATGACTAGGACATCAAATGACAGATGGCAATATTAACAAGAGACTGGGAGCCAACGGAAGGAGGGAGAAAAAAAGGAGATAGAATGAAAGAACTGGTCCTGGGCCTGTACTAGGTTGACTCATAACTTTCTGCAGTGAGTAAATACCAGTGCTAGGGAGACAAAGGCGGCCGGGCGTGGTTCTGGCTACACCACCCCATCGTGGGTTCTGCCTGCCTTCATATGTGCTCGCTAATAACATTCCCCATCATTCTGTTCAAGGCTACGTGGGGGATCTTTGTGTTGTATACAGGTGCTTTCTGACAGCGTTTTACCCACCCCAGTCTAGTAATACCGAGCGGCAAGCTGTCGTGTAACCCGCACACTCGCGTGCTGGTTGTCCCCTGTGTGCTGCCTCCGGCCCTGCAGGTGAAACTAAACTCTCTGGCGTTCATCAATCAGTTCCACTTTGGCGTCTTCTACGCCTACGTGAAGCTCAAGGAGCAGGAGTGCCGCAACGTCGTGTGGATCTCCGAATGCATCGCCCAGCGCCACCGCGCCAAGATCGACAACTACATTGCCATCTTCTGAGCGGGCGGCATCACCCTCTTCCTCCCCTCGCTCCTCCCTCGCACCGTTGCCCTTCCCTCTCCCCATCATCGCTCGCAGAACTCCCTCGACCCCACCAACGCCTGCACCCCTTTAACCTCCCGCGCGTCGCCAGCATTGTCCTCCTTTATGGTGCAGTCTGGAACGACGCTTGTGATGTGTATGCCAACAGATAAGGAGATGTTCCCTGAGCCCTAATAACAATGTGCACCATTGTGGTTGTCCGTGTTGGTGCAGATTGTGTAGAGTTAAGTTAGATTATTGCCCCCGCCCCCCGCCCCATTGTAAACCTCATGCCCGTTCTGATTCACGGCCTGATTGGTGAAAAAAAAGCCACGGAAGCCGTCCGTAAATTTCACAGCGTTTCGTCACTTTGGAATCGAAAGAGATCGAGAAACGGAATTGCTAAGATGCTTCTAAATCTGTTGTATTGATGTTTTGTTTTCTGACGGCGAGCGACGGCGGTGGTTGAACGGCGCTTGATGCTACCAGCAGCACGGGCCGTCCGTGCTTGTATGCTGCAGGGTAGTGCTTTACTTTTGGGGTCTCTGGCATTCGCTCATTTCCCCGTACCCGCTTCACTGACCTTGTAGAACGTTTCACACGCTGAGTATCGCCCCCCCCCCCCCCCCCCCCCCCCCCCGGAGCTTTTAAAAGAACATTCCAGGCTCGCGATGGCTGGCTCCGGCTGGGTAAGCCCTGAGATGCACACCTCAGTGTGGTGTTCGCTATTTTATCGGTCGCAGCGTGAATGTCCGGGAAACTGGCGGCGAATGGTTAAGAAGATCCTCTGGGCCAACGCCGATACTTGGTGTGAGGCCCCACACGGAGAGGTGGACCCCCCCACATGATTGTTGTGGGCGAGACATCGTTCTCTCCCCCGCCACGCATAGAGAGGGGGTACCGCAAGGGGCTTTGTTTCTGGGTAATCTGAATTCTACTGGGCTCTGGGGCCATGATATATTTTTTTAACAAGGGCCTTTTTTATTTTTCCACCAAATTTTATTCCAGTTGTGATTTTTCGTTGGTCAACCGTGGGATGAATTATCTTTTGGAATCTCGCAGAGCAGTGCAATCCGTTGTGGTAGATAATGGTCCATGAAAAAAACATGACAACCTACTTCAGAGAAGCCTTTTTGTGACCTATTCCCCCCCCCCCCCCCCACATTAGGAGTTAATGCTTTCCTCCTATTGATAGTCAAACCGATGTTTTTAATTCTCGGAGCTGGAATAAGTGAAATTGGGTACAAAACCAAATTAAATCTGACGAGTATTTTGTGTGTGCAGTCATTGGTGCCGGGGTTGAGACCATCAACTCGCGTGTTTGTGAGCCCAGTGTAATCATCGAAGGCCGCCTGTATTTGAACCCAGGAGCTCAGCGGCGCTAGCTTAGCCACGTGGCCGCCTTACCCCGTGATGTATTTAAATTCTTCACATGCCCGCCTCGGTTGCGTGCCGGGAGATGATTAATATATATATTTCCGTTGTCGTGTTCTGTCGATGGAGTTGTCGTGTTGTGCGTAATGGCTGTATTTACAATCATGACTCAACAATTACTCGGTCGTGTTTGTGTGACTGCTGTTGTGCCGTGCTCTGTGCTCAAGGAGTGCGCGTACTTGCTGAGTACAACTCAACTTGTGCGGATGAATTTCGTTTCTTTTCCAAATTTTATTCCAAGCGTGCCATTGGCTTAATGCCCGACGTGAACATTTCCATACACAACTCTCGCCGATAACCACACTCGCATTGCATCCGAGAACTGGCCCGGCAGTTCATATCACAACTCCTGTGTATTTGGAGTTTGCATGTTCTCCCTTTGGTCACGTGGGATTTTCTCCGGGTCTTCTGGTTTTCTCCCCACATTTAGAAACATGCGTTTAGACGATTTGGCTGCTATAAATGTCCACATGATAAGCCACTTCGCTGAGCTATCATTTGTGGCCAGGTCGTTTCTGAAAAAGAGCTATGTAGCTCTGAGCCATACCTAGTAAAATAAAATAAAACTTTTTTTTAGAGACATCAATAGCCTCGTGTTCACGGGGATAACTCAAAGGTTTGTCTTTACACTCACTTTGATCCCAATCGACATTTCATGAGACAATCCATAACGGCTCACGGAAGTGGATGTTTTGGAGGTCCGCACCTCTGATGAGCACGGTTGGCTACGTATGGTGCAAAAGAAGTTAGACACATCTCCAAGATGCCTTCGAGTGACCTCTGCTTCCCAGAGTAGGGGACAGCACTTCCCAATCTGCCGTGCCACAGAAGTGTTGGTGACAAAGCAAAATGTTCAATTCTCAACGCTGGAATTTAGTGACGTTTAAGCACAGAACCATATTTCTTCCGTTTTTGTGCAGTCATTTACCATCAACTTCTTGAGTTCCTGGTTTAAGCACAGGTAAATCTCGATTCTTGGTGCCAGTTGAGTGGTCTCACCACTTAGCCACCTGACTAGGTGACACCTATTTTTATGTTTTGCATAAAGTGTTGCATGTCATTCAAACCGACACTCGAGGATTGTGGGAAAGGTTTTGAGTTATGACTACATACGTATTTGGCATGGGAGATGCTTCAGTGGAATTGTGGTCGTTCCCACGACCACAATTGCGGCTGGAAATACCCCCCCCCCCCACCCATTCCTGCCACAATAGATTGTTTTTCGTACATTGGGTTTAAAAATCTAAATTCGCTGTCCATCTGCCACAACAAAGGTGTAGGGAGATTCAATGGTATCTGTTTTGTTTCACTGGCCAAGGCCTATGATACGCTAAACAGGCCAGACCTTTGGTTTCGTCTTCGTGCTTTAGGGGGGATCTCTGACCCTCTGCTCGCAATCATTAAGGACCTTTATGATGGTGAGCAGGCCCAGGTAAAGCTACGTGACAGTCAAGAGCCATCTCCTTTTCACCTTTGGGTGCGACAGGGATGTCATCTGGCTCTTACACTACTAACATTTTTTGATAATATAGTTTGAGAAGCTTTCCATTGTCCGTATTGAATGTATTGAAATCTGGTACAAATGCAATGGGAGACTGGTCGATGCCCAGATGTGGTCAAGAGAGGGCTCCTTATTGGTCAACCATGTTTTAAATGCTGATCTGGTGGTTGCTGCTCACTGAAGAGTTGGAGAGACTCCTGCTGAACCTGGAGAATGGCACGAAGAGGTGAGGCCTAATCATCATTGAGTGATGGGGCAGTTGTAGAGTGGAGGAGCTCCCATATCTGAGCAATGTAATTATGACCAGCTCTGGTTTGGCAGCAGAGGTCTTACTCAGAATCATTCAAGCAGTATTATCTTTCAGCGGCTGAATAACGCTACATGAAAGCTACCTGGCCTGTCGCTCCACACGATGCTTCGGGGCTTCTTGGTCACAGCTATGCCCACGTGGACTCCTTCAAAGGACATCTGCACCAGTTTGAATCGTACAGCCTGGCCTGCTGACGATCCATCCTCGATTTACCTAGATTGGATTGTGTGATGGGCTCACAAATCAGTCCCAACCGTAAGCTGTGCCATGTGATGCTGCGTTGGCTGGGGCATGTCACCTGCATGCCTATCCACCGCGTGCACAATCAGCTTCTGTTTGGCTTGATTAGAGGGGATTAAATGGGCTTGACATGGCCTACAGAAGAGATGTGGTGCAAGAGGATGTGAATCTCGACTTGCCAATGACCCGCGGTGGAGAGAACGCTCGTGCACGACGCTATTGGGCAGTTGGAGATGGTCACCCTCCAACAACAGCACAGCGGATGGACGAAGCTCGCAAGCAACGAGTGGAATGCCTGGCAGCGAAAACGCATTCAGTTAGCACACTGGATAGAACCAATGGTGCGTCTGTCGGCCTTCTCATTCAGTTTACCCGTAATACCCGAGTCAGTCCCGTGACCTGCCAGCGAGCTTTTGACCCTCCACGTGGCCTTTGGACCTCGCCTGTCACAAGCGCCGAGGTGACTTCTCCCCCACTTAGTGGCGAATGGCGATTGGGTATGTATTGCAAGTTGATTGCACAATTGTATTATCCTGAAAAGTAGGAAACGTGTTTTTTCAAAGTGTATACACTTAATTGTATGCATGTGTGTTGAACTTCTTACGCACCGTACGTAGCTAACCGTGTTAATCGAAGGTGCAGGGGAAGGATAACAAACTTAACACAAAACGCAGTTCTAAAGGAATAGGTTTTCATTTTAGATTTAAAAGTGCATAGCTCCAGTGGCGTTTTAATTTTGGAAGGAAGAGCGTTCCAGATAGCCGCAGAAGCGGCCGGTGACAATCCAGCGCAATACTTGCTTCCAAATCCATGCTAACCACAAGAAGCTAATTAATGTTGAAATCTACATTTGGTGTGCCTATTTTTATGACCCCCAGTGACAACACCTACTCGGCTGTCGAGGATTTCGTCTTCACGTGTCGGTGTTGGATGTGGCAGGACTTTGCGCCTCGTTTATTATACTCCTCTGGATTGACCGATGTCTGCCACTTCACCCCGTGCACCTTGATCTGTTCTCGATACGAGGCTGAGAAGGGAGGACTGGAGTAACGATCTCGAGTATCCGGCACTCAATTCGAGACGGTGCCTCGCTGCTTCCTGCATCGCCACCTCGCTCTCGACCTGCCCCCTGCCCACTCCCGCACCACCTGCCACCATGGCTTCCCTAGGCAGGCAGCACGAGCAGGAGTGTCCGGATCCCGTGGAGCTGTCGGTGCAGGGTGAGTGCAGGCCTCGGCGGTCCTTTCACAGATGTGTGTCTGTGTGTGTGTGCCACCACCCTTCTTGAAGGCATCGGAACTACAGGTAGCCTCATCATGAGACCTCGTTTCTCGTAAAAGGTTTAAGTTAGTATTTTAACATCTTAACACCTGTTTTGTTCCATTATTGGAACCTCATTTGCCAGTAAAAAATATGATAATTGTTTTTATTTTATTTTTTTTCCTATCTGGCAACAAAACTGACACCTATTTTTGTTGCCAGAAAAAAGGGGAAACCCCGTTCTCATACAGGTAGTCTCCTGCAAGCGTACTCCAGCAAGAGTACGCTTGCGTACTCGTGACTAGTTCTAACTCGCCATGTACACTGGTGCGATACCCCGACTCGGTTCGCAATGTTTACCCACCAGCTACCTGGTTCGTTGGTCGCGTAACACACAGACGCGGCGTCCGTGGTGTGAGGGTTGCTAGATGTTTGCCTCTCATCTCCTGGCGCGGTCGTTGAAGCAGTGGGACGATTCTCGTGGACCCTGCCCCAGCAGCATACGTGGGCACAACAGTCGATCTGCGGCAGGTCGACTTTGGTGCGGGGTGAGGGGGTCAAGTGTGGGTATGCCCGCCTCTTTCAAGACGTCTGGTGAGCGTGGAGGTCGAGCGTTCAAGTGAATTTTGTGTAACCACACGAGAGCTCCAGAGACCACGTGGGTCTCCAAAAACGTAGACCAAATGCCCTTCAGAGCTCCCGCCGGTCGAAGCTCTTCCGTCCGCAGAGAGCCGAGGGAGCGAACGAGTGGCACGGAGCAGGGCTGCACCCACTTGGGAGCAGGTGAACCTTGAGTCGTCGTCGTCGTTGGTTCCTTCGCGGGTTGCAATCGGCGACTCCAGCAGTAGCGAGCCTGCTCGTGCTGCTAAGTCAGTCGCCGGCAGAGTTGCGGTGATTGAATGCAGTTATTGTGTTTGTTCCGTTGAGTTAAAGGCGCTTCGCACCGTACGTAGCCAACCGTGCTAATGGGAGGTGCGGAGGAACGACAAGAAACCAAACACGACCCGTGTTACATACTAAAAGAAAGTATGTAATCGGCGACGTTCCGCACAATGCCCCTTCTTCATAGCAGAGAGAGAGAGATATGCTATGAAGGTACATTTTCCCAACATTTGTCTGTCGAGGACAATCATTAACACGTGTGTATGGGCGTGTGCATTATTTGCGCCTGTGCACCACTGCCGACTCAGCATCACCCAAAATCAATTGGCCCCCTTACACAGTGCGGCCGCGCCACTCGCCCCCCCCCCCCCCCACAATGGGGACCGCCTCTGGTTTGCAGGCATGGAGTGCGAGGTGGGCCCTCCATCTGACAGGCCACGTGTCTGCACCGTGTAGGCTCCGTGCCCGGGTGGCTTCGTGGCTGTCTCATCCGCAACGGCCCCGGCCGCCACTGCGTGGGGCCCTCCTGCTACCAGCACTGGTTCGACGGCCTGGCGCTCCTGCGAAAGTTTCGCTTCTGCGACGGTGAGTCGAGTGGTGGTGGTGGGTGGTGGTGGTGGTGGGTGGCGGTGGTGGTCACTGCAGGGCTCAGGTCGGAGGTTGGCTGGGTGGGTGGGGACGCAATCGGGCTCAAGTTACAGAAGTCATCACGGCCAGAGCTCCAGAGGCTTTAGGCAATTGGGCACTGATCTCAAAGGTCCACTTTGCGAGACATCTGTGAGAAAAAAGAGCTTAATAGATTATCGGATTCCTCCACGATAAATATTCTGATCTCGCGAGCACACACAGATCCCAGAAAAAATCGAAAATACTGCAAAGTCATCAATTATAATGAAAAGGAAAAATTTCCATCGTGAAAATTACTCAAATTACTTTTCCACCGTGCATAGTACAATCCAATTTCAGAAACAATACAGATGCCTATGGGTTTATTGCACTAATATGTAAACATGAATATGTTTTAAGGACAATTACAAGCGAAGTAATCGTAAAAAGTCAACAGCTCAGCCTCAAATTTTGAGTTAGAAGAGAGAGAGTCACCAGGGACAGAATTAAAATATTTACACTGGAGGAATCCGATGAGCTAATCAAGCAATGTTTCACACATTCCCAGTAGTTTGAAGCGATGGAACACCACGTGCTAGGGGCATTAAGATAGCGTGAGTGAGACCCACGTGGGGTTTGTGTCCTCGGTGCAGTGCACTTCAGTGGTGTGGCGCGTCTGATCTCAAAGGCTTTGTTCTGAATACTCGCTGTGGATAGGGTTAGGGACCGAGTTGTTTGTGTGCGTTAAAGATGAACTTGGCCCAATGGATATGCCAAAAGACAAAACTAGGTGTCACCTTACAACCGTTCTGTCACCTGTACCACCCGTGCCACCTCATGTCCCTCCCGTGTCACGTGTGCCACCCGTGTCACCTGTGCCACCCGTGTCACCTGTGCCACCCGTGCCATCTCATGTCCCTCCCGTGTCATGTGTGCCACCCGTGTCACCTGTGCCACCCGTGTCACCTGTGCCACCCGTGCCATCTCATGTCCCTCCCGTGTCATGTGTGCCATCCGTGTCACGTGTGCCACCTCCTTCACATGTGCCACCTCCTTTTGTGCCATCTGTCCCACCCGTGTCACCTGTGCCACCCGTGTCACGTGTGCCACCCGTGTCACCCGTGCCACCTCCTCTTGTGCTACCCGTGCCACCCGTGTCACCCGTGCCACCTCATGTCCCACCCATGTTACGTGTGCCACCCGTGTGACGTGTGCCACCTCCTTCACATGTGCCACGTGCTGTGCCGCGTGCGTGACGCGCGCAGGCCGCGTGTGGTTCTCGAGCCGCTACCTGCAGAGCGACACCTACAAGAAGAACGTGGCGGCCAATCGCATTGTGGTGCCGGAGTTCGGCACCAGGGTGGAGCTCGACCCCAGCCTGGGCCTCCTGGAGAAGTACTTCGCACACCCCGGAGGCGGTGGCGTGGCACAGCGATTGTCGCAGAGGGTCACGGCTCGAACCGTTGCTGGGCCCTCTCCCAGATCGACTCAGCCTTAACAGAGTTCCGGGTGCAAGGTGTATACATCAGCACTGGGGTGACAAAGGTGGCTGGGCATGCTGCTGGCCTCCTGCGCTGCCTTTATAGGTGCTCGCAAACAGCACTTGCCCCATCTCCCTGCGCAGGCAACACGGGGGGGGGGGGGGGGGGATATCTTTGTCTCTGCTGCGTGTGTGAGATGACGTAACGTTGAATGTCTCGATTTGGCCAGGTCGATGACCTATCTCAGGAACATCGTGCCCGACAACACGGACAACTGTCTCATCAACGTGGTGCGGTACGGGCAGGACGTGTACGCGTGCACCGAGACGACGGTCATGCGGCGCCTCGACCCCGACACCCTCGACACCCTGGACAAGGTCCGCATCCTCACCTGGGTCCTGGCCCAGGTGCTGGCTCAGGTCTCGTTCCGTGTCCTGAGAAACGTGAGGTTGGGGGGGGGGGTCGCGTAGAGAGACCCTGGCGTTCGTCAGTGCACACGTTGTCACCATGGCCTTTCATAAAATACAATATATCACATTTCCGGCAGGCTCAACCAGCACGTGGTGAGCTGGCAGCCAACTCCTGTCAGCCACGCCTACTCCACCACTAACCCCGCCCACTGCACGGCTAACACCGCCCACTATGTATGTAGCTCCTCCCACTGCACGGCTAACACCGCCCACTATGTATGTAGCTCCTCCCACTGCACGGCTAACACCGCCCACTGTTTATGTAGCTCCTCTCACTGCACGGCTAACACCGCCCACTGTTTATGTAGCTCCTCCCACTGCATGGCTAACACCGCCCACTATGTATGTAGCTCCGCCCACTGCACGGCTAACACCGCCCACTGTTTATGTAGCTCATCTCACTGCACGGCTAACACCGCCCACTGTTTATGTAGCTCCTCTCACTGCACAGCTAACACCGCCCACTGTTTATGTAGCTCCTCCCACTGCATGGCTAACACCGCCCACTATGTATGTAGCTCCTCCCACTGCACGGGTAGCCCCACCCACTGTTAATGTAGCTCCTCCCACTGCATGGCTAACACCGCCCACTGTTTAGGTAGCTTCTCCCACTGCACGGCTAACACCGCCCACTATGTATGTAGCTCCTCCCACTGCACGGGTAGCCCCACCCACTGTTTAGGTAGCCCCGCCCATTATTCAATCGGCCCCGTCCCTCTGTCAGCATCATGAGCTGAACACGAGGCCAGAGCATTTAAAACCGATTCATGGAATCTCGATTTTCACAAAAAAATCCAGGATGGAAGGGGGGGACACCAGACTTTCTGACACCACGGGGACAGTCCCTGGCCAAACCAGGATGTTGATAAAGGTGCAGCCCTGCAATTTCATACGTCTTAGAAGAGTTGTCAGAACCCACATTTTAACCCAGAACACGCGGCTTGCCAATCGACTCTGTCAATCCAGCAGTATCAATGAGGGGGGGGGGGGGCATTTAAGAAACTTGTCCCATTGTTTACAACTGCCGTGCCAGGTGATTGAACCGGCGACCTCGAGATTGCAGGTCCAATGTGCTAACCACTACACCACTGCGGCGTCCACGGGTGTTGGGGTGGTCACCTAACCAGAGGTGTTGGGGTGGTCACCTAACCAGAGGTGTTGGGGTGGTCACATGACCAGGGGTGTTGAGGGTGGTCACCTAACCAGAGGTGTTGGAGTGGTCACGTGACCTGGGATGTTGGGTGGTGGTCACCTAACTAGGGGTGTTGGGGTGGTCACCTGACCAGAGGTGTTGGGAGAGGTCACATGACCAACCTCGCGGCTGCCTCGACCCAGGTGGACATGGCCAAGTTCCTGACCGCGACCCTGATGAGCGCTCACCCGCACTACGAGGCGGACGGCTCCATCGTCAACATCTGCACGGCCATTGCCGACAAGGGCAAGACCAAGTACTGCCTCTTCACCGTGCCGCCCACTCTGCCCGGTGCGGGGACACGGGGACACGGAGACTCGGGGTCAAGGGGAACACGGACGATATGGGAACACGGGGGAATGGGGACTCCATGAGATACCGGGAGACAAAAGGCATGGGGGAGTGGAGGCATGGGGTACCAGACGGGTTCAGTTGAACAGGGAACATGGGCACAAAGGGGTATGGGTGGAATGGGAGCACTGGCGGTCAGGGAAACACAGGGGCACGGGGCACCAATCTGAGGTTTAGAGGTAACTAAGTGGACGCTTCTATCTTAAACGGTCGACACCCGTCTCCCATGAACCCACGTGTCGCTATGTCCCCGTGTCTCTCTCGCTCTCCATGTCTTCTCTGACCCCACCATATCTCCCGTGATCTCGTGTTTCCCCTTTGTCCCTATGTCAACTCCCTTGTCACGCCTCGCCTTCCCGTGGCTCTTCCCACATCTCCCAGTGTCTCTCCGCGCCGCTCCCCGTGTTTCTCCCTGCACCTCCCCGTGTCTCTCTCCCATTGTCTCTCCAATTGTCTATCCCCTTGGCCATCCCCGTGTCTCTCTCCTATGTCTCTCCCATTGTCTCCCACCCCCCTTGTCTTCCCTTGTCTCTTCCCTTATCTCTCCCTGTGTCTCCTCTCCCCCGTACCTCCTCTCACCCGTGTCTCTCTCCCCGTGTCTCTCTCCCCGTGTCTCTCTCCCATTGCCTCTCCCCCGTGTCTCTCCCATTGTCTCCCACCCCCCTTGTCTTCCCGTGTCTCTTCCCTTATCTCTCCCTGTGTCTCTCCCCCGTGCCTCCTCTCCCCCGTGCCTCCCCGGGCAGGCAACGAGCCGTGCGCGGGGCTGCGCGGCGCCCGCCACGTGCTCTCGGTGCCGTCCCGGCAGCGCCTGAGCCCCAGCTACGTGCACAGCTTCGGGCTGAGCGCGCGCCGCGCCGTGCTGCTCGAGACGCCGCACGTGATGGACGTGACGCGCATTCTCTCCGCCTACGTGCGCGGCGCGTGCATGGCAAGCTGCCTCTCCTTCCAGCCGGACGGCAAGGTACGAGTTGAGCACCGGCAGCTACACCAGCAGCAGTACATCCCCGTCAACCCCTAATCAGCGCCCTGCCTTGTTAGTCACGCCGTGTCCTTATACAACTCAAAGTTCATCCTGCAAAGTCCCATCACAAGGGAGAAACACTACACTACTATACACTACTCTATACACTACTCTATACACTACACTATACTACTATACACTACTCTATACACTACTCTATACACTACTCTATACACTACACTATACTACTATACACTACTCTATACACTACTCTATACACTACACTACTATACACTACACTACTATACACTACTCTATACACTACTCTATACACTACACTATACTACTATACACTACTCTATACACTACCCTACTATACACTACACTACTATACACCACTATACACTACACTACTATATACTACTATACACTACTCTATACACTACTCTACTATACACTATACTATACACTACACAAAACACTACACTACTATACACTACACTACTATACACTACACAAAACACTACACTACTATACACTACACTACTATACACTACTATACACTACTCTATACACTACACTACTATACACTACACTGCTGTACACTACTCTATACACTACACTACTATACACTACACTACAATACACTACACTATACACTACACTATACACTACACTACTATACACTACACTACTATACACTATACTATACACTACACTATACACTATTATACACTACACAATACACTATACACTACACTACTATACACGACTATACACTACACTACTATACACTACTATATACCTGTCAACCCCTAATCAGTGCCCTACCTTGTTACACACCAGTTCAGACCGTATTGGTCACCCCGTGCCCCTTACAAATCTCAACGTTCATCCGACAAAGTCCATCACGAGGGGGAAACACAAACAAATAGACTAACTATGTTTGGCTGCCCGCACTGAAACGGCTGCAAACTCGATTTCCCTGCACAAGGATACGGGGTAAACCGTTGTGGGTTGACAGCTATGACAGCAGCAGTAGCAGCACCCAGCAATTCCACTGGCAGCAGCAGCAGCACCAACACTCGGATCGGATCGTCAATAGCGCTCGAAACAAATAGGAGCGGTAGCGTCAATAGTAGTAGCAGCAGCTGCAGCAGCAGCACCATCAGTAGCACCATCAGTAGCACCATCAGTAGCACCATCAGTAGCACCATCAGTAGCACCGGTCGTAGCAGCAGCTACATGAGTAGTAGCAGACTGTGCACCAGTAGTATCAGAACAGCAGCAGTTGCAAGCAATAACAGCAGACGTGTTTCAAGGGATTCAAACACATCTCTCTGCTAGCAATGAACATTATATATTAGGTAAAAGAAAAACACGAAATTTGAAAATATATACATTTTCACCGCTTTTAATCCGCTTGACGACCTGTAACGAACACAACTCGCCACCAAGGGGTTATGCTGCACTGCCGTCTACTGGCCAACACGCAGCCTCGCACGCACCAGGCGTTTGTGTGTTTGTGCGTGTTTGTGTGTGTGTGTATGTGCTGTGTGTGTGTTGTGTGTTTGTGCGTTGTGCGTGTGTTTGTGTTGTGCGTGTGTTTGTTGTGTTGTGCGTGTTTGTGTTGTGTGTATTTGGTGTGTTTGTGTTGTGTGTGTTTGTTTGGTGTGTTTGTGTTGTGCGTGTTTGTATTGTGTGTGCGTGTGTTGTATTGTGCGTGTGTTTGTTGTGTTGTGCGTGTGTTTGCGCTTGAGAAGACTTTGGGTCAATGACTCTCCCCCCGTCGCAAGATCGTCGACATCGCTAACGTACAGAGACGCCCATTGCCGCAGACCTACATCCACGTGCTGGACCGCTCGGGGTCGGATCGCGGTGCCCAGGCACCCCAGTACTACGCGGGGCCCATGGTGGTCTACCACCACGCCAACGCCTACGAGGACGACGAGGGCCAAAACCTCGTGGTAGACGTGATGGCCTACAGCACGGATCAACTCTACTCCGCCTTCTTCTTCAGGGGGCCCAACGCAGTGGTCGGGAACACCGGGGGGCCCCCCATCTCCTCCAGGGGCTTGCGCTACGTGCTCCCGCTGGGCCCGCGACAGGTGAGGTCACGGGGCGGCAGGTGAGGTCACGGGACGGCAGGAGGACCCTCCTCGGGCGAGCGCCCAGGACAAGGGGTGGGCAAACGAAATAACAAGAAGGGGCATTTTAATTTTATTTTAGAATTTGGTTTAAGCTAAAAAAAAATCCCTCAATATTTCAAGAGCCACAATGCGGTACGTGGTGAATACGAGACGGTCGTCCTCAATAAACGACGTCACGAAGCAGTCCAGAAAGACTGCCAACCCCTGACCTAGGGCGCGGTCACCTCCTGGTCACAGCCCTGAGCCGGTGGTGGAAATTCCACATTTCTATGGCGGGAGAGAGTCTCTCAATAGGACAACCACTGATGACTTCCCCCACCGTGCTAGCATTAATAGGTACTCGCTCGCAGCACTTTCCCCAACAGTCTGTTGAGGCTATACGGGGCCGTCTTTGTTTTTATCTGTGTGTATCCGTAAGTGTGTATGTGTTTGTACGTGTATAATGTGCAGATCTTTTTGTGTCCGAATGTGTCTCTCTACGGGCTTGTGTTCGTCTGTGAATCTATGTCTGTTTATGAATCTATGTGTGCATCAATGTGCCTCTGTACCTATCGTTATGTATCTGCATCTTATGTTTCTGGATCTGTATAAACATCAGCACTGGGAGGACAAAGGTGGACAGGTGTAGTGCTGTAACTTTGTGTGCTGGCCTTTCATAGGCGCTTGCTGACAGCACTTTCTCTAACAGTCTGTATTAAGAGTATATGTGGGGATCTTTGTTGTGTAGATGTGTGTATCTGCAAGTTTGTGGGTTGGTGGTGTCAAGCGGTCGTTTTCTTTTGTTCTTCCGAGCACAGGGAGCGGAGCTGGGATCGAACCTGGTGACGATGAGCGGAACCACGGCCCAGGCGCTGCTGCAGAAGAAGGGAAAGATCGAATGCATCCCCGAGGAACTCTTCCCTGGCGAGTTCTCCGCTCTGCATCTCCAGCTCCACCCTCAATCTCACCGCAGTGCTGCGGTCACATCTGGGGTGGAGCACCCAGCCCCGAGCTCACTGCTACACCCAGTAGATTTCAAGATAAACAGCAGTCAGGGCGATTGGTGATCCAGCGCTCGATGATTCACTCCAATCACCCACTCACTTACTAGCGGTCAGTGGTCTTGTTGTTACTCCTCTATCACGACTAACATGGTTACTGTTCCCGTGAACTTCAGTCAAATGACTGTTTAGTCTCATCGACACTGATTTTAACCACCACATGACAGGTCGCTACAATTATCTTTCTGCGTCTGCCCTTGCACTTCTCAACTTTTCATTCCCTCCCGTTGACTTTGTTTCCCCAAGCTCTTGTAACATAGCTCAAAGAATCGTGTTAAATCTTCTATCTATTAGAACGTTAATAGTGCTCTGTTGCTGTTCCTTCCCAACTTCCTCGTTATCCCTCTCCTCTCTCTCCTGCAGACATTGACCTTCCCTGCATCAACCCCCGCTACCGTGGGAAGAAGTACCGGTACCTGTTCGCGATCCAGTTTGACGGCGGAATCACCAGCAAAAGAGTAAGGCGAGTGTGTGTGTGTGTGAGATCAAGTTCAGCAGCATGGCCAGTCATGTGAGTTCAGCAGCATGGAGTCGCACAGCGAGTTCAGCACCACGGACAGCGCTCGTGCATTGTGAATACTTCACACACACGCACAAGAAATACGTGTGTAAGCACATGCTCATATGTACAACGTTCACACGTGCACACGTACACCCGTAAATTGACGCAGACCCTTATTCTAGCCGACAACAGCTGTCGGGATAAGTGCCATTGGCGAGTCCTTGTTAAGGCCTGCACATGACACGAGGGGGTGGTGCGGCCAGCACCGCACCTTTGCCTCTCCAGTGCTGATGTTGATTTAGAAAGCTTGCAAAGTGAATCGTGGAGGGCTCGCTGGCACGAGGCTGCGGGACAGATGCGGGTGTCGTGGATTACTCAAGGTGATCGGTGGATGGGGACCGCCTGTGCTCCCCACTGGGAGCGGCACACACACGGACACACCGAGAGCAGGTGCTGTGCTCTGGTCGTCCCGCAGATGGTGAAGCTGGACCTGGAGACTCGCGAGACGCGGCTCTGGGAGGCGGACAACGGGTGGTGCGGGGAGCCCGTGTTCGTGGCCAGCCCCGACGCCTCAGCGGAGGATGACGGTCAGTGACGGCTCCTGCAGCCCCGCTACTGCTACTCGGCTCCATGTGTCCGCGCGTGTGGGCGTGACTGCGCTGGGGGTGCGGGTAAACACCTGTGTGTGAAAACACCTGTGTGTGACTGTGAGGCTGTGCTCTATACTCTTTGGTTTTTTCGGTACAGTCACGTAGGTAAAAAAAAAGTTTTTCAAAAACTTAAAATCTAGACTTAATACCCTCTACGTGACTTTACCGAAAAAACCAAAGCGTATGAATCCTTGCAGTCACGAAAACTTCAAATCTAGAATGTGTGGCTGTGTATGGGGAACGGTAGTGCAGTGGTTAGCGCACTGCGCCAGTAACCCCGTGGCCCCAGTCCAATGCTCTCTCATGACCAATAACAGTTGAATATTTGAACCGGTCCTAGATCACTCCTAGGTCGACGTGGCCTTAAATGACCACCTGGTGTGGTGTGAAAATGACACCATAGACCGGGTGTGGTGCTGGCCACCCACCTGCCCGTGTCCCGTGCCGACCTTAATAGTTGCTCTCCAACCTTACTTGTCCCAAGTCTGTTCAGGCGAAATGGGGGAAATGTCTTGGTGTGACTGTGCGTGTCTGTGTGGGTGAGTGGGTATAAACTAGCGTCGTTAAACGCAAAACCAGGAACCATTTTTAAGAATTGGTTATCGGTTCCGAAATTCAAGAACCGGTAACAGACTCCAAAGGAACCTTAATAACGAGTCCACCGACCGGCACTCGCAAATGTACAAACCGCACGGTAGCCCAAGTCACCACATAGTATATTTGCCCTCGCTTCTCAGTTCAGAAGCCTTAAATGTATCGCTCGTGCCACTGCTTGCGAAATAACCTCCAACAGAGGGAGCTAAAGAGGGCAAGTGGTCTTCTCTTACACTCTGACCAGATGTGTCGGAAGAGATGGGCCAGAACCAAACCTTACCGCCGCCAAGTGCGACCTGCCGATCGACTCACTGTTGGGCCCCTTCGTGCTCCTGCTGGGTAGACAGAGAGCAGGGGGGAGAGGGGATTTAAGAAACTTGCCCCGTTGTTTCAGAGTTGGAATCTAAACGACAGACCTCTGGATTGTAAGTTCAGTGTGCTCAACCATTTAGCACGCTGAACTTCCATCATTTTTCATTTGAAAAGCTGAAAATTCCATGTTTATTGCTCTCAACATTATTTGTGCTACTGCGTGGGTGTGTGGGCATACATCTCTGTGAATATGCGCGACCGTATGGACGTATACTTGTGTGAAACGTGCTGCTGTGGGCGAATGGAGGGTGTGTGATGGTAAGATGCCTCGCGATGGAGTGCTGCGACGTGCGTGTTCGGCCGTGCTGTTGCGTGATGGCGTAGTGTGCTGCTGCGGTGCGACGTTACGTGGTGACGGTGTGACGACGGCGGCGTGGCGTGAGAGTGTTGCGCCGTGGCCGAGGTGTGCCATGCCTTGCTGCGCGACGGTGCGATGCGATGGTGCGTGATGACGGTGCTGCGACGGTGTTGCAGGCGTGCTGCTGTGCGTGACGGCGTCGCACGACACTGCGCGGGGTGTGGACATCGTGGTGATCGACGCTCGCGAGATGAAGGAGCTGGGCCGCGCTCGCACCCCCTCCTTGCTGCCGATGGACATGCACGGCATCTTCATCCCCGACCACTCGGCCTAGCGACCACTCCTCCCCCTGCCTGCCTCGCTCAGTACGACTGCAGCACCAAGCAACAACCATTCGCTAGGCGGTACAATAATCTCAATGTAACGAACGACATTTAGCAAAACGGCCGACACGAATATGGTGGACGTTATATCGCACGATATCTCCTCGTATCCCCATATCGTGGCGGCCCTCGCGAGTAGTGGTTAGAGCTCAGCTAGGCAGCGAGACACCAAACCCGCCAAAGATCACAGTCGCTTTTCTTGCGTTTTTATTCTCACCGATCGCTACAAAAATCCTCAGCGACTACAATTACGTCGCGCAAACGTTCTTCACTCGGAAGCAACGGCGTCGTCTTCATCCGACGAGTGCGGAAGAGGAGCGTTGCCACGCCACGGCACTGCCGGAGCCCACTCCCCCGGCGCCAGCTACTTGCGCTCCCCCTTGCCAGTGCACGATTTGAGCAACTCAACAGGCCTCCTTCTGCACCTGGGGCGGGCGGGCGGGAGAGCGTCAGTGCCTGCGGCACGCACGATTAATCCGCATTCTCAGGTTCAATTCTACTCCTGCGTTGCGATGGCAATACGTGCAGGAGCTCGATGCCAATGTCGAGCTCGGCTGCTGGCCACGACGAGAGGTGGTGTAGTTTTTGCCGTTCCTCCTCCGTCAAAGGAGCGCAGGCTACCGTGGTTTACAGTACGGTCCATCGTTCTCGAGTGCGGTGAGTTGATCGTCTCAGCCGGGTCACCAATGGCTTGACATTTCGACCCGTAGACGCACGCATAAAACCGCAGGCTCGCATAGAGACTAACAGATTCACGGAGAGACCCATAAACTCACAGAGAGATTCGTAGCCTCACATAGACCGGGTTGTGATTAAACTGGGCAACCAAGTGTAGCCACAGTTGATGGTCTCAGCCCGGTCACCAATTACTTGACACGGGAGGCCAAAATATTCGGTGAAGAATCACAGACGGGCATCGGAGTAGAGAAAAAAAAACTCAACACATTCATCAGGAGCACCTTTGCCTGGAATGAATAAAGATACAAACCATGGCATTTCACACAATGGCCCATTATTCTCATAGCACTCTCAGCGAAAACACACACAGTCTCACGTCGTTGTGATTGGTCCATGTCGTTGTGCTTTGTCAAGTGGAGACATGCTCTCAGCCCACTCTCGGGACAATTGCACATGAAAAAAAGCACAAAGGTCAATTTGGTTCCGCTCCTGATTTGGCTAAATTCCAGCCGTAAGGATTAAAATATCCGTTTCGTCTGTCACGTGACGAACGTGACGAACGTGACGGACGTGACAGACGTGATTCTCTTTGGCAGTGTAGATGCGTAAAGTGCTGATCCCCCCCCCCCCCCTCGCTCGCTTGGAGGGATCTCAGACGCGGTTCTGCAATGTCCAATTCCGCGGGGCCTTTCTCTTAACACGAAGGGTCGCGCTGCGCTGCTCTGCGGGAATCCCGAATGGATTCTCCGACTCGTGATGGCGACGCCGAGAGCGACAGACAGGATACAACGTGGGGGAAAAATTTAACTTTAAAAACAAAACTTCCGTCGTGACAAAGAGACACACGCGCCTCCAACCTGGGCATCCTCGTCGGTACGAGCTGGGAAGTCGCGCGCCTTGGTGAGCCACAGCAGCGCCCCGCGCACGTTCCCCAGACGCAGCTGCGTCTTCCCCAGCATCAGCAGGTTCTTGCTGTAGAAGCTGGGCTCCACTGGGACAGAACGGCCAACGTGGGGTCGGTTGGCAAACAAGCCGCGCCCCCACGCAGGGACTCTCCCCGACACGTTCCAACGTGCGTTTAGGCAGCGGTTATGGAAGCCACCGGGTTTGTGCCTCCCAAGTATTGGGGCAATCGTTTGATTAACAAAGGGGTGAGTCCCAAATAGCAACACAACTTGACGTGAAAAGTTGACGGGCATGAACAACGGACGGCCACTCATATGTTGACTGTTCAGTTCATATTTGACGTCCGTTACGAACTGGCAAATCGCAGGGAGTTTTGCGTGCTTAATTTACGTGGGGTGCTATCTCAAACTTTAAAAACTCGGCGTATAATGATTCACGAATTAAAATCGATTCTTACGAGTATGATTCGTGCCTCGAATTTATCCGTGAAATTATTATTTTTTGTATCCGTAGACGTACGCAGGTGGGTTATCATGCACCCTGCAGCCATGACAGGGGCTACATTCTCCGCATCGCTAAACAAAACATCTTGAATAAATTCATCACCTCAAATCACAACAAACCATTTGCACCGCAGGCAAAACTGTTACGTCCCCAGTACAAATGCCACAGGGCTCTAAACCACAGGGCTCTTGCTCGTCTCACGCATGTAGCCAGGTGCGGCGGTACCTTGCTCGGCTTCGCTGAAATACTCGAGTGCCTGGAAAACAGAGCGGGGGACATCGCGTCACACGCGGCCCTCCCTCCGCGTGCGGCACACCGACGGGAAAGCCGCCGTGACGCTTCTCGCAAACCGCCGGCGTCGCGGCTGCTACCTCATAGAAGGTGGCGCTGGGGGGGGAGGCGAACAGCACGGCGGCGATCCGCCGCTGGTACCACGGCATCTCGGCAAACGTGAAGCACCTGGGGTGTTGTGCGCGCACACGAGCGGACGGAGGAATGCACAGACGGACGATATTGATGGATGGATGGATGCACAAAGGGGTGGAACGATGAACAGATTGATGGATGAAGGGACGGATGGACAGACGGATGGACAGATGGGTTGACAGATTGAAGAACAGGCATATGGGCAGATTAACTCATGGACAGAGGTACTTCATTACTGAGCCTTCACCATAACCGTAGGGGGTCTGCTTTTGGAATTTCACGTGAAGTAAGCGAAAATTGTTTTTTAGCAGTGATAATCATTGCCTGTTATAGAACACAACAGCACTTGCCCCAACGGTCTGTTCAAATCTACACGGAGGATGCGTCTCACCATAATCCCATGAGGTGGAGTGACGTGGGGTCTCTGGGGTTCAGCTCGATGGCTTTCTGTGGCGGAGAGGGAAAGGAGGGGGTGTCAGCCGCGGCGCCCGTCTGCCGGTGTGCCTCGTGCCCCCCCCCCCCCCCGTGTGGGTCGTCGGCTTACCTGGAAGTGCTCCTTGATCACAAACGCGTTTGCGATCTTCACCTTGATTCCCTCAAAGTCGCCCACGTCGCTCACGCAGATGGCGTACCACTGTGCGCAGATGGGAGAGGAATTTAAACTTCAGCGAAGTTAAAATTCTATCACCAATGCAATAACTGGCGTTCTAAGATCACTAGGCCAGACGTGAACCGCAAAGTCCATCAATGCCGTTTGTTAAGAGCACAAAGCGTCATTGCAAACCCGCAAAGCATCATGGGATTGAACCGTGAACCACTGCAACAAACTGGCAAAAGTGCTGCCACTCGGGCATGATAAGGGCAGGCGAGAGCGTTGATTTTCAGAACGTTACAATTCAATTGGCGGTTCCTTTTGCCTGTAGCAGTGGCCCCGAGGCCGCACCTTGTGGCAGGCGAAGCTGCTTGGGTTCTTGCTGAGCGCTCTCTTGGCAGCGTCCAGGGCCTCGTACGTGAGCCGGCGTCGCTCCTCGGTGGTGGTGCCGCTCCGCTGGGCCAGGTCGCGCGCCGCTCGTGCCAACCGCCACAGCACCTCGTCGCTGTCCAGCCTGGGGCGCGACCACGACAAGCCCTCTCTCACCATCACTCTCGTGCCCCTGTGTGTGCGTCTCTCTCTGTCTCTCTCCACCTCTCTGAATCCCCCTTGTCTCCATCTCTCTCCGTCTCGCCACTCTTTCTCTCTCTCTCTTTATCGCTCTTTCTCCGTGTCTGTCGCCGACTCTCTGTCACTGCCACCTCTCTACTGTCTTGTTACACATCAACAGAAGCAGCTGTGAGTGTGTACACGTGCAAACGTGTGTGTGGCGGCGAGCCGGGTAGTGGTTAGCGTGCTGCGCTATGGACCCGGCGGTCCGAGTTCAATTGCCGTTCACGACCAACGCCAGTAATGGTTATCTGAACTGGTCCTGGGCCTCCTCTAGGTCGACTCAGCCTCAAATGAATACCTGGTATAGCTACCTATACTTTGCACTCCTGTATTGTTTGTTGTTGTAACTTGCTGACCCGTTCTTGCTGGAGATCTGTGAAAAAGAGCTTGATAGCTAATCGGATTCCTCCGGTATAAATATTTTAACTCAAATTCCGAGGTCTGGGAGTGGACGCTTCCCCAACCCCCCTCCCGGTGATTTGGTCACAAACGAAATAATTGCCAAAATGCAACCGATACGTCCTCTTGCACAACGCAATTTGCGCAGGCATCGGCATTAACCGATGGATCGATGGACCGTCGCGTGCGTGGCAACGGCAGAGAGCGCCGGCGCTGTGCTCGTCACCGGTCCGCCTGCTCCTTGAGCAGCAGGTAGAGCTTCTCGGACTCCAGCGTGCCGTACAGGTAATCCGCCTGCTCGATGAGCTTCTCCAGCGCGTAGTCTGGACACACGGCGTCGTCGCAGCGCGCGGACACAGAGGGAAGGTTAAAGGTCGAACTCAACCCGGCAGCGCGAGGCGGCGGCGTCGTCGCGGCGAGGACGGAGGTGAGCATGGGCACGCGATCTGAATCGGCGTCAACACGGAGGTGTGTTTTGGAACTGGAGTCTGCAACCTCCTGCCCGGGGGACGCAAGCGGGCCCGGGGGACGCAAGTGGGCCTGCGGGACGCAAGCGGCCTGTGGCTTAGTTTTGGCCGGCCAGCAAACGTTCGCTGAACAACTTGGCGGGCAGTCCGCCACCAACGCGCAGGGCGACGTCACATTTACAAACGTCGTGGCTCTCGGGGGATTTTTCGTATTCCCAATATGGCCAGCGCTTGAAAAAGCTATCACCGGAGTGTGAACACAGCTTTAACTTGCGTGAACATGCCGGATGCGTCACAGATGTGGAAACACACGGGGGAGCCCACTTGCAGCACGTCGCCCTGAGAAGTGGTCGCATTTAAACGCTGCGACGTGAATCCACACTGTGTTCGATTTGCACAACTGTTCCCACCCGGTTGAGCCGTGCCGCTCCAGTGTCTCCCGCTCACCTGAGCCGCTGGTGGCTTGGGCGGCCGCAAGGGGAGGCCTCCACATCTGGACCCCGGCCCAGCCGGCCACACCACCAAGCAGGGCCCACCGGAGGCCACGCACAACGCCAGGGCTGCTGGGACACGCACGCACGCCGTGGCCCTACGCACACATTCGGGCCTCTTCACAGATTCAATCGCAGCTGCTGCCATTCGCCACTCGGTGAAAGTGACAATGCCGTGGTGCTTGTGCCAGGCTCAGGTGCACTTTGAGGCGACATGAAGGGTGGAAGGCTCGCTGCAGGCCGGTCACGATGACAGGCCCTGCGTTACGTGGCGACTGCCTTGAGATGTCCGTACCCAGTGATTCTCGTCACCCCCCTGCTTCTGCACCATCGCAATGCCACGGCTGGTGGACGCAGAGCTTCTGGGGACTTGGGGCCCGTGGTGATGCGGCGCGTTGTTTGACAGTGCAGGTTGGTGACGGGCGCATCCGAGTCCCTTGGCACGGGTGCCCCCCAATTCAAGTGGCGTAGCTACTCAACTGTGCACACGAGCCTCTGAAGAAGCTGCCAGGATGTGCAGCGAAACGTTGGACATCGCGGCGTTAGACACGCGGGCACAACCCGAAAAAAATAAAACGGGAAGCTGCGTTGGTAACTGGCAAACAAGGCGAGACGGACGGTGGTGGGGCTCTGGAAGGTTTGGCGTTGTGTGGAAGTCGCCGGGGATTGCTTACCCGCACAATCTTGACAGCCCCGCAGCTGCAGCAGCTCCTGCAGGGGTCGCCCACACTCTGCACGTGGCGGCCGTCGGCACCGAACCCTCGAACCTCCGGGCTGCCCCCTGTAAGGGACACAGGTTCAGACACCCCACTCATCATCACACACAGCCAGACACCCCACTCATCATCACACACGGCTAGACACCCCGCTCATCATCACACACATCCATACACCCCACTCATCATCACACACGGACACCCCACTCATCATCACACACAGCCAGACACCCCACTCATCATCACACACAGCCAGACACCCCGCTCATCATCACACACGGCTAGACACCCCACTCATCATCACACACAGCCAGACACCCCATTCATCATCACACACAGACAGAACCCCACTCATCATCACACACAGCCAGACACCCCACTCATCATCACACACAGACAGACACCCCACTCATCATCACACACAGCCAGACACCCCACTCATCATCACACACGGCTAGACACCCCACTCATCATCACACACAGACAGACACCCCACTCATCATCACACACAGCCAGACACCCCATTCATCATCACACACAGACAGAACCCCACTCATCATCACACACAGCCAGACACCCCACTCATCATCACACACAGCCAGACACCCCACTCATCATCACACACGCTAGACACCCCGCTCATCATCACACACATCCATACACCCCACTCATCATCACACACGGACACCCCACTCATCATCACACACAGCCAGACACCCCACTCATCATCACACACAGCCAGACACCCCACTCATCATCACACACAGACAGACACCCCGCTCATCATCACACACAGCCAGACACCCCACTCATCATCACACACAGCCAGACACCCCGCTCATCATCACACACAGACACCCCACTCATCATCACACACGGATAGACACCCCGCTCATCATCACACACAGACACCCCGCTCATCATCACACACAGACACCCCACTCATCATCACACACGGCCAGACACCCCACTCATCATCACACACAGCCAGACACCCCGCTCATCATCACACACGGCTAGACACCCCGCTCATCATCACACACAGACACCCCACTCATCATCACACACGGCTAGACACCCCACTCATCATCACACACGTCCAGACACCCCACTTGCATCATCACACACAGTACAGGGAGTAGGAGTTAGTGTGTTTGACCTGGCAGCATGCACTGTGTGCATGCTGCAGCTGGTGAGCTGTATGTGAACGGATGTGCGGTTTAACACGAGTGACGTTAGCACATCTATCTCTCTATTTAAGGAACAAACAGGTGGATTGCTCCACAAATCTGACTGTCGCCTGATGAAGCGAAACGTCGTACTCAGTTTGTAAATGTTGTGGCTTTGCTCTCCAACACACCGGTGTGCTGTACTAGTACACTACACTATACACTACACACTAATGCTGTACTAGTGACGAATTGGCACGTTCTTTTTACGTGACAACCCTTACTAGTTGGCTGTGTCGGGTGGTGGCGGGTTTAACGACACATTTATATATTTAAGCGATCTAACAAAAACCAATGTGGATGTGCAGTTGTCCGATGAAACTCAACGAGCCTCTCCAGGCAGCACGTGACGACACCACAGCCAATCAGAGCAAGGCTGCTGCCATGTTGGGTGGGGGTGGGTGAACCTGGACACCATCGCCATGTTGGGTAGGGAGACCCGCGCGTTTCAAGCCAGCGGCAATAACAACGAGGTGGAGGAGGGTGGAGCAGCGGTGCTTCACCGTGCTCCAGCCAGGCTCTCGGTGCCCCTCACTGCGAGCACAGCCAGCGAGTGTAGCAAGTCTGTCTCGACTGTCTCCTCTCTCCCGAGTCATTGAGGGTCCGTCGCTATCCGCACGCCCGCCATTCTCTCTGTCTCTCTGTGTCTCTGTCTCTCTGTGTCTCTGTCTCTCTGTGAGGCTCTGTCTCTCTGTGGTCTCTGTCTCTGTGAGTATCTGTGTCTCTGTGAGTCTCTGTCTCTGTGAGTCTCTGTCTCTCTATGTCTCTGTGTCTCTGTGTCTCTCTATGTCTCTCTGTCTCTGTGTCTCTGTCCGTCCGCCTGTCCGTGGAGGACACCGCGGCCGCGAGTCTCGGGACCCCCCCTGCCCCCTGCCCCTCCCCGACCGCAGGACCCGGCAGGGCCGCGGTCTCAGGGCGCTGCTGCTCCTGCTGCTGTTGTTGCTGCTGCGTCGTCTCCCCGCACTCGGCCACTCACAGGCGCCGGGCGCCGCCGGAGGGTCTCGGCCGCCCTCGCCACGAGCCGCGCGCCTCCTCCTCCTCCTGCAGGCCCCCGACAGCAGCGCGACACGAGGCTCCTCCAACTCATGGCGGCGGCGGCGGCGAGAGACAGCGAGAGACGAGAGACAGCGAGAGACAGCGAGCGGCGAGACGAGCGGCAGTCGTGTGGGCGATGTCCGCCTCGAGGGCGCGGGGGTGGTCGAGTCGGGGTTCCAATTGGGTCAGGGGGCACACGTGTGTCGGGGTGTGTGTTGTGTGTGTGTGATGTGTGTGTTGTATGTGTTGGTGTGTTGGTGTATGTGCGTGTGGTGAGTGTGTGTACGTGTGTGTGTGTTGCTGTGTGTGTGTACGTGTGTGTGTACGTGTGTGTGGTGTTGGTGTTGGTGTGTGTGTGTTGGGCTGTGTGTGGTGTGTGTCGGTTGGTGTGTGGTGTGTGTGTGTGTACGTGTGTCGGTGTGTACGTGTGTGGGTGTGTGTACGTGTGTGTGGTGTTGGTGTGTGTGTGTGTGTTGGTGGGTGTGTGTGTGTTGGGCTGTGTGTGTTCGGCTGTGTGTGTTGGGCTGTGTGTGTGTGGTGTGTACGTGTGTTGGTGTGTGTGTGTACGTGTGTTGGTGTATGTGTGTGGTGGGTGTGTGTTGGTGTGTGTACGTGTGTTGGTGTGTGTATGTGTGTGTACGTGGGGAGCGGTAGTATAGCGGTTAGCACGCTGCGCTAAGAACCTGGCGACCCGGGTTCGATTCCCGCTCACGGCCAACACCAGTGACGATTATCTGAACCGGTCCTGGGCCTCCCCTAGGTCGACTCAGCCTTAAATGAGTACCTGGTGCGGTGTGTAAACATCGCCACTGGGGAGACAAAGGCGGTCGGGCGTGGTGCTGGCCACCCACCCCCTCGTGTACCGTTCCGGCCTTCATAGGTGCTCGCTAACAGCACTTGCCCCTACAGTCTATTAAGGCTATACGGGGGATCTTTGTCTTTGTATGTGTGTGGGGAACGGTAGTGTAGTGGTTAGCGCGCTCCGCTACGAACGCAGCCATCCCAGATTCCCGCTCACGGCTAACGTCAGTGGCGAATACCTGGACCGGTGGCGATCATCCCCGAGGATGACTCCGCCGTCCAAGAGTACCCGGCGTGGGGTGTCAACGTCACAACTCGGGAGCAAGGGGGGTGCCGGCACGGCACGAGATATTTGTAAAGTTACTTGTAGGGTGCGTCTTTCTTTCCGGAGCGTCTTATAATCAAGACTCAACATAAGCATGCGATCATTACGCCTGTTTGCATGATCCCATAAGCCACCGTGGCATTTTGAGATTGACTGGGGTTGATGAGACACTTAATTTTGAAACCGGTCCAGAGTTTTGCTTGTTGTGAACCAATGCTGCTCAACCATAATAGAGGGTTTTTTGGGGTTAGATCGCGTAAATATATAAATGTGTCGTTGAACCCGCCACCACCCGACACAGCCAACTAGTAAGGGTTGTCACGTAAACAGAACGTGGCCAATTCATCACTAGTACAGCACTAGTGTGTAGTGTAGTGTATAGTGTAGTGTACTAGTACAGCACACCGGTGTGTTGGAGAGCCAAGCCACAACAATTACAATCTGACTACGACGTTTCGCCAGTGATTACAACTAGCTTCATCAGGCGACAGACAGATTTGTGGAGAAGCCCACCTCTTTCGTTCCTTATATCGAGGCGTAGACGTGGTGACCACACTTCTGCGCTCTTGCGAAAAGTGGGGGAGGGGGGTTAATGAGGCAACGTACATTATACATGCGCATTATGCGAGCCCTTTGATCGTGTCCTTCCTGTCCATTGTGTGTATTAAAATGCTGCTTAAGTTGTGCACTCCCAGAAGGCCATTTGGCTGATGGGACGTGTAATTTTTTTTTCTTTTATTTGTTCACGTGATGAGTTGTTACGTGTGCGTTTGTCTGCTTATTTTATTGTATGTACTACTGTTCTACTGGGCGACGCTAGTGATGAGTGTGTCTTGTGCATTATCCAGATAATACTGCGTGCCTTATCCAGATAATACTGCGTGCCTTATCTGCATCTGATGATTGTGTCACCGAGGCAACTTGCAGGCAAGGTGATGTCCACCTCAACGCTCTGTCCATAGCTCTGCCTCAATAATGATAACACGCGCAGTGGCTTGGTAAACATTCAGAGGAGTTAAGCCTTGCCTGGAATCAAGTTGCATAAACAACGTAGACAGGTGAGAACGCCCTAAGGCGTGCTTCTCACCTTTTGTCGTTCTCTGATCTGAGACTGGTGAGACTAGGCCCTGAAGAAGACTGTCTCTGGTGTAGGCCACTCAGTTTCAAAGACAACGCCATATCTTATCAGAGCATGTTTTGTTTGTATGTCCACCACACGAACGTGTCGTTAATACAGACGTGATTCGTTGAAAAAGGTTTCTATTCGGTGTTTGAACATCTTAACACCACCTGCTTTATTGCCAGAAATTGTAATGCCTCTTCTTCTTTGTTTCATCCAGGTGCATACTGTGTGTCACTTGAGCTGCGTTCACGCACGGGTTGATAGCTCACGTTTAGTGAACTCCAAGTGCCTTATGCACAACGTAAAGGGGTTCGAAAAACCGCGGTGGAGCTTCTCAACACGAGGGCCACGTGCGTGGACATTTGACCCTTTAATTATAGGCCGAATATAGATATAGATATGTCCGAACGATCACATTCGATACAAGCACAACAACAAAATAACTGATCGATAAGGTCAACTAATTATTACAAATGACTACCATATCGATTGCATTTATTATATGAAAAAATAAGAAAAAGGTCCCATTTTGCAGCATTTATGATGTTGAGATAATATAAATCGTTAAAGAATACAGATCCCACTCTCCCTATATCTAGCAACACTTTCGACTGCCCTACGCAACAACATATCCAGATTGTGACTTCCAATGAACTCAAAAGTCTGATGGGGTCTCAGGAATTGTATATATTTATTTCTTGTGACCTTGAAATTAGGTCTTGTATAAATAACAGTTTAACACATCCGTGGAACTGAGTATGAGACATTCTAAGGGACGACGGTGACGCCGCCGAGTGTGAGAAGTCGGGTTGGGTGATGTCTCGCCGTCCGGGGCACGCGGTCTTCTCAGTCGCGATGTGTCGGGGTGTTCTGTGGGCTACTCGGGGCCGGAGAGACGTACGGTGCGAAAGAAATGCAACATACCCAGGGCACTCCCCGTGAGGCACCTTGTTCTTGAATTAGCGTGGAGACTGGATACTAGGAAGAGTAAATGAGCATATGATAGGATTTTCCACAGATCGATTTGGTGAACATGTAAAATAGAAACACCGATTTCACGAGGGCAGAGAAGAGGCACTCATCTGGTCAAGACAATTTTAATATTCCGTGCAACCGGTTACTGAAAGCAGTTCGTGAAGCAACAATCAACCCTTTCCATCGCATTTGTGTTCAACATCACCGCTTCACACAAAGTACCACACCAAGTACTGGACAGTTTAATATTCCAATGATAGCAATCAATAGAGTATGTGTTAAACACATCGTAATAGTAACATTCTTGACAATTTCAGTTCCCATCAGGATGGTTAAGCTCAACAGTAGGCATGGAACAATGCGTTGACTCGGCGATTGATATCGATTCTTCATCGCTAATAATATAGGAGCCCTCCAGCATGAGAGGCCACTATATTAATCTGTTTAAAAACATTGGATGGCCATTGTATATCAGGCCATTTTTTATTCTAGAAATTTTAAACTGCAAAAAACTTAATAATTATCGATGCATATTTAAAGTTCGATACAGTACAATTAATGAGACGATGAAAACTCAGCATATATCCAATAATTCCTTGGCAATCAATTCCTGCCTTTGAACGGTTTATTTTTCCCTGGGTGCACCACTGGGCCACGTGGCACCCCTCATCCCCCGTGACGCGTCACGGCTCCAGGGTCTCTGACGAGGTGCTCATCGTCACTCCTCGCATCCGCTCCTCGTACAGCTCGTCAAAGTGCTCGCTCTGAGCCACCGTGAACTGAGTCTTCCAGTCGCCGACCACTCCTGACGAAACACAGACGTGGGGGCAAGGTCACATGGAGCCACGAGGGAATTTTTCCAATCGGGGTTTTGCTACGTTGGGATGTTTGGTCAATGTCCGTATGTTGAACTTCTTTCGTACCGGTACGTAACCAACCGTGGTAATTGGAGGTGCGGGAAAAACAACGTTCATGATTTTTTGGATTTGTGTGGGTGGAAACCGGATAAAATACACCGTGCATGTGAGAGTATGGCATTCAGAGTTCCACGCAGATGACACAGATTGTGATACAGACACAAAGACAGGTACAGACCCGGAGATGGATAGAAATGGACAAAGAGACCGACGTGGAAATGTGAGATAGGCACAGAGAAAGGTTGAGAGAAAGAGATAGAAACAGACATACACGGAGAAACTCGCGGAGACAATCAAACACAATACGTAATTATGTACGTTGAACTTCTTTCGCACCGTACGTAGCCAACCGTGCTAGTCGGAGGTGCGATTAGGGATATCTGATAATAATAATATGGGTGCCTCAAAAGAAGCTCGGGCCCTATGCAAAACACAGCACTACAGACCGCACTGCGTACGCACTGCGCACACACTGCGCACGCACGCACCCTTGCGCATGAAGCTGCCGCGCTTGTGGTCGATCCACTGCTCGGGGACGAGCGAGTAGTTGACCATGCGGCTCTCCCTCATGCTGGAGAAGCGGCAGTGGGAGGCGACAACCTCCGTGAGCCGGTCGCTCGCCTCCCGGCCCACAAAGCGGCACAGTCGGCGCACGACCCCCTCCAAGTCCTGCGCTCTCCCAATTGCCGCCGCGAACGAAACAGGAACGATAAGTGGCGTGAGCCCACGGTGAGAGGAATGAGATGCTATGGGGGGCGGGGAGACTTTTGCAATTTCCCCTTCTCTCGATCGCCCGCCGCTTGGGTTCCTCCACAGCCATTTGGGCCCTCGTGCCGTTGCACCACCTGCGCACTCGATAGACGTCGCAATCTCATCACGTCACCACTACATTTGGTATTCGAAACATTCTTACAGCGCAGGGCTATCGCGAAGGCACCGTGCTCCACAGGGGGCGATGTTGCTCTGTGCAATCCCATTTTGGAGTAATCTTTTGGTGGAATTTTCCTAATTTGGACCATGACCACGGCACACGTGGCCTGCTCTGTTTCAAATCGCGTCCACCGGGATCCCTTCACGTTTGCCGAAACAGTCGGCGGCGTAGCACTGATGGTTGATACACGCGCAGCATTAACCAGGGCGGCCGCACCGTGAAACTGTCGCAAACGCGCTTCTGCTGTCGAGGTCACCGTGACCCTACGACCTCCACAAGTCTCATATCGTGGGTCGGGGCTCGTAGGCGCCTGGCAATGATCGTCGTCGTCATCCTCACCCGGTGTAGGTCCTCGTAGGACACGAAGAAGAGGTCCACCTTGTCTCGGTTCTCAAGCCAGCCCCTGACGTGCTCGAACCAGGAGCCGAACAGCACTGCGGGAACGCCGGGACCACCACGCCAGAAGTCAACCACAACTGTGATTGTGCAGTTCTCATGAATTGTAATCGCAATTAATATTTATTTTGCAATTGCACCAACAGTAAGAGAGGTATTGCAGCCGGACCAACATCAGCAGCAAGTGGACTCAACCGGTCCTTGGCCTCCCCGACGATGACTCAACTTTAACCGAATGCTCGGTGCGGTGTGAAAACATCAGCACTCGGGAGAGACAAGGGTTGGCCGAATGTGGTCCTGGCAACACCAGCCCCTCGCGCACCACGCCGGCATTCATATGTGCTCACAAAGAGCACTTGCCTCAGCAGTCTGTGTAGGCTATACGGGGGATCTTTGTATGTCTAAGTGACGTCGGGGGGGACTTTTCTGATTTGGTGTTCGTGGTGCAACGATTACATTAATCTGTCCCACAGGCGACCCTCCTCCTCCCTACCTTTGCCTTCACAGAACTTGTCGTAGAATTCCTCCCAGGTGCCGGGCTCCTCCAGGAAGCGGGCGATCTTGTGGAAGTTGTAGGAGGACACGAGGATGTCCCTGGGGTTCCTCGCCATGTAAATGACCTTCCCCAGACGAGGACACGGGGCGACCGTCAGTGAGGTTGGCACGATATCACGAAGCTGTCTCTAGTCTCGTCCACCGGCCATGCCATCATCCCTTCTCGCGACACCTTTCCTGGCAGTCATGATGACTGATTGAACATCTCGGTGTAATTCCGAGCATGCACTTCTCCGTTATTCTTCATGCACCCTTGCGGGCTTTTGTTCCGTGTGTTTTTACATTTATTTTCACAGCAGGCAATGCTGTACACACTCATGAATAACCTTGCATCTTTAAGGTCTGAACTCGAATATAAACACGAGCAAAGCTAAAAGCACGCACGACAAAGTTCGCTCGGAACATTCGGGATTATCTGTCGGAAGGACACAAAGTGGAAAACTGCAACAGACCGAGGGCAGCCAGTCATGGAGACGACCCCCCCCCCTCGCCGTCAACACACCTTGGCCTTGGCTTGGCCGATCTCACGTGGCGCCAGCTGGAAGGGCAGGTGGGTGGTGATGAGGCGGGGAGAGGCGCGATGCTCCAGGTGCTTTCTGCCCGTGTCCTGCTCCAGCCAGGGAACCCGCTCCCAATTGGGCACCGACTGCACGGGGCCCAGGTCTCCGTCGCTGTACAGCAGGGTCACGATCTCCTGCATCCACGTCGTGCCTGTGACGTGCGCGCGGGGCAATGTTGCTGCAGCGTCGCCGCGATATCGTTTAACCACGATGCGAAACGATTCCAATTGTCACGACATGACGATTTTATCGACATATCGGTTTACCGTAACTTTGTGATTGTTTTGGTTTTATTTGTTTATTTTTGTGTGTGCCTTGCTGCGCTGCCAGTATGAGGTGCGGATTACTGTAAAATGAATTATCGAACTGTTGTGCACCTCCATTATACTTGCCACGAGTTTTCTAATCATCCCCCACTATACAACCTGTACAGAACAAATTGTGGCACGGGGTTTCTTCCGTGTACAGGTGAATGGTGCCCACACACCTGTACACTGGCACAGGTAAAAGAATCTCCCACCAGCAACAACAGCCGCCAATCTCCAACTCGGTGACCGCGACATCAGCGCTTGTGCCAGGCAAGGTGCACGTGTATCCGTACAGACAGTGGCGTAGTAACGACATTATCAGCGCAGGTGGTGTGGCAATCGGTTAGGTGGGACCCCAATATTTGATTTGTCTCGCACGGTCGCACCTCGGCTATTACATATCGCCGCTATATATAGCCTAATTCAACTTAAATACGACATCGAACGTCAACGAAGCATTTTCTAAAAAAAAAAAATTCAAACCGCGTTTTAAACAAGTGGTTGGTTCTTTGACACTGTTGTTGAAAACAAATCTCACGGTGGCTGTCAAGGGGACACCCAACCCGTCGCTTTGGCCACCAGCGGTCAGGGTCAGGGGCAGGGCACCCCGCTGCCTGCCCCGCGCTCGTCACGCCACTGCGTGGAGCGACGCGGGCGAGCGACGCGCACCTGATTTGGGGTAGGTGACCACGAAGAGGTCATAGGAGCGCACGGGGAACTCGCGCGCGTAGCCCAGCGTCTCGGCGCTGTGGATGTTGCTGGGGAACAGAATCCCGCTGTACGCAAACATGGCTGTCCTCGGCGACTCGTGCTGCGTCTCCGCCACGCCGTTGTGCTGCTGCTCCTGCTGCTGATCCTGCTGCTCCTGCTGCCCCGCCATAGCTGCCCTTGGTGACTGCTCTCTGTGCTGGGAAAGGGAGTGAGGTGTGGGCGTTGAGGATAAATAATGCACACACAACCATCATCATCATCAGACAGGTGGTCGGTTTCATTGCACAACAGGCCAAACCTTGAACCGCCCCTCCAGCCCTCTTGCTGGCAGAAGAGAATCTTGTATTTCATCTTGATTTGAAGTTTTCGTGACTGCAATGTTCCATACTTTTTGGTTCTTTCGGTAAAGTCACGTAGGTATAAAATAAAAGAAAAAACTAAAAAAATGTTTTCAAAATAATCAATTTTTTTTATACCTACGTGACTTTACGGAAAGAACCAAAGAGTATATAATATGCGAATGGATTAATTTCAATTAACGTTGAGTTTAATCGTGGCGTTAGAATCATGAGCTTGATTTTTTGTTTGTCTATAAGGATTTGATTGGGGTTACCGTAGCGTATCCATCGATTTACGAACGTTCGGTTTACGGAATTTCGCGTGAACGAATTTTTCCGCGTGAACGAAATGCTACAGCGGCAATCGCCACGAGGCCATCAAACGAGGAGCCGCCCGGAGGCTGGGGCAGCATCCTCTTCCGCGTCAGCGTCACGGAGTCGCTGCAGTGAAACGCTGACGTCTCCACGTCGTCACCTGTCCAGGCATTGCGACGTGCAGATTTTTACGGAGAGTTCCCTGAAAAGGATAATTATTTTCGTTTTAAATAAATTAATGTTCGATCATTCTAATATGTATCTTCTTTGTTGTTGTGGTGTGAAAAGCGATAGAGGTGGGTACATTTTTCGGTTAGGCGTAGAGTTTCAATGGCTGTCCGAAACACATCCTTTTTTTTTACTTTCATAAAATTAATGGGGAAAAGCCATCACGATTTACCAAATTTCGTATTTAGGGGCCGTCCATAAATGACGTCACGCACCTGGGGGGGGTCAGACATTTGTGACGATGTGTGACGATTGGGGGGGGGGGGGTCTCAAAAATGGTCCAAAATCGAGTGACGTCATTTATGGACGGTCCCTTACGCGTTAATTTTTAAGAACGCGCCCCCTTCGTAGAGCGAGGGGTACTGGATGTGTGACGTCACGAACCCCAGCGGCCCGCGAGCTGCTCGCGCCTGAGGGCTGTGGATGGGGGAGCGGTGGCGGAGCGGTGAGCGCGCTGCTGCTACGAACCCGGCCACCCGAGTTCGATTCGCGCTCACGGCGACAAACACCGGTGACGATTATCTGAACCGGTTCTGGGCCTCCCCTAGGTCGACTCAGTCTCAAATGAGTACCTGGTGAGGTGTGTAAACATCGTCACTGGGGAGACAAAGGCGTCCGGTCGTGGTGCTAGCCACCCATCCCCTCGCGTGTCGTGCCGGCCTTCATAGGTGCCCGCTAACAGAACTTGCCCCAACAGTCTGTTAAGGTTATACGGGGGTTCTTTGTATTTGTGGTTGTGAGTGTGGGTGGGTGAGTCGATTGTGTGGGTGGGTGAGTTTATGGAGGTGCAGATGAATGTGTGGGTGGGTGAGTTTATTGAATTGTGGATGGGTGAGTGGTACGTTAATGGTTGTGTGAAAAGGTGATTGTGTGGGTGAGTTTATGGAGGTGTAGATTGGGGAGTGAATGGTGAGTTGACGGGTGGATACATGTGATGTGTGGATGGTAAATTGTTTGCCATTCTGTTCATTAATACTTTTCCACGATTTTTCTTGCATGCTAAATTAAAGTAACCACATTTTTCTGCAATGTTTCACATTGTATTTCCTCCTATTTTATTTGGTAGTGGCACAAACATTTCTCGCCTCCAATGCCTAGGCGATTAGTTACTTTCCCATAGCCTCTTGAATGTATGTGCATGATATCAAATTCCGTTTCTCCACCTACTGCCAGAAACTCAGTGTAACTGCCGGCATCGTTGTAGATCTACTGGTATCTCTGCTCGTATTTCCTGATCTCTTCTCGAATGTCTCTATCTCTGCTGGTATCTCTGTAACTCTGCCGATGTCTCCCTGTATGCCTACTGGTATCTCTGCTTGCATCTCTATCTCTGCTGGTATCAATGTATCTATGCTGATATCCCGGCTGAGTCTGGTGCTATCCCGTACCTTAAGGGTCCATGTTTCCACTCAGGTATCGCTGTGTGTGTTTCTCGTGGTTGATAAACAAACAAACAAAAACACCGCCAGAACAACTGTGGTTCTGCACTCATCCCTCCCGCCCCAACCTTCACGAACCGTACTGACCCGGCTGGTGAAGTATGATCAAACATCACGGCCCCCGCATGTACATACATTGTCCGGGAATGCACTGAGAACGTCGCATCTCGGAAGCTAAGCAGGCGCTTAGCCTGGCAGAGGAGGTGAAGCGGAGTAAGGTGAACGCGGGAACGAGGAAGTACGAGATTGATCTTAACACGAGGTGCACATGAACCCCAGGTGAACATTCGCACGAGATTGATCGTAACACGGAGTGCACATGCACCCCAGGTGAACATTCGCACGAGATTTATCTTAACACGAGGTGCACATGCACCCCAGGTGAACATTCGCACGAGATTGATCGTAACACGAGGTGCACATGCACCCCAGGTGAACATTCGCACTAGATTTATCTTAACACGAGGTGCACATGCACCCCAGGTGTACATCCACGCCGGGTGCGGAGGCTACGCGTGCGCATACCTGCAGGAGAGGTCCCTCTCGGCTCACGGTCTCCGACTCAGTGGCGATCCCTCCGCTCCCTTCTGCTCCCTCCACCCCCTCGCTCCGGACCACAACTCATGGCATACAGGGGGCGGCGAAGGGGGTGGCGTCATGCCGAGCCCTGAGAGGGTGCGATAAGGGGCCCCGCAAAAACCGCGGTTTCCGATTTCGGAATAGGGAACGCGACGCGTCACGACCACGCAAACGCCGCAGAGTTCTGACTGCGCAAAAAAAATGTGCGCCCACGACGCGCGCCCACTGCTGATGCGGCAGATTTGCCCGCTGCCAGGGGGTCTGTTGACTCGATGCAGAGGCGGGCCCGGTCGACGTGACCGAGTGGTTGGTTGGCGGCGGTGGTGCGGTTCATTTCATTTCTTTCATCCCATTTATTAGGTATAACCCTGTGAGCCATGCGGCTCTTGAGTCGGGTGCAACCGCAACAAACACGCGTTCGTGCGTTCCTAACGGACCCGGCGCGATCGGACCGTCAGGTCGACGCATCGACAGGAAGCTGCGATCGACGACTTCGTTGTGGGTCGGTGACTCGGGTCTCCTATCCCACTGAGGCAAGAGACTCCCCCCTCGGCTTGCGAAAATTTCACCCCCCCCCCGTGCCTCTTTGGCCACCACGAGAGAGACGACGATGATGCAACACCTTGTTCTGTGTGAGCTTCCGGGCACGAAGCGCGGTGGTCACCGACCCTGCCTCGGTCTCCCGCCAGCACACGGCGAGCACAAACACAGCACGAGTCGACATCAAGGGTAGCCCAGGACGGGTTCGGTTTGAAGTTGCGCCATTTGGGTCACTTGGCTGTGTGGTCCACGAGGACATCAATTTGCATATCCAGGGTGCTTCAATCTTGAGTTGAAGCTTTCGTGACTGCAGGAATCCATACTCTTTGGTTCTTTCGGTAAAGCCACGTAGGTATAAAATTGTATTTAATATAATTCATATTTTATTATACCTACGTGACTTTACCGAAAGAACCAATGAGTAAGGGTGCTTCAACTTTGTTTGAACGCTTCTGAGAATTTGCAACAACACGACAAGAAATGTGCTGCCTCCTCCGGGCTCTGGAGACCACCTGGAGAAGATTCCAGGCCACGCGTTGACAATGACGGCGAACAACTGGGGCAGACTCTTTGACTTTTTGAAGCTATTAACATGACAATTGTTATCATGCTACAGCGTAGTATTATCCGTTATTTTTTCATTAAAAACTACAGTCCCATGTAAGTGTTAACATTTATTCGAAGCACCCTGTATATATCATTAGACCTTCTTTGCCAGTACCAAAATATAATAATCGGGGTTTTCCCCTAATGATGTAGATGCTTACCCCGAGCCCTCATTACTTTGCTAGTACATTGTCTTTGAGCTGTACGCCTTTTGGCGTCCTCTGGTCTAGCACCAATTGAGACGAGGTTCAAAAGAAAGCCGTCTCTGGTGTGGACCAATCAGTTTCAAGGACAATACATCAATTATCAGTGTTTTTTTTTGTTTGCATTTTGAACACAAGTCTTGTGGTTAATGCACACATGATTCCTTGTAAAAAGGTTTCAGTTTTGTTGCCAGAGAAAAGGGGAAAACCCCTATTATCACCCTGTATTTATGCACGTACATTTACAAAGACGAAGGGTCCCCCCGCATGGCCTGAACACATTGTAGGAGCGAGTGTTGTAGGCGAGCACCTATGAAGGTCGGCACTGCACACGAGGGGCTGGGTGGGTGGCCAGCACCACGCCCGCACCAGGTACTCATTTGAGGCCGAGTCGACCTAGGAGAGGTCCGGTTCAGATAAAATCCGTCAGTGGTGCAGAACGTCAGCGGTAATCGAACCGGGCGTCGTCGGGGATTCGTAGCGCAGCGTGCTGACCGTTGTACTACAACAACAACAACAACTGCCATTCTCCACTAAGCCGTGACGTCACGACGGCGCTTGTGCCAGGCTAGGTGCACTTTAAGGTCACGTGAAGTGTCGAACGCCCACTGGCAGGAGGCCACGGGACAGACTCATGTGCCATGGGTTTACTGACTGAGATGACTGGCCGATGGAGAGATGTACACAAGAAGGAGGCGTCGTGGAATGTATCTGTTTTCATACAATATTCCATTGGAAAATCACAAAAAATCGTCGTACCGTGCTTGAGCACACATCACATGGGGAGGGAGCCGGGGGGTTTCTCGCCTTGGGGGGGCAGATTGAGCTGCCGGCATTTCCGAAGGAGCTCGAACGACCATCGCGAAACAAGCGGTCGGTCCAGCCATTTGTTTCGCGTCGATTAATCGACTGAGTCGACGAATCGCCTCTGCTGCCAGATTTGCCTGATGCCAAACTTGTGCTGTGCTAGCCAAGAGCCCTCCACGCAAGCACCCTGGAGACCATTGAGGGTTCAACCACAGCCAATTGCACGGAACGCACTTGCGGGTTCTGTTGAATGCTTCGTGTGAGAGCTCAGCTGGGCATCACCTTGAAGGGCTTCTCTGACTCTCTGCAGAAGAGCCATTTGCCATTGTAAGCAGCGAGGACTGAGAGCAGAGGTGGGGGGAGAGAGGGCCCAGGGCACTCCACCACCTGCCCCACCTGCCCCACATCACCACGTACGCGCCTCCAGCAACAGCTCCGGGGAGAGAGAGCGAGAGGACGAGGGTAGCGATAAGTACGGGAGGCAGTGGCTTATAAGCTGTCTGTGTGGGGAGCTGTGCGTCTAAGGGAGCTGTCTGTGTGGGGAGCTGTGTGTATAGAGAGGTGCCTGTCTAATGGGGCTGTCTTTACAGGGAGCCGTCTGTTTATGGGAGCTGTCTGCATTGGAGGCTGTCTCTGCGGGGAACTGTCTGCCCCAGTAGCTGTCTGTCTCGGGGGTGGTTTGTGTGAGCAGCTGGCTGTCTAGTGAACTGTCTGTATCGGTAGCTGTTCACATCGACAGCTGTCTGCCTCGGGGCTGGCTGTGTGGGGAGCTGTCCGCTGGCATGGAGGAGCTGCTGCTGCTGGTGCTGTGCGCGCTGGGCTCGGTGCTGGCGCCGTGCCCGTGCCGTGAGTGCTGGAGGGACTACGTGAGTCACGGCAGCTTCACACACTCCCAGCGACACGCGCACACTGCGACACATAATCAGTGTAACACACAAAATACAAAGATCCCCCGGATAGCCTTAACAGCATCGATAAAGCTCAGCACGGCACACGAGGGGGTGGGTGGCAAACACCACGCCTGCCCGCCTTTGTCTCCCCAGTGGCGATGTTTATACATCGCACCAGGTACTCATTTGAGGCTTAGTCGACCTAGGGGAGTCCCAAGATCGGTTCAGATAATTGTCATCACTGGTGTTGGCCGTGAGCATGAATCATACATATGATCCATGCACACACTGATGCACACACTAGGACCCACCCAATCCTTAACCACGAGTATAGGGTTACCCAAATCTCCAACACCATCCTTAACCCCATCTCCTAACCTTGTCCCTATCTCGAATCCATTGCGGGACCTTCAGTCAGCTTGCAAAGGTAGATGAACATGTTTTATTCATAGTATGTACTTTACAAACATCGTCCACTCGCGTGCTATGTATAAAGTTCCTCCAAAAACTAATATTCAGCAACAAATGATGTGCGTGCTACATAACCTTTATATATGGCATGTTACTGGTAGGAACCTCCTGGTTACACCAGCCCACAGGGGATTATTGTGTCCGCCCGTCGTGCAGGGAGGGGCTGGGTGGGGAGGGAGGGGCTGGTCACCCCGTGGTGCCCTTACAAAACTCAACGTTTAACCTACTCACGCCGGCTTGTGCCCGCCCTCACAGTCGGGCATATTTGCGGCATACACCACGCCGCTGTTGACGCTGGCCATTGACCGAGCAACCCAACGTTCCTACCAGCTCCCTCCGCAGGAATGCGTTTAAATCTCATTTTGTTTTACAAAAGAACCCTGCCGAAGCAGGGTAACGAAAAATTGGTTTCAATCTCCTTGGATTGTTCCTCTCCACGGAAATCTTTAGTAAAAGGCGAAAGATTTATTCGCTTTGAAGAGAAACCAGAGTTAACGTTTGCATCCCCACACGTGGGTACATATACCACCACGAACTCGCTTTATCCTATGGGTCCCTTACTTCGCGGCCTCACATTTAGTTTTATTTTAACAATACATAACCACGGTACAATATAAATTCGGATTAGTGTTCACTTGACGGATATTCATATGCATACGAAGATTATTAACGTAAAAAGAAAACAGTATACATTCGTGCGCACTGCATTTCGGTTGTGCATAAATTAGACGATTGGACCAATGGCGGACGGAAGTGACGTTAAATCAGAGACCTTCGATAGCTTTTAGAAAATGAAAACTGGGTCCGAAAAAAAACATTAAATACGAAACAATCCTTTAATCTTTTTAGCGAAGGAATATGTCTTGCTATGTTTGATTTCTGATGAAGTATATAAATGGTACATTTTTCGGCAATACTGCACAGTACCTTACATATAAAAGGGGCCGTCCATAAATGACGTCACGCACATGGGGGGAGGGGGGGGAGTCAGACCTTTGTGACGATGTGTGACGAGGGGGGGGGGGGTGAGAAATGTGACGTCACATCAAAATGCGCAACTTTAAATAAATATAGACAACACGTTCTACTTAATTAAATATACGTTTTAATAAATGTTTTCTCCTACAACATCAGAGTGCAGCGGCACATCAAATACGTACTACAATGACAATAGTTTAAAGCGATTAGAAGCATGTTTTAGGGGTTTTTGGGGGGAGGGGGCAGATCTTTGTGACGTCATATTTGAGGGGGGTTTGACTTTTTGTGACGCCGTGTGACGAAGGGGGGGGGGGGGGTCAAAAATCGTCAAAAATCGCGTGACGTCATTTATGGACGGCCCCAAACGTACTCCGCATAATCCTCAACATTTTCCGGCAAAACGTTAAACTACGTATTTTGATGCATCTTCAATTGTCGACCAAACGTGTGAAATCATCAAATCAAGAGGTTATTAAAACATGTTCAACCGTCCAACACAAACATTATGAATATTCTGTATTCGTGTGAGCGATCGATCGATCGATTGCTCCGGTGTGGCGGGCGCAGACCTGAGCAATCGATCTCACAATCGATAAATAAATATATAATGTTGCCCGCGTGTTTCATGTCGTCGATTTAGCAGGCACAAGCTGTAGCAAATCTAAAACATTGTACGCATTTCTACATGTTTGATAAACGAACATGTTTAATACCGACTGACCCGATTGAATGTTGTCAATAATTGAGGATATATTACGCAGGGTTATTAAATACAAAGGGGGGCGCTTCAAAAAAATGTGAACACTTCTGAGAAAGTGCAACAACATCACGAGAAATGTGCTGCCTCCTCCGAGCTCTGGAGACCACCTGGAGAAGATTCCAGGCCACGCGTTGACAACGATGGCGAACAAGTGGAGCAGACTCTTTGAAGCTATTAAGATACATTTGTGAAAATGTTTTAGTGTAGTATCCGTTCTTTTTCCATCAAAAACGATAGTACCGTATAAGTGTTAAAAATTTTAAGTATCCTCTATATTGTTGGGGTGGGGTTCGCTTTGTCCCTCACATTAGGAACCTCAGGTGCATATAATGAATTTTTATCATAATTGCAAACTAACGAAAATAAATGAAGCTGTCCACTTTAAAGGGACATTGTCCCCCCGTGCCCCCCCCCCAAGCTTCACCCATACATATATACAGTAGTAATCAAACAGTAACAAATATAATGCCATATCTAACCCTCACCAAAATCCTCATCCCAATCCTAGCCTAATTAAAGCTATCCATATTCCTAAACCAATTCTTGACCCTATCCTTACTTACCCCCTATTCCTGACCCCAGCCTCTAACCGTAATAAAATCTCGATTTAAAGCTTTCGTGACTGCAGGGATTCATCTTCTTGGTTCTTTCGGTAAAGTCACGTAGAAGGGAAATAATAAAATAATAAAAATAAAACGTAATAAAATAATTCTCACGACGTTTCGGCCACAATGCAAGCAGCCGTCCTCAGGTGAAGAACAGACGCTGTCTTTCCGGCAGACGCTGCCTTTCCGACAGACCTGTTCTTCACCTGAGGACGGCTGCTTGCGTTGTGGCCGAAACGTCGTGACAATTATATTATTACGTTTTATTTTTATCATTGTATTATTTCCCTTCTACGTGACTTTACCGAACGAATCAAGAAGACGTAATAAAATCGCTTGTGGCAGATCAAGTGCGCCGACGAGGGGCTGGAGGAGGTCCCACTGCTGGACCCGTCCCTGCTGGAGAACGACCGTCCCATCAAGAAGCTCTTCCTCGGAGGCAACCGCCTTCGCGTGCTGCGAGCCGGCAGCCTGGCGCGCCTGTCCAGCCTCGAGCGGCTCAGCATTCGAGCCTCGCGCGTCGCCCAGCTCGAGGCAGGCGTCTTCCAGGGCCTGCTGCGACTCCAGGTGGCGGGGGGGAGGGGGAGGGGGGTCACACTTCTTGTGTGTTCGATACGTGGAGTTCCGAACCATCTCCAACCTCCTCCATGTGGAGTCCAAACCTCTTTGACGTGGGTTCTAAACCTCCGCCCAACCTCTATGTGGTGTCCAAACCTTCTCAACTTGGGATTCCAACCTCCTCCACGTGGAGTCCCAACCTCCCCCACTGTGGGTTCTAAACCTCTTCCATGTTGCTGACCCAGGCCACTCTTGCAAAATGAGACTATCCTGATCTCCTGAGTTTTCACCTGGTGTTAATTAACAAAAATCAAACCTCTCCCGTGGTCCCTCGCCAGGTCCTAGAGCTGCAGGATAACGAGCTGGAGGAGGTTCCGGCTGACCTGATCACCGACCTGCCGGCACTGCGCACGCTGGACATGTCCGACAACCGCGTGCGGGTCCTCCCCGCGGAGGGTCTGTCCAGGCTGTCGCGACTCCGTGACGTCTACCTGCACGGGAACGCACTGCGAGAGCTGCCACGCCGTGCCTTTGCGGGCTGCGTGCACCTGCGACGCCTCTACCTGCACGGGAACGCGCTCACGTGAGTGCTCGCAAAATTCCCAAGGAACATTAGCGACGAGTTTCACCCGAAGCAAGGTTCACGGGGCAGAGCGGGTGCTGTCGTGTCCCTGGTTTCGAATCGGGGTTTTGGCCACCCGTGATTAATCCGGGTGGTCAAGTGTAGCGAGTTCATAGTCTCAGAGCAGTCACCAGTAACGAACACAGAGACCCACAAAGAGAGAAAGTCCTCCTCCTGCTCTGCCCCCTTTCCCCAGGTCCCTTCGTGCAGACGGGCAGTACTTTGCCGGCGCTCGCTCGCTGCAGGTGCTGGACCTGCACGGCAACCAGCTGCTGGTGCTGGACGTCGCTCTGCTGCTCGAGCTGCCGGGGCTGCAGCTGCTGGACCTGTCCAACAACCGCCTGCGCTCGCCGCCGGCGCTCAACCTGCCCCCCCGCGACCCCCTGCCTCCCCTGGGGCCCCTTCCCAACCCGCGACCCCGCGAACCTCTCACGAGCACCACCGTGGCACCGAGCCCCAGCACCAGCCCGGAGCCCGCGCCGGGGCCCGCGCTGGGGCCCCTGCAGCTGCGCTGGCTCGTGCTGCACGGGAACCCCTGGGCCTGCGAGGACGTGGACGCGGTGTGCGCCCTGCGGCAGCGGCTGCTGGACGCGAGAGTGCGGGTACGAGGAGAGGTCGGGGGTCCGGAGGGTGCACCCAGGGGTAGGGATGGGGATCGAGACAGGAGACGGGGACAAGGATCTGGGATGGGTGGGAATGGGGGCCCAGGGGTAGGGATGGGGATCGAGACAGGAGATGGGGACAAGGATCTGGGATGGGTGGGAATGGGGGCCCAGGGGTAGGGATGGGGATCGAGACAGGAGATGGGGACAAGGATCTGGGATGGGTGGGAATGGGGGCCCAGGGGTAGGGATGGGGATCGAGACAGGAGATGGGGACAAGGATCTGGGATGGGTGGGAATGGGGACCTAGGGGTAGGGATGGGGATCGAGACAGGAGATGGGGACAAGGATCTGGGATGGGTGGGAATGGGGACCCAGGGGTAGGAATGGGGATCGAGACAGGAGATGGGGACAAGGATCTGGGATGGGTGGGAATGGGGACCCAGGGGTAGGGATGGGGATCGAGACAGGAGATGGGGACAAGGATCTGGGATGGGTGGGAATGGGGGCCCAGGGGTAGGGATGGGGATCGAGACAGGAGATGGGGACAAGGATCTGGGATGGGTGGGAATGGGGGCCCAGGGGTAGGGATGGGGATCGAGACAGGAGATGGGGACAAGGATCTGGGATGGGTGGGAATGGGACCCAGCGGTAGGGATGGGGATCGAGACAGGAGATGGGGACAAGGATCTGGGATGGGTGGGAATGGGGGCCCAGGGGTAGGGATGGGGATCGAGACAGGAGATGGGGACAAGGATCTGGGATGGGTGGGAATGGGGACCCAGGGGTAGGAATGGGGATCGAGACAGGAGATGGGGACAAGGATCTGGGATTGGTGGGAATGGGCACCCAGGGGTGTGGATGGGGATCGAGACAGGAGATGGGGACAAGGATCTGGGATTGGTGGGAATGGGGGCCCAGGGGTAGGGATGGGGATCGAGACAGGAGATGGGGACAAGGATCTGGGATGGGTGGGAATGGGGGCCCAGGGGTAGGGATGGGGATCGAGACAGGAGATGGGGACAAGGATCTGGGATGGGTGGGAATGGGGGCCCAGGGGTAGGGATGGGGATCGAGACAGGAGATGGGGACAAGGATCTGGGATGGGTGGGAATGGGGACCCAGGGGTAGGGATGGGGATCGAGACAGGAGATGGGGACAAGGATCTGGGATGGGTGGGAATGGGCACCCAGGGGTGTGGATGGGGATCGAGACAGGAGATGGGGACAAGGATCTGGGATTGGTGGGAATGGGGACCCAGGGGTGTGGATGGGGATTCATAAGAGATGGTAGGAGACTCAAATAGGGATCCGTGGTGATGAGGATATGAAATCAAAGTGATTTGCTGCTCATATTCTGTTTGCAGCCGTGAACCAGAAACGGAAATTCCAGACTCAAATGAGGGAGAAAGTCTCCCATAGAACAACCCCTGTTGACTTCCTCAAAGAGTGTTACTTATTTTATTGATTCTGGAGGGGCAATGGGCTGAGTCAAGCCCCTCACCAGGAATGGAACTCGCAACGTTCCGATAAGGAGCCGCTTGCTCTACCACTGAGCAGACACCTTGGCCAGATAATAATTGCACAATAGTGACTGTCATAATTGCAAAGTTAAGTCACACTTGCAGGTGCAATGTTCTTGTTATTTGTTTTTAAAGTGTTGGTATTTATTCTCCGGTTGCGTTCTTTGTTGTCGGAAAAAACAACTCTTTGATGCTTAGAAATGGCGAATGGGTAGCGGCAGAATTGGTGTTCAGTGTTGACATCCGCAGACGTCAGCGTTAAAAGTCACAATGCGTTGAGGACACGGCGAACATTTTGGCCCGTATCATGTTTTGTTGAGACCAAATTAAATGGAAATTACATTTATTTTACATTCTTTCTTGTCGTGTTTAATCATACTCAAGCCATGATCTATCCACGGCTGGATGAAGGCCTCCGCAAGCCATCTCTTACTTTCTGTTGAAGCAACGTTCCATATAGCTCCTCCCTTTAGCTGCCACTCCACCGTTAGTCTCGACCTCCAGCCGTTATCGCTCCTGGCGATGATTCCTAGCCAAGCCTACTTACTTTCCTTAACAGTCAGTATGACGTCTACAATTTGCATATGTTCTCTGTATTCATCTATTTTCACGTTACAATGTACTCTTGAGTGTCGTAATGCCACCAATTACTCGGGCGAGTAATCGGTGCTGTTGCGGTTCCTGGCAGGTGTACTACGGCCTTACCTGTGCGTCCCCGGCCTGGGTGGCCGGGCGTAACGTCTTCACGTCGCGATGCCCCCACGATCTGACCACCACCACCACGACCACCAGAACCACGACCACCAGGAGGACCACCACCACCACGAGGACGGGCCGGCCAGGAATGCCGGGCGACGCTATGCAAAGGTCAGAGGACATATCTAATAATGCCTTTATGACTCAACCCAAACAATGAATAGCTTTTTGTAAACAGATTGTAAACAAAAGCGCAGCTTTAAAGTCACGATTATCAAATGTCTGTGAGCACCTCAGACGGTACACGGGGATAACAGTTTGAGTCCTGCTGTGATGAGCTACAGACCTATGGATTTTCATTAGGAGTATATACATGCCCAGGTAAGGAGTATTTGAGAAGCAATATTGTAAGGTTTTTTTGTACATATCTACGTTTTGTGTTTCTCTTTCACAAAGCAGCAACCGGGCGATGCCGGCAGAACCAGTCTGATGCAGTTGTGCCATGAGCTCCAAAGCAGGCGTTGTCGTGACCTCACGAGCATGCCATATTAGTAGAATGGCACGTCTTAACCATAACGTTGCAGTATTTTTCATCATACTTTTAAACTCGTGCGAGACAGTCCAGGACACGCGACCTAGATGTGTATCTGCAAGCAGTGCCAGATTATCCTCGTAGCAAAAGTAGCACATGCTACGGGCCTCGCACTTTCAAGGGCCCCGCGCTAAATTCTTTCAAGCTATCAATTCCGGTTCAGTGATTCTGCACTTGCTTTATTACTATAGTAATATACTGCCTTCAACTTTTATGAACGACTGGGTGTTTAAGGTTAGCGATTTGTCTTATTATCTGGCTATATAGCAATGACAACATTTCTTTACTATGCAAGTTAAACATTACGTGTTTTAATATTTGAGTGTTTATTTTTTTTATTTAGGGCCCCTTTATAACATATGCTACAGGCCCGCACTAGCTTAATCCGGTACTGTTTGCAAGATAAATGGTTGTTTTTCGGTCACCTCTTCCTTCCTGAGCAACAAATATGGCTTTCACATATATTTAGTGGGCAACCTCGCATCAATACACACATCAGCGTTATCCAAATATAACGCAACAATAACGACCGATTAAAAACAGGCCCTTGCCATGATAAACTTGAGGGCGACAATTAGAAGCAGTGTTTTTGCCAGGTTAAAAATACTCCCCCTCCTAGTACTGAATTAGTGCAGCTAAGATGCTCACAGTAATTAATACGGATTGCTTTCAGGCCGTTTTGAAGCGACAGGCCTCAAGTGGTCGTTGTCTGTATGAAATGAAGTAGTGGATCATTATAGGCCCATGGGCAGTAGATTCACCGCCCCTGCTTTAAATGAACATCTGTGCCATTCCCGGCTTGTGTTTGTTTGTTTCTGCTGAAGGACCACACAAACTACAAATCCTGCGAGAACCAAGCTGCGTGGAACGAAACCCCAGAAGGTGAGATGCATCTGAGTTCAGGTCACCTGCTCGATCAAACTCCACGTCAATTGCTCCAGGACCCTCTACATATTTCACGCCGTTCCACATTGATCCCTTTGGCAAATCCTTAATCGCTCCATCTCCTAAGTGCACCGCCTCTAAGACAGCCAGATGGAGGTGCGATACTTCATAAAATTTGCTTGCAAGTTTGTGTAATAAACAAAGGTATGTTTGTCACGTGAAACAATAATGTTGCAGGGGCAAACGCTTTGTGCTATGACCATGGCTGATTCCCAGCCAAGGCTACCTCTTCAACAACTGACGCTGTATCACTTGACTGAGGGAGGGTCAAACAATCTCCAGGATCAGCACAGTGTGTGGCGGCATTCTTCAAACAGTGGACTGACAAGGGGCTGTACATTGAGACCCCCACTGAGTCTCGAGATGATTTTTGCGTTGGTTTCCATTGAATGAGTTTTTCTCGGAACTGATATTCAGTACGCATCATGAGTGGATATCCGTGCCAATGTAGTGTCATGTATACATACATGTATGTATGTTGGAATTCTTTCGCATCGTACGTAGCCAACCGTGCTTGACTGCCTCATATGCCATCCTCTTTCTGACCTCTCCGTTGTCCATTTACATTAGCCAGTTAATTTGCAGGATCTTACGCCACCGCTTACACGGACGCATGGTCTGGTTTCCCCCGTCGCGTCTGCCTGTTAGCCGGTGGCCGGGCGGCCTGCAGATCTCTCTGGCCAGTCTGGGGGGTCAGGGGGCCACACGCCCTTCGCCTCGGACCTTCTGCCCCATGGCGTGTGGCTGCCGGGTCCTGACGGGTCTCTGCTCGGAGGAAAGCAGCCGGCGTCTTCCCGCCTGCCGCCAACGTCGCCGGGTGCCGTGCTGGGCACGCTGCTGCTGCTCACGGCACTTGGCTGCGTGTGCGGGTTCCTGTCGAGACGCGCACGGGCACGTGGGGTGCTGTGGGGGCAGCAGCGGCAGGGGAAGCAAGGGCAGCAGGCGGTGTTGGGGCCGGCAGGCAGGGATGCGAGGGCGCGGGGAGATTGATGATCATGGTGATATCAGAAGCGCTCATGTGTTTGGTCTCATTGGTAAAAAAAAAAATCAAAACGCTCGCCCTCCACAAAATCTCATGATCACGATTGTCTTGCTGAGCTCTTTGATGTGTTTTCAACATCATGTCCAATGTTTTGCTTCACATGCTGGGTGCCTTCTTCAGGAACTGAACAATTCAGTTACAATGATCAAGGCATGAAGAAGCTCCAAGCACGTGGAGCAAGGAATGATGTTAATTACGTTTGACACAATAGTGAGCAACACGCAACATAGCCTGACAACACAACCAGGGAGTTCCTTCCCCAAGCCGTCCGTGCTGTTGACTCCCTGCGTGTCAAATTCAAGACCTTTTTTCTTCTGCCTATGACTGACGGCCTCGATAAATGAAATAGTGTCCACTGTTTCTATAACGTGTCTATAGATGCGGTTGCGTTTAGACGCTGCTACATAGATCCACGTTGTAATGTATAATGTTCTACAGTGTCTTGCTGTGTTATTTTGAGACATTTGATCAATTCAGTTGTATTATGCATGTTCATATCTGCATTAGGCTGAACATCGATCACACTCTGCAATGTAAAGCTCTGAATTTACACAAGTTTCTCAGCAGGTCACTGGGCTGTTTTAAACACATTTATAACTTGTAACAAAGGGTGGCATGAGTAGTGAGTGAGGACATTGATGACATTTCCACAAACGTGTTGATGGGATTTAGCATCAGGTGTGTAATAACCATGCCACGACAAGCCTTGCCGCTGTGCTGGGACCAACATTTAACAATCATTGCTGATAAACTGTGGCCGGTGATGTCCACTGACACGAAATAATTTCTTATTTACACAAGAAAGCTTCAGTGATCCTCAATACTGTTTCAAGAGAATCATGTTTGGAACCTTTGCGTTTAGGTAAAAGAAACAGGAGGACGTTGAGAACACGTATGGTTGAGGGAAGAACACCCACACTCCACTATTCAAATAGCCTGACGGCACCTTCTTGCTGCAATGAAGCCTGTAGGTGCCTCGATTTAACCTGTAGTAAAAAGTGCCAAATAAAGCATGTGTTCAATTTCGATTTAAAACTTTCGTGACTGCAGGGATTCATATTCTTGGTTCTTTCGGTAAAGTCACGTAGAAGGGAAATAATAAAATAATAAAAATAAAACAATAAAAATTCTGTTGAGGACAGCTGCTTGCGTTGTGGTGGAAACGTCGTGAGAATTTTTGTTATATTTTTATTAATTTATTATTTCCTTTCTACGTGACTTTACCGAAAGAACCAAGAATATAAAGCATGTGTTGTGCGAGGATCAGTATGAGTGCTATTTTATTATTATTGATGCTGTATTTTTTGGTAAAGGTGAGGTTATTAGGATCCTTAAGAGGTTTTTGGGTTAGATAGCATAAATATAAATGTGTCGATAAACCCGCCACCACCAATTAGTAAGGAGGAGTGTGGTGAGTGTGGTGAGGAGTGTGGTGAGGCGAGTGTGGTGAGGAGTGTGGTGAGGAGTGTGGTGGTGAGGAGTGTGGTGAGGTGTGTGGTGAGGTGAGTGTGGTGAGTGTGGTGGTGAGGAGTGGGAGGAGGGTGGTGAGGAGGGGGAGGAGTGTGGTGGTGAGGAGTGTGGTGGTGAGGAGTGTGGTGAGGTGAGTGTGGTGAGTGTGGTGGTGAGGAGTGGGAGGAGTGTGGTGAGGAGGGGGAGGAGTGTGGTGGTGAGGAGTGTGGTGGTGAGGAGTGGGAGGAGCGTGGTGAGGAGTGTGGTGAGTGAGTGTGGTGGTGAGGAGTGGGAGGAGTGTGGCGAGTGTGGTGGTGAGGAGTGTGGTGAGGAGTGGGAGGAGTGTGGTGGTGAGGAGTGTGGAGGTGAGGAGGAGGAGTGTGGTGGTGAGGAGTGGGAGGAGTCTGGTGAGGTGAGTGGTGAGGTGAGTGGTGGTTGAGGGGTGTGGTGGTGAGGAGGGTGAGGTGAGTGTGAGTGTGGTGAGGAGTGGGAGGAGTCTGGTGATGAGGTGAGTGTGATGGTGGTGAGCAGGAGTGGGAGGAGTCTGGTGATGTGGTGAGTGTGGTGAGTGTGGTGGTGAGGAGGGTGAGGTGAGTGTGAGTGTGGTGAGGAGTGGGAGGAGTCTGGTGAGGTGGTGAGTGTGGTGAGGAGTGGGAGGAGTTTGGTGAGGTGGTGAGTCTGGTGACGAGGTGAGTGTGGTGAGTGTGGTGGTGAGTGGGAGGAGTCTGGTGACGAGGTGGTGAGTGTGGTGGTGAGGAGGGTGAGGTGAGTGTGATGAGTGAGGTGAGGAGTGGGAGGAGTCTGGTGACGAGGTGGTGAGTGTGGTGGTGAGGAGGGTGAGGTGAGTGTGATGAGTGTGGTGAAGAGTGGGAGGAGTCTAGTGACGAGGTGGTGAGTGTGGTGGTGAGGAGGGTGAGGTGAGTGTGATGAGTGTGGTGAGGAGTGGGAGGAGTCTGGTGACGAGGTGGTGAGTGTGGTGGTGAGGAGGGTGAGGTGAGTGTGATGAGTGTGGTGAGGAGTGGGAGGAGTCTGGTGACGAGGTGGTGAGTGTGGTGGTGAGGAGGGTGAGGTGAGTGTGGTGAGTGTGGTGGTGAGTGGGAGGAGTCTGGTGACGAGGTGGTGAGTGTGGTGGTGAGGAGGGTGAGGTGAGTGTGGTGAGTGAGGTGAGGAGTGGGAGGAGTCTGGTGACGAGGTGGTGAGTGTGGTGGTGAGGAGGGTGAGGTGAGTGTGATGAGTGTGGTGAGGAGTGGGAGGAGTCTGGTGACGAGGTGGTGAGTGTGGTGGTGAGGAGGGTGAGGTGAGTGTGGTGAGTGTGGTGGTGAGTGGGAGGAGTCTGGTGACGAGGTGGTGAGTGTGGTGGTGAGGAGGGTGAGGTGAGTGTGATGAGTGTGGTGAGGAGTGGGAGGAGTCTGGTGACGAGGTGGTGAGTGTGGTGGTGAGGAGGGTGAGGTGAGTGTGATGAGTGTGGTGAGGAGTGGGAGGAGTCTAGTGACGAGGTGGTGAGTGTGGTGGTGAGGAGGGTGAGGTGAGTGTGATGAGTGTGGTGAGGAGTGGGAGGAGTCTGGTGACGAGGTGGTGAGTGTGGTGGTGAGGAGGGTGAGGTGAGTGTGGTGAGTGTGGTGGTGAGTGGGAGGAGTCTGGTGACGAGGTGGTGAGTGTGGTGGTGAGGAGGGTGAGGTGAGTGTGGTGAGTGAGGTGAGGAGTGGGAGGAGTCTGGTGACGAGGTGGTGAGTGTGGTGGTGAGGAGGGTGAGGTGAGTGTGGTGAGTGAGGTGAGGAGTGGGAGGAGTCTGGTGACGAGGTGGTGAGTGTGGTGGTGAGGAGGGTGAGGTGAGTGTGATGAGTGAGGTGAGTGTGATGAGTGAGGTGAGGAGTGGGAGGAGTCTGGTGAGTGTTGTGAGCGTCACGCGCGCGTCACGGACCTCTCACTCCACTTCCGGAAGCTTCCCCCGAGCGCCGCTGCGCCCACGACCCCGACTCGTCGCCCCGCAGAGACCCGCAGGGACCCCGACTCCTCGCCCCGGGACGCAGCCGCGGACCCCCCCAGCTCCCGGTGAGACTGGGCCCCCTACAGGGGTCCCCCTGGGCCCCCCTGAGCCCCCCCGCGATGTCGCGCCGCCGTGACGCAGCGAGATTTGAAGTCGCCTCGGGGTCGACTGCGACGCGGAGTCGCTTCGTGATGGCGCGGCCACCAACATCATCATCATCATCACCACCATCATCATCACCACCACCACCCATCATCACCACCATCATCATCACCACCACCACCATCATCATCACCATCATCATCACCACCATCATCATCATCACCACCATCATCATCATCACCACCAACATCATCACCACCACCATCATCATCACCATCATCATCACCACCACCATCACCATCATCACCATCATCATCGTCACCACCACCACCACAACCATCACCACCACCATCACCACAACCATCACCATCACCACCACCATCATCATCACCACCCCCATCACCACCACCACCACCGTCATCACCAACCGTTTAAACAATCGGTATCACCAATGGCTTGTTGCCATGTAACGGCGATTATATCAGACGTTTTCATTATGACTGTTGTTATTAAGCTATGGACGGCACAGGTTACTTAACCACTCTAAACATAGCGGGATTATCGTCGAACTTAAGCGATATCATCACGGCAGAAGCGAACGCTGAAATTACAATCTCACCATCATGAACACGATCGTCATTGCGTACACTCACACTCGCCATCAGCATCATCATCAATAAACACGTCACCACCATCATCAAACAATCACGGACTCCTTCCCCATAACATCACTACCGTATCAACCACTACCGCACCTCCGATTAGCACGATTGGCTACGTACGGCGCGAAAGAAGTTCAGCATACTGTAGATACTACCACCGTGTATGATGTTATCATCATCATCATCGGCATCGCTCAACGCGAGTGATGTGTTCTGTGGCCACGCAATGTTGTTTGTTAGGGCTGGGGGGGTATAGGTGGCTTTTAGTTGGGACTTTGGGTCAGCTGCATGGTTAAGAGCTTCATAGTCTATCGGGTTTCTCCACGATAAATACCGATCCCTGATGTTCGGACACCAATTACAACGACCACGTGGCATGCAACCGAGGCGCAGACTTTGTGGATATGTCTGTCGGGGACTGTGTTGGGTCAGGGTCCAGCCTAGTTGTGCTGTTGTTGTTGTTGTTGGCGGTCCGATTTTGAGTGGGGATTCTTGGCTTGAGACCCTGAGCTTGTGTAGCAAGTCACGGGTTGTTTGATCCGGCGAGAATCGGTGCCAAATGTTTGGTTTAATCAGTAGAGCCCCGTGGTGGTGGTGGTGGTGCAGGTGAGCTGGCTGGAGCAGGAAGAGGAGGTAAGGCCCAGCCAGGGGCTTCGTGACCTTCAGAGGACGCCTCCTAACTCTCACACAGGAATAATATTACCAGATCAGCCCTCATCCTGTCAGCAGACACACATCGGTGTTTAAACGTCGTTGTACGTGATGTACAACATCTCACGCCACGATGTTTTCTTTACCGAGGATGCGTGTTGCCTGCGACCAGCCAGCCCAGCGTGCTGCTAACACTGCCTCTTTAATCGTCAACGTGGTTGTGATGGGACGCTGGGGTCGTGTGTGTGTGTCTGTCTGTCCGCTTGCCATAGTAGAAATTTCAAATGCCCTTGCTATGTAAATGGTTGCGTGGTTTTACTGGCAACCTGGTCAAGAGACACGAGGAAACGAAAGTGGAGAAGTGCGTGAAAGGGGAAGGAGCGGATAATGAACACAGAATTCCAAACCGCTTGGGCAAGGGACATGTCATTCGAAGGGATGACGGCCTTTCGTCAAGGATCAATAACAGTGGCAGCCAAAGGATGGATCGTGACCTAGATATATCACGTGCACCGTTGGAGATGGAGCGATTAAATCAGCCGATGTGCAGGTTTCTCGGTTGTGCATCGCTACATCACAATGACAATGACAACAACAAGAGACGCCGTCTTGCCCTCTCCCCCCAATCTCGTTGCAGTCTGTTTAATACAGCAGCAGCAAGTGATTTGTGTTGATGATAGCAGTAGCAGCAGATTTGTAAATACAATGCGTGTCGTCAACCCTCCTCCGCCAGACACAGCCAATTAATAAAGTCACGTGAATACACATGCCAATGTTAATTACTGCTGCAGCACACGTGTGTGTTGAAGATAAATCTCGCAGCATTTGAATGGGTACGACGTTTCGCTGAAAGTTACAACCAGCATCATCAGGCAGATCCCAGAATTGAACGTTGTGAGATTTATCTGCCAACACACCGGTGTACTACTGAAGCAGTGATACATTGGCACGTTTGCTCATGTGACAACAACTTTATCAATTGGCTGTGTCGGGGTGGAGGAGGGTTCACGACACATTTTATTAATAATCATGTTGGTCGTGAAAGCCTACATGTAAAATGTAGAAGCCAGATGTATTACGTCATGACCACTTTCTCGCTGCACTGGGTTTGTGGTGTCCTCTTATTTTTTTTTCTAATATCACTACATTAGCTGCTTTAATTGCCTAAAGGGGCCTGATGGAGACACGGTCTCATCTGCAACTAGCAGAGCTCGTAGTTTCCGGTTTTGGAAAGAGGAACAAGCCTCAGTTTCGGGCTTACTTGGGTCAATGACTTGCTGTCATCCCATGTAGCTTTGCTTCTCGTAAGTACACGCGCGTCATCGTTTAAAGTTGCCTTGCAGCTCATCAGCACGGCGCTAGCCTGTCCACAACATCTGTGTTGCCAACTAAAGAGAGTTTCGCTGAAAGTGGTTACCAAAAAGCCTGAACAGCTGTTGATGAAAATAATGTACTGTAGAGTTATTTTTGTCAATCCATTGTACGTACGTGGTACCTTGTGCTATTCTTACATCGCAAAGGTTATCAAGATTGCACTGTGGTTGTGTTTTTTAAGTTTTACTGAACATTTCCATCTTGAACCTTCTGTAAAACAACACTACTGAATGAAGGCCTCGCCACATCGTTCCGGTCATGCAGATCCTTCCTGACAAAGAGGCTTGAGACCGAGTAAAATGTACAGCGTGTCAGCCGCTGCTGGATGTGGGTTGTTTGACAATACTGCACCTTGCCCGTCGGCAGTGCAGGTTGGTGAATGTTGTGGAGGTCCAGAACTCGTTAAGGTATCACTTGCCCACCGATGCTAGCCATGGCTGGGAGTCGAACTTAGGTGGTCGGTTTCATTGCACAACAGGCCAAACCTTGAACCGCCCCTCCAGCCCTCTTGCTGGCAGAATAGAATGTTGTATTTAATCTTGATTTGAAGCTTACGTGACTGCAGGAATCCATACTCGTTTGTTCTTTCGGTAAAGTCACGTAGGTATAAAATAAATCACGACGTTTCGGGCGCAACACAAGCGTCCATCATCAGGTGGGAAAGCATGGTCTGCTGCTGAGGCAGACTGTTTTAAAAGTCGTGATTTATTTTATTTTATACTTACGTGACTTTACCGAAAGAACCAAAGAGAATGTTGTATTTGTTTTGTGCACGCGCTGAAACAATGAGCACGTTTCTAAAATCCACCCAAGCAGTATAAATGGGCACAGCACAATCGATTTGCATGACACTTTTGTTGGGGTAGAGGGCAGTTTACTCCCACACTGTACATTGTGGAAGAGTAGACCAGAAATACCCCTTTAGGGACTGTCTCGAGCTCTCTCTGATGGAGGCCCTTCTGCAGGCATTGACATGAACAAACAATTGCAGGGCTGCACCTTTATCTTTGTGTGCACATGCGGGATGAGGACTGGAGGTACTAGTGATGAGTGGAGCAGATATTGTACAGAAGGCTTGCGTTGCCTGGGCCTTTGTGGCCAATCATTATCAATGAACATCAATGAATGGGGAGGCTGCATATTGGCAGTGAGGCAGAAATGTGTTTTTCATGCCGAGTGGGATGACTGTATCGCCACCTTAACCCGTGCTCTGTTGAGAATACTCCTAATTATGTTGGAAAGATTGCCTGTCACATTGTCATGTTAACATTGAAAAGTACTTTATGTGGGCAGTTCCACAGATTGAGCAAAACATCTAAATAATCATAAAACACATGGCTTGTCATTTTCAAAGTTGTTATCTATATTTTTAGAAAATGTGGCTAATACACTGAATATACCATCACCATCCCAGTGGGGATGAAAAAGAGATTTAATCTAAGCACGTCTAACACTGGTATTCTGTGGGCATTTCTCCCGTACCAAGAAAGGTGAACAAATCATTTTATCCAATTTAAAGTCGTAATTGATTGATGTACTACGCAAAATTAAAATGTCACTTAATGATTACACCCACATATTTAAGATCCGCATCCGAAATAGTGGAACTGCCCATATGGAAAATAGTAGGGAAGCCAATTACAATAACTTTCATGTATTGCATGTTGGGCAGCTACTTCTGTTCGAGATGGCAGGTGGCTCCACTTTATTCCGCTAGCCTGCAGTGTTCTTGCAGTGGCGTGTAATGGAGGTGGCTGGATGATGGTAGCTGTGTCCTGTGCAATGCAGGTGGCTGGATGATGATGGTTGTTGTGTCCTGTGTAATGGAGGTGGCTGGATGATGATGGTAGTTGTGTCCTGTGCAATGCAGGTGGCTGGATGATGATGGTAGTTGTGTCCTGTATAATGGAGGTGGCTTGATGATGATGATGGTTGTTGTCCTGTATAATGGAGGTGGCTGGATGATGATGGTAGTTGTGTCCTGTGCAATGCAGGTGGCTGGATGATGATGGTTGTTGTGTCCTGTGTAATGGAGGTGGCTGGATGATGATGGTTGTTGTGTCCTGTATAAATGGAGGTGGCTGGATGATGACGTTTGTGCTGTGATTTGTTTTGCCACAGAAACGCCACCATGTCGACCAGCGAGAAAGCTCCCCTGATGCCGCCCAATGCACCGAAGGACAGCCAGTCATGGGGAAACCCGGATCAGCCCGGATACATGGCACCCCCCTACGTGCAGCCCCCCTACCTGACGTCCCCCGGCCCTTCATCCGGGGGTCCGGGCTACAGCGATACACCCTACCACCCAGCTCCAGGTCTTCTTGCACATCCACAATAATCATCTCATTTCCGACACCGATGATCAATTAAGGATAGCTCATAGTGCGACTGCTTTCACCATTCTCATACCATGGGCACTCGTAGTAACACCACTGCCGGCTGCGATCATTCATTAGCAGCATTTCAGATATTCACCATGTGGTTACGTCCGAAGCCGTCATTGGGCTCACTCACCATCCTTGACATGAACTTGTAAACATTCTTGATCAACTCCTCGCCATAAGAAAGACGAATAATATATAACCTATATATTACGGGGGTAATGGTAGGAAAATGATTTCCCGGATAAAATAAGACTGTGAGCAACTGTACAATCGGGGGAAGGTCTCGCTGTTGTCCATTCCCTGGTTGACACAAATTATTGAAAATCTGTTAAGATGTTGGAGTAAGTCAGGTGGCTCAGAGCGTGAATACATCCTCGCTTGGAATTACCGATTCCAGTAAGCGCAATTGAAATTGGGAGACAAATATATATATTTTAATAATATCAGAGGTGAAATCTCAACAGGGTGTGTGATTTGTTTCAGGCCCTTCAGCTCCTGCCTTTAATGATGAGCATCCGCCAATGTACCACGACAATGAAGACTTCAATATCTCTGACTGGACTGACAAAACAGTGCGGCGCGCTTTCATCAGAAAGGTAAGTCATGCTTGTAGTGGAGAAGCAACGGTGGAAACTCCGTGGCAATTATGGACATCGTGCCGAGCAACAGACGTCACAAACTGAAAGCACACCCGAGGGCCGTACATTATAACCACGAAAACCGACAGAGCAGAATAATGAGAATTTGTGTTTGATACAGGGCCCTTTACTTTGGAGCATGTAAAAGCCTTTATACATAAAGGCAACTTATATCACATATCTCCAATGGTTTGAAATGGCCACCACCAGTGGCAGCTGCCCCTGTACGGCATAAGGTCACTCAACACCTGTCCTTCAAGTGGGTATTAATGTACCAGTAGGGGGGCAATGATTGCTGTGTATAATCTCCGTTGAGTAATTTGCAGTTTTTTTTTTCCCGATGATAAATTTGGGCCACGACACAGGCACACAATGGCCTACTCATATTGAACGACATCACGGGATCCGTGAAGCAGACGTCGTGCATCCGACAGATAAAACACGCGCAATCATGGCCAGGGCTGCCCGCCGGACTCAAAGCGGCTGGGCTGTGTCACCGCCCCGACACATTGTGACGTGCTGTGCGTGTGCGTTTGCGTGCAGGTGTACCTGGTCCTGACTGCCCAGCTGCTGGTGACGTTCGCCTTCGTGTGCACCTTCCGCTTTTCACCCGCCGTCTCGACATACGTTAAACATACTCCCGGCCTCTACTATGCCTCCTACGCGGTCTTCTTCGCCTGTCTCATCGCGCTCAGCTGCTGCGGGGAATTCCGCCGCAAGCATCCCTGGAACATCATCACGCTGGTGCGTGGTCATTCAGGACTTTCAGACTGCACAATGCAGCAGCACGGAAGCGTGGCGTATGTGAAACTTCTGGGCAAGCTGTGTTATCAGGAACCTCTTTATCCCCCGTTATTTTCATCAATAGTTGTCTCAATTGCTGTAGGCTTCCCCGGTGATGCAACTATTCAAATCGCTCCTGCACATGAATGAATATAATCACTCCATCTCTGCAGTGATTACCTCTCAGCTGTGTTCTGTCCTTTGACTGTCATTCCGTGACTAGTCTCATACCTTCGTGGGATTTGTTTATTTATTCCTTTATATCCAACATGATATTTATGATTGCTTTCTGCATCAAGATCAAGAGCTCCTTGGGGCTATGGCCATTTATGCTACCACATATCACGATCATTTGTTATGCTAGATCCTGTAGTTGTTGGAACGTCTTGGGTCTTTATGGTCATGGATCTCTGGGTCCCATTCCAATGTCTGTCTCACATAGCCTGAAGCAAATGCTTATGTAGCAATGTAACTATTTGCCTTCTCCCACCGACCCCAGAATGATTGCATGACTTGTCATGACTTGGGGTTCCGACTCGATTTCAGAATATATATACCTTTTCCCCATTGTAATGCATGTGGAACCTGATAGCTGCAGAGGTGACAGTTGAAAATAATTGATTTTTACAAGCACAAATACATGACATCACGATTTTACCGAGCGGTCCTGTCCTGGGCTGAGTGGGTGGTCAAGGCCGTTTCATCGCCAATGTCATTAAAAGAAACCTCGGCCAGTGTCGCCCAGCTCGTGAATCCCCAGTGGCCTCTCACAATGTTTACCTAACACTGTGTTGTACCTGTGGTGTCAGCAATGCCGTCGAATGAAAATGGTTATGTGTCGCGTGTGCAGTCCATCCTGACGCTGTGCATGTCCTACATGGTGGGGATGATTGCCACCTTCTACGAGGCCGACGCTGTTGTGATGGCGATGGGCATCACAGTGGCGGTCTGCGTGGCCGTCATCTTGTTCTCTATGCAGGTAAACAAACGCACCGTATTCTACATTCGTTCACGCCGGCAGCGTGGATGCTCTAACCCCTGATTGATAAGTGATGTGCAAATCATTATCATCATCAGTCATGATAAATCCACTGCTGGATGAAGGCCTCCCCAAACTTTGCTGTCTCTGTCGTGTGATGTAAGAAGCCACCGACCATGCGTATATGGGCGGATCTCATCACTCCATCCCCGCGGTTGACCTCTTTGGGAGCATTGCCTACCCTTGGCTGCTGTTCCATCGTTATTCTCCATCTACCGGCCATCATCCCATCAAGCGACATGCCCTGGCCAAGCGAAACCAAACGATATCTCTAACGCAAGGTGCGCAGATTGTTGTACGGTGTTCGTGACGGTCAAGCCGACGGTTGTGTTTTGTGACCGTCTGTCCCGTAGACGAAGTACGACTTCACGTCCTGCAACGGCGTGCTGCTGGTGATGCTGGTCGTGTTGATGTTCTTCTCCATCCTCTGCATCATCTTGCGCAATCAAATCCTCAACATCGTCTACGGGGCGTTGGGGGCCCTGCTGTTCACCGTGGTGAGTCTCCAGGATGTCACTCACATAGGCATCTTAACGTCCTAGTCTCATGTGCACATGTTATGACAACCATAATAATTGCAATGTTTTATTTAATGTAACGGCGTGATTCAAACGGCTGCAGAATGTGTCACGCGTACTGTTTCTCGCATTGGAGGCGTGGGAAACCAAAGACCAGTGGGGAGGCAACCAGAACCATCATTACCAACATTTTCCGAAGCTCTGTTTACTTATCTTGGGAATTGAGGCTAACTCCTTGAATGAGTCTTTATACGTACGGGAGGCAACCGGAGTATCAGGAAAAAACCCACTCGTGCGGAGGGGGTAACCCTCAATCCCCGGACAGATGGAATACAGATGGAATTTAAACAACTTGGCTATGCTGCCATACCGCCATTCCCTAAAAGCCTCGCAGCCCATGGGAAGGGAAGGAATTTAACGAATCTGTGCAATCCACCACCAGTGCTGGGTTTCAGGCGTGCGGCATAGCCACCGGCGCCCTGCTCGTTGCGCAGCGTCGTGGCACCAAAAAATATGTGCTTGTCACCACTAAATCTGCTTCTCACGTCTGCAGCTTGTCATCTCGATCCCTTGTTCACCTGTTCCATTGCGCAATGTAGCTCTGTGGTTTGGCAAGCGATATCTCTCGGCAGGCCACGGCCCAGCATCCTGCTTCAAGAGCCTTCGTCGGTCTCATCTGACCCACGGGCTCCCATTTGAAAGAACCCTGTAACAAGAGGTTTTCATGAACAATGTTGCATAGACACTTTACAGGCGATGCTGCTGCTAAGCAGGATTTGTCCTCTCCACAGTTCCTCGCAGTGGATACGCAGCTGCTGATGGGGAACCACAAGTACGCGCTGAGCCCTGAGGAGTATATCTTCGCCGCCCTCAACCTCTACACGGACGTCATCAACATTTTCCTCTACATCCTGATGATCATTGGCAACTCTCGCAACTGAGTGCACGACGCGCCAGCTTTGTCCTGTTCGGAAATGTGTCTTCGTGTTAGGGATTCGTGGCGTATTCGGTGACGTTTGGCTCGTTTTTCGACGAGAGGTTTGCACACAGCTTCAGCCCGTCGAGGTGCAACAGCGGGAGGTTGTCGTCGCCCATGGTCAACGCCGCTGTGACCTCCGCGTCAAGACATCCGTGCTCACCTCAGAAATATCGCAGAAACCTCGTAGAAAATGCTCGGATACAGTTTTATAGACTTTTGCGGCAAGGCAGCCTCATGCCGTGTAATGCGCAGAATGAAATAACCCTCGAAATAATTTATTTAAAAGTGGAAACAAAAATTGGCTTGGATGGGCGACAACTAATACGGCTAACCCATGCATCAGCATAGGGCCTTTGGAATGAGTTAGGTTTGGAGACAATTGAGAGGCAGGAGACTTTTAAACCACTTCGCTATCAGTTCACGGACCCTCCCTACTCTCCAGAGCCTCGCACGGGGCAAGGTGGAGACCTGGGAGGGTCCGGGCTCTCTCTCATGCGCCAAGATCTTCGACTCTCGCTTCCCAGTGTGTCCACGTTCCTAGCACATGAAGAGTTGTCACATATCAAGTTGGCTTTTGAGTTTCACTGTTTTTAAGAAATTGGTATTCATGGATTAATAAGTCAATGTCTTAATGCAGAGTGTAGAACGACTGAGGCTGTCTGCTTGGTTTAAATGCTGTTGTGTAAACAATTTCTGTAAAAAATAATATATGTTCTTTCCAAAATGTTAAAATTAATCTTTACTTAATGCAAATCCTCTTACCTTTAAGAAGCAAAAATTATACTTATCAAATATAATGTTACCTCCTTTCCACTTGCCTAGGTGTGTCAACAGCAAAAGTGTTTTCACCGTATGTTTAACGAGAGCCGTGCGCATGCATGTTCTGGTCTCACAGTGGAGGTTGGGCTTGGGTGGAGGAGTTCCCGAGTGGGAGTTTGAAGGCCTAGATACACCGAGTGTTATTTGTGTGCAATTAGCCGGGGAAGGGTGCGCGATTGGGCCAGGTTCTTGATTTGAAATTTTTGCAATCGGCTACCATCGCATAGAATGTAGCCAACCAGTGAGCAGGTTGGGCACGCGCGACCGCAGAGTGCGCATGAGGTGTCCGTGTATCGGTGTGTGGAAATGCGTGTGTGAGTTAATACATGTGAATCTGCTTGTGGCAGCATTGCACTTTGTGATCGATACGGGCGCAGTCCAGCACAGCCCGTGTACGCCCCCCCATCAATTGTCGTGACATTGTACAGCATATCTAGGTCATGGGATGGGTGGGGGGCCCATGGCACCGACCTCAATTCACACGGCCTGTGTGCGCCAGGCGTACCACTTGGAAATGGGCCACACACGATATTTAACATCACCTTCAAGCATCTTGGCGGTGCAAATCGAGTACCACGGGGGATATTTTCGACCTTGCAACGCTTCATTTTAGGGAACCCATTAATAGTTTTTAAGGGCCTCTTGCAGTGACTGAAGTGTGTGTGTGTTCACGTGCTGTTGCCTGCTAATGATGCAGGGATTTCCCAAACTTCAGTCCTCGCGACCTCACCATGCGACGTCTTTACCGACGTACTCCCCATTCAAATACAAGTGAACTCGTGTCACGAGCCAGATGATTGTTAAACGTCCCACGCGACGAGCTGAATCAATTAACGCTGCGTGCGTTAATAGAGCCAATTGAAATGAAGATCGAGATGTCTGCGCGTGTGTATGCACGTGTGCCACGTGACAGACGTAGCGTTAATTGGCGCGTCACGTGGGGCGTGTTTAACTATCATCAGGCACGTACAGCGTGGCACGTGTTCATTTGAATGGGAGCAGTAAGTTGGTAGACGTGGTGGGTCGCGACGACTGGAGTTTGGTAAAGCCTGTGGTCTTTAAAAGTAATATTCGGCCCTCCGTTAAAGGTCCCCGCCCTCGCTTTAAGGTGATCGTGAGATGCGGCCCAACTGCTGGGTCGTTGGCCTCATGCGTGTGTCACCTCTGCGTTCTGGCCTTGTTGTGTTTCTATCGATAGGTTGGCTACATTGCCCCACGTGTTTAAATTGGCATCCTTGCCTGCTGCAATGGCTAACAAACGCGCCCGTGTACCCGTGCCGCCATATCAGCACCGACCGCACCGTCATATCGAGATGTATCAGAGCTCTGGGCTCCACCACCACGCAGTGCAGGTGTGGAAGTCGCGTGACGCTTTAGATGACACAGAAGCAGCAGACTCCGCCGGCCGGCAGGCGGGGCTGCAAGGACATTTTATTGGCACCGTTTGTGTAGAATCGCCCTGTCGTGGCGACGCTGCGACGTGCCTAATCGTACGACACAAGGTCCACGATACTCGTGTTAGTATTTAGAAACATGTTTCCTAATTTTTGTTAAATTATTCTTTCCTGGCAATATGTAAACGTTAATAGTAAAAAAAAAAGTTATGATAGGCTACATTACCCATTAACTGTGTTTTTGTGTTACTTGCATTGGTAAATTATGGTAGCGGTATATTGAATGGTATCGTTCTTTCGTGACCAACAGACGCGTGTTTTACGGAGTAAAATCGCCGGCGATGGGAAGGCTTTCCGGCAGGCTTGTGTTGTGTCGTTTCAGCTCACGGGGTGGGTTTCGGTTTGCAACACGGCGGCGATTTCGAGTCGCGGGAAGTGCGACAAAGCGCGCGCACACAAACAGCGGTGCAATCAAAACAAACACGAAATATACACGGGACGCGAAGTGGCACACGGAGCTGTGCGAAATGGACTTGGCGACGTGAGTTTGGGGGGCACCGCCGCGAAACGCGAGGTCGCGCGTGTAACCGCATCGACCCCGACGAAATCTTGATTTAAAGCTTTCGTGACTGCAGGGATTCATATTCTTGGTTCTTTCGGTAATGTTTTATATGTATATTATTTTATTTCCCTTCTACGTGACTTTACCGAAAGAACCAAGAATATGACCCAAACGAAGTTAAACATCGCGGTCTAAACAATCTTCCTCGGCGCGCGGGCTCTGGGCGGCAGATTGTGCCATTTCACGCCGTGCGGACAGCTACGTCACTTGCAGGTCGCGACAGTTTCCCTCGCTGATAAAATGTTATCCTGTTAACCGAACAAATTATTTGGTAGTGGTGGTGCGTTTGACAGCGGTGTTCGCACGGACACAATTAACAAAACACCGCAAGACATTCATCATTATATACTTAAAAGGAAACCGTACATTGGAGGTGACGTTTTTTGAGAAATAGTTATGTGAACGACCCATTGCCCGAAACGTCGCCTGCTCGGTATAGTTTTAACAACTGAAGTGATTGTGACCAAAACGGCGTCACATGAAAGTGGCGTTGCATATTCATTTCGTGTGTTGATCTCGACACCTATAACAAACTCTTACCGGTGAGGTGAGGCTTTCACTCTGGGTCTATTATGCTTGATGTGTACTCATTGGTAAAGTGTGACTATTCATGAAGCTCATGGTGTTTACCCTTACAATCTTGTGTAAGTAGCACAATTTTAATTCATAAAAAACTCCTAATTATTTGTATAATAAAATGATTTATCTTTACAATTAGCGGTGCGTATGGAGAGAGAGAGAGAGGTGACAGTCACGCAGTGCGTGTGCGCCGTGCCCACCAGCTCGCGCGGCGGTGGAACCGCGGGGTAGACAAAGGCGAAGCCCTGCAATGTCTCGCTCAGAACGCCCACTGCCGGGGGGGGGGGGTGGGGAAGGGCCTCCACTTTCAGGCAGTGTTTCATTGCTGGCCTCGAGGTGGGCTGAGACAGATGCCACTTTTCGGTGGCACGCGACGTGACGACCTTTGCGATCTCAATTCTGTACGGCCAACATTCCACATCTGCCCACGTGCTCCATGGCCAGAGCGCGTCTCGTGTCGAACCACTGCCGAATGAATAGAGGCTTCCTCGCGCACCGCGGGAGCTGTTTGACCCCGACTTCACCACGTTGGTCAGTGCGGGTTGAAGGTGTGGAACATAGATGTTGGAGCATAGAGGTACGGTACAACGATGTATGTTGCTGCACTGCGGTCAACTTACAGTCCTGGAGTGGCATGCAAAGAGGCGATTGAATGCGTGGCGGTCGCTAATCCAACACTGTGGCCGGGCTCATTCTCTGCTTAGCTTGCGAGATCTGATAAGATCCGGTGCACTCCGAGCGATGCGGTCGACGAGATTTAGACGCATGGGCAGAAGAATGTTGTCAGGTGACTGCACGACGTTTAAAACGCAGTTACAGTGCACGAGCGATGTCTGTGTGTTCTCCGCAAGACTTCGTGGGGTGCTGTGTTGCTTTGCCCTGCTGTTCGTCAGGAAGAGCACTCTTGTGAAGGAAGGTTGTAAATGTCGATTACAAAAAAGCACAAACTCACCTCGGAGAGGGTGGCAGTATCGGCTGGAAACGTGAGCGCATCCACGCGATTAACCCTCATCGTTATCCTCATCAGCATGACTGTCATCCATTAGATGGTAACGTCGAATGGAATTACAATTTACTGCCAAAGGCCAAATTTACTTAAATTACTCTCTCATTACACTGAACAATAACACACAGCTGCTGCTGTCGTCTTAATCGTCCACAATTAGTCTCAAACACCTGCATCCATCTCGCCGCGAGTCCCCTTAATTAGCAGGGCACCATCGTGTACCCACCTCGAGACCAGTCTTCATCCCCGTCATCGACGTCGCCGAAAGCAATGGCTCATGAGCTAATATAATTCCAGCTGCAACCTCGCCGTACGCCTCCCACTATACATATCACTCCCTGGCGTGACCTCGCTGTACAAACCGGTAACAAGAGTAATAACAATGCCTCATTGAAACACGGCCTCCACATTCACGTGAAGTTCTCATAACGCGTGGCAGGCGAGGGAGTTCATGCTTTCTTTTGGGCCGCCCTTAGGCAGTGTTAACGTTTGCTCATGAAACTAGAGGGCATTCAAATCAAAATGTGTATTTATTTTAAGTCAACGAAGATTTAAGTGGACGAAAAACCATCAATCGTGACGATGGCTATAGGCCAGGGGTGGGGAACCTGTTTTCTGCCAAGGGCCATTTGGATATGTATAACATCATTCGCGGGCCATGCAACATTATCAACTTAAAAATGTGCCCGTTATATTTGGTCAAACAATTAATTTACTCACCACTAATGTGATGGCTGGAACTGCTTCTCTTTGGCGAGGCGTGTGATGTTCTCTGGTATTGATGATGCTGCTGCTACTCGCAACTGCTTTTCCAGGTTTGCTCCGAGATTTATTGAATTTCGAGTCCCGCTTGCGGTTGCCTTGGCAGGGCCACACCAAATGAATTCGTGGGCCTGACACGGCCCGCGGGCCGGACGTTCCCCACCCCTGTTAACTCACCAGCAAAGACCGAGGCGTGACGATGACGAAACCAACATTACCCAGTCTTGAGTGAAGGCGCAGCCGAAGACACGAATTTAGTAGCGTTATTTGAGACAGGGCAACGAGGAATACCAAACATGGTCATTTGTTATTTTCTATTTTGATTTGAAGCTTTCGTGACTGCAGGAATCCATACTGTTTGGTTCTTTCGGTAAAGTCATGTAGATATAAAATAAATCACGACGTTTCGGACGCAACACAAGCGTCCATCACCTTTCCCACCTGATGATGGACGCTTGTGTTGCGCCCAAAACGTTGTGATTTGTTGTATTATATTCTCACGTAGAAAAAGTTGACTGATTGGTTGACCTGGTAATATTGCCGGGGGGAGGTTGTAGTGGCACGTACCTCTAAAATGTAGTAACTAATCGTGAACGACATGGTGGACTCTTGCGGTAGACGAGACTTAAGAGAATGACACACCAACGTGACAGAATCCACCGTCGTGCTATCGACGAGACGAAGACTTAATCACACAAACTGACTCGATTAATCCTGGTCACTGCAGGGCCTGGCGCTTTGTGGTTTGGCTGTGCTCGTGGGTCGTTCGAGGGACGGGAATGACACGTGCTCTGCTCGTCCACACATCCTCGGCCACAGCGTGTACGCATTCGCAATCGTCCACTCGCTGTTAAGATGAAATTGAAACCCTTACAATTCATCGCTGTGTGTATTTCAGCAATAAATCGTTAATGTAAAAACCACGAGTGTGTTTGTGTGTGCGTCATGTGAATGTGTCCCGAGAGCCGTGTGCACGCAAGGCTCATTCTGTCATCAAAAAAACATTTATGCAAAGTGCGCACACATTCATAATTACCGAAACCCGTCACATTTGTTGCGGTGCCAACTCGTGACTCGGAACGATATTTGAACCCGTCCCGTGGTAAAAGGTACCACTTCAGCAAAAATGAAATATTCTTGCTGTGGTTTTCCCACCTGATGATGATTGCTTGTGTTGTAATCGAAACGTCGTGATTTGTTTAATTTAATTTATTTCTAACTATGTGACTTTACCGAAAGAACCAAAGAGTAAGGAGACTTCTATCCTAGCTGTGGGAGGCCTGCCTAATTTTGTCCTTCCCCAACACCTCCGCTTCGCATGGTTGGCTAAGTACGGTGGAGAAAGCAGTTCAACCTACGTACATACAAGCGCCATTCCCAGTGTTCCCAGGCTGTGGAGGAGGGGGACGTGAGCTACGTATATGACGTCATAACCTAGAGTTAACCCGCAGTTATGACGCCACGGCAAGAGCCTAAACTTTGAGACACGCTTGCACAAGTCCTTTATTTCAGCACCAAGACCAGAATCAACGACACTGCAACTTGTGAATCTTCTAAGATCGTCAAGTTATAAATGAAGTAAACATAGTTGAAGAGTGGCGAAGCATAATCAAACAGCCCCCACGACCTCATCCAGCAGTGGATTGGCAAAAGGGGTTGCGTACAAACGCATGATGACAGTGTTTAACAAACGGTCAATGAATGGAGAATGGTTCATTAATGGACTTCCAAGTGAACCACTTAAAATAACATGAGCACAAGCCCTCTAAATTGAGTGTAATATCCACAGAATTAGGTACACACCACGAAATAAGTGCACACGGGTAGTGTAGTACGCATAGCTAATTAGGTACGCACCACTTCATTAAGTGCATATGGTAAGTGTGGAATGCACAGCTAATCAAGTACACACAGCTCGTTCGGTGCACATAGCCAGCGCAGTACGCGCCAATATCGATACACAGCACAGCGCGAGTGTGCGGGGCGCTCACACGAGCCGCGGGTTGTCCAGCACGGCCACGCCGGCCGCCACGCCGCCGTCTGCATGCTCCAGGCTCTTGGTGCGCAGCAGGTGGCCTCCGCAGTCGTTGAGCACCATCGCACCGCCCTGCCTGCAACACACCGTGGCGAGATGTTGACTACCTCGCCTGGTATACAGGTGGTCGTGGGTTCGATCCCGACTCTAACGCCTGCTGTATGTTTGGAGCTTGCGTGCGTCTCTCTCTCATCATCATCACGGTGGCTAGGAGATGTTAACTCCCTCGCCTGGTATACAGGAGGTTGTGGGTTCGATCCCGACTCTGACACCTGCTGTGTATTTGGAGTTTGCGTCTCTCACCGTCGTCGCATGGATTTTTCTCCGGGTCCTCAGGTTTTTTTTCCTCCACATTTAGAACCAACAACAACCGTTGAGATTATTTGGCTGCTGTAATTTTCCACGTAAGCTACTTTGTTGAGCTATCATTTTTGAAAAAGAGCTATATAACTCAGTGGGGGCCTTACCTGGTAAAATAAAAAAAAGTGTAGTTTTAGTTACACAAGCGGCAGCACCGTGGGCAGCGGCGTCACTCGTCGCCCCCGCTCAACTCACCAAGGACCAGTGCAAGTGATGCACGAGGGTGAATGCATGGCGATGGTCCATAGCGACCACGAGTGGCCTAGACCGACGGAGTTCCGTCTTAGCCAATGAAGACATAAAATTATATTTAATGAAGCATTGATCGGTCTCCTGCAGGGTTCTTCAATTGTATTGAAACACGGTAGGACCAATACTTCTGTCGTGGCTGATCATTCTTTTAATGCGGCCGGCTCGCACGAAATTGATTTCCCTAAGACGATGGTACTTTGAAAGCCGACTGGCTATCAACAAATATTCGTTCATGAAGCCATCCATATATACAGACACAATTTCAACCGAGAGGAATGTTATAGACTCAGCAATCATTAGAAAGATGTCATCAACGATTTTGGGTTATGACTTGACTTGTGTTTTCTTGTCAATCAACCTCCACCGTCAGCAGTGTGGTGTGGAGCGGGGTGCAGGGATTTCTTGGTGGCCCTTTGCTGCATTGGCATTGCTGCTGCATTGGCATTGCTGCTGCATTGGAATTGCTGCTGCATTGACATTGCTGCTGCATTGGAATTGCTGCTGAATTGACATTGCTGCTGCATTGGCATTGCTGCTGCATTGGCATTGCTGCTGCATTGGCATTGCTGCTGCATTGGCATTGCTGCTGCATAGGCATTGCTGCTGCATTGGCATTGCTGCTGCATTGGCATTGCTGCTGCATTGCCATTGCTGCTGCATTGGCATTGCTGCTGCATTGGCATTGCTGCTGCATTGCCATTGCTGCTGCATTGGCATTGCTGCTGCATTGGCATTGCTGCCCTGCCCATACTCCTGGTGCTGCGGATACATTTGGGCTACGCCCATCTCCAAACCTTTATAAACAGTTTGCCTTTAGAGGCTAACCCCTTTTCCTGATGACGACCGCTTGTGTTGCGATCGAAACGTCGTGATATTTTTATTCACTTAATTTTTATTCTAATTTGTTTCCATCTACATCTTCGGATTTGGACAACTCAATTTTTCGCAATAGAAAATTATGCTGGATTTATTGCCGGCGACAGCCGCCTTAAAACTGCGTCGGCCCATCACAGCTCCAACCGCTTACGGAGGGAGTGACGCGCGCCAGAGCACGACACCGCGCCGCGCGGCCCATACCTGACGTAGATGCCGAACATGCCGAGCTCGCTCACGCAGTCGAGCGGCGCCAGCGGGAAGCCGGAGCGCACCAGCACGTTCCTCACAGCCAGCGGGCGCACCTTGTCCATGAGAATGTACGCCGTGCGCTCCGGGCTGTGCCCGATCCTGCCCAGCAGCTCCGTGATGTCGTCTCCAAAAATGTTATTCCCTGCGAGACCCAGCAAGGAGATTCATAGCTTTGCACGATATGATACGATAATAATAATAATAACTAAGTTTTATATTGCATAATTCGTGGCAAATGAATCTCACAACGCTGTACAATAATTATATGCATAATTACATTCAGGGCCAAATCCTATCTATTTCAATTATCAAAGTAAATAACCTTCAGAAAATATAAATGAATACATACATCAGGAAATGGCATGAAAACAAAAGGCATAAATAACAAACAAGTTATCCCAACAGAGGTACAGAAAATGACGCCTGGCACAAATGTTTAGACATTTATCATCGTGATACCACCACGATTATCGCGATATCAGTTTTCCAAAAATGTGTACTTGTATCGTTCTTATTGTGGGTTACTTTACTTCTAAGTAAGAATAAAGATGTATGTATGTTGAACTTCTTCCGCACCGTACGTAGCCAACCGTGCTAATCGGAGATGAACATTCTTCAACTGAAGTTCAATCAACATAAGCCTGTCATAAGCCTTGCAACTTTACCATTGGAAATGCACATGCCATCAGTTACACCAATATATTTAAACAATTCAAAGACCTGCGAAAATCATGATGTCGTATAATTGCTATGCCATCAATTACTCTGAAAAACATTTCGCAAAGCACTAATTTAATAGCTATTTATTGACAAACTTTAATTCCTGAGTTTGTTATATCACATATAATTTTGTCAGTAACTAAAGTATGAAACAGACGTAAAACAACCGATGATATGAGCAAAAGGGACGATATAAATAACGTGGATTTAATATCGCTCGATAAATCGTGGCATCGCCACGTCGCCGCGAGCCTACTTGCCGTGCGTTACAAGCGGAGAGCGATTCAAGACGGGGGAAGACGGGGGACGATGGGGGAGATTGGGGGGGGGGGGACAGGGGGGAGAAGGGGGGAGACAGGGGACAGGGGACAATGGTGGGGGGAGATGTGGGGGGCACACAGGGGGGAAGACAGGGGGAAGGGGACAGGGGGGAGACAGAGGAAAATGGGGGGAGATAGGGTGGAGACAGGAGGGAGACAGGGGGGAGACAAGGGGGAGACAGGGGGGAGACAGGGGGGAGACGGGGGGTAGACGGGGAAGACGGAGGGGAGTCCGGGGTGCACGAGAGTGGCACAGTTACTGACCTCCACCTTCACGCTCCGGCTTCAGCACAAAGCGGTGAGGATCCGCCATCGCCAAAGCCACCGTTCGGTCGCCCTCCTCGTTCTGGAATAAAACCCGTGCCACCACAGGTGAACAGGGTAATGGTTCTGCTGCGGATCACCACCCCTCTACCTGACAACTTTAATAATTGGCTGTGTCTGGTGGAGGAGTGCGTACGACACAGATTTTAACCATGTGATCTGACCCGAAGATATATTTAGAATCATGCCGGTCGCGAAAGCCTACACAACAAAACGTGACCGCGCATTCTGTGCCAAGTGATTTATTTTGGGGACCCCTAAAAGAAACTCAAAAACCGAATAGAAAAATCGCGCTGCGAAAAAGTGAAAATCTTAACGGCGCACAAAGTGACGCCGCTTCTTCGCTCGCCGCATCTCCACGCTGCACAGAAACGTCGCAAACTCCACACCGATCGAGTCAATAAAATGCGTGCATTTATAAAAAGTTACCTTATACCTTTGAAGCAACATGTGTTTTAATGTGACATTCTTCTTCTTATTATTAGTATTGTTACGCTTGTTAACTCGTGAAAGCTTTTTCAGGAGGGTCCTGCCAAGTTTTATCAGTAGGGGGCGATGCCTGAGTATGGATACCGGGGTAATTTATGAAACTGTTGATCAGTCAAACATTAAAATGACAAGCTGTAAATCGACTAAATTTAGTCTTCGTGGAAACGAGGTGGTTTTGATAGGGAAATGGATACACAGCGGCACGCTGTGGCCTGAGTTAGCCCAAAATATCGAGGACAGGACATGCTCTCCGTATTCCCTGTTGCTCAATACTTCAGAGTGCTTTTAGAAGTTGAGGTCTGCACGCTTGTCGGCAAGGCCCTGTGCCCCAGGGTACGTTTCCCTGTATGTCGAGTCATGAGAAACCGCGGCAGGCAAAGGACATCCATTTCATTTCATGGGTGCCTCCTTCTCTGTCTGTGGGTTGTTTACCCGTAACCATTGTGAATTCGTCAGCACCACGATCATTAGCCAGGGTCAAGCCACTGCTGGGTGAAGGCCTTCGCTTAAGCTTACGGCCATCTCTCACCATCCAGCCAAGTAATAATTCCCCTCTCTTCACCCGCGACCTCATCGTGTTGCAACGATGATCATCATCGGCCCGGGCCTTCGTGTGCATTGCGCCCCGGTGCACACAGACTCGAGCACCCCTCCTCCAAGTCGATCCTCCTTTAATCACACTGCCATTTATTATCGCGAGTTATCCATCACTCGTGCGCTACCCGACACACGGATGACAAACACTCCACCGTTAAGACGCGAGCGGAAAGAGAGCGAGCGGCGCGATTGGCAGGCGTCGCCGCGTGCGCCATCATACCATGTCGAGGGAGTAGAGACCGGCGAAGGTGGTGCGGATTCGCGCCACCGCCGCGGGGTCCTTCACAAAGCGCTCGACGCAGCCGGGCTGCGCCAGCACCTGCTGCACCTTCTTGGTGCCGGCCAGGTGCGTGGCGATGTCGGGGCACGTGATGGCGCGCGACCGGTCCAGCAGCTCGCGCGCCTCCCAGTCCTGCGGCACCGACGGACGACAACTCAGGCGGTGGCATCGACGCACGTCCTCCTCCGCTTGGTTCGAATGAGCAACGCTCAGCGATGAGTCAACGATGATTATTCAGCTCGCGACAGCTCGCACGAGCCAGACTGACGTCAGGATCAAATCACCGACACGCAATGCCCCATCGTGAACTTTCGTGATTGCTGGTAAATGAAACATCGGCACTTTTTATGTCAACAATCAGACAACGAGGAACAGCAACACGTGGATTGCGTCCTTGGCGCTCGTCGTAGTTCTTGGTGCTGGACTCGGTTTGTTTGGTCCCGGGCTGTGCCGCAGGGTCGCACTCTCTCCTCTTTGCCGCATTTCCCTGACATGACAAACCTCCCTTCTACCCTCATGTAGTTGTTGCATTGAGATTGTATATGAATTAAAAAGTGTCCTTGTTGCACCCAATAACCACGCCTCTAGCACCCGCATGTGAAGTTTATCATTGGGACACATGTGCATGCATTTGCAAATCATAGGAAAGGCAAGCCTTAGTGAACCCCTGACCTTAGGTCCAGAGTAATTGTTGGGCGCGTAACCAGATCGGTAGTAGACCACCGCGATCTCCGTCCCGTTCCTTACACCGCACGCACACGGAACACACACAGGACAGACAGAACACACACAGAACATACATGTGAGGACACACGTCAACTCATACGTGAACTCACATGGAACACACACGGAACACACACAGACACACTCGTAAAACACACGTAAAACACACGGAACATACACAGAACACACACGGAACATACACAGAACACACACGCAAACTCACACGGAACACACAAGTGAACTCGAGCTGAAGGAGTCGAGCAGGTGTGTGTGGAGAATTTAGCCCTGGTCAGGCCGCATAACGATTCTTTGCGCAATGTTTGCTTACACGTGCAGGGTGCGGTCGGGAAGTAGCGACGCCTGCTTCGTCACGTCCCCGAATGTCTTGCGCAGCACCTTGATGCCTCTGGTTGGCACACCAAAGCCGCAGGGCGATGGGCGACACCAGGCACGGCACACAACACGGACAGTACACGCCCACAGTTCATTTGTCAATCGACCGCTGGATGAGGGCATCACCGCATCATGGTAGGCCGTGGGAGTTATCCGACCGCATTTCATGGCACCAAGTTGGAGAACGTGGTGAGCATAGATGAGGGGGGCATACAAGTATAGTATAAAACCTCTAGAGGGGCTATATAGAGCTCCCTCTAGTGGAAGCCCTGTTGCCAGCAGCACATAATAAGTCACAGAGCTTGCAGTGAGTGTGTAGAGACGCACCGTGCGTGGGTGTGTGAGAAGTGTACATTGATTACCATATAAATCACCCAACCGGCAATGGATACCCAGTCATTTATATGCATTTATTAATCCCCCCCCGCCCCCACTGTTGCTCAAGAAGGGCTCACAAGTGACGTCATCACATCAACCCCTCTATTTAAGGAACAAAACAGGAGGATTTCTCCACAAACCTGGCTGTCGCCTGATGAAGCTGTTTGGAATTACTGGCGAAACATCGTACTAAGATTGTAAATGTTGTGGCTTTGCTCTCCAACACACCGGTGTGCTGTACTAGCAACGAATTGGCCACGTTCTGTTTACGTGACAAACCTTACTAATTGGTTGTTTCGGGTGGTGGCGGGTTTAACGACACATTGATATATTGACGCGATCTGACCCAACAAAACCCCTCTATTATGGAGGAGCCTTACCGTTTCCACAGGGCGTACTCCACACAACGCTGGTCAAATATATTCCTGCAGTCGGTCTCCACGAGGAACATCACCGCGGCCCTGCGGGGCAGCACAAGAGCGGCGCGCCACGTGGGTCATGGCGAGGGCGCGTGGCCACAGCGTGAACCTCGCTCACCGCGTGTCCCGTCCGGAGACAGATTCCACGAGAGCCAAGCCTCTGGCCGTGGCCGCGTCACCCTGCGTGACGTGGGTGTCGCGCGTCGGGGAGGGAGGGGGGCGGTGACGCGGCCCTGCGTTCGAATTAGGCGGGCCGCTCCGCTTACGACTGTGGGTGCATTAACCGTAATTCACCATGCAGGTGCCACGGACTTCACGGTGTACGCTAAAGATCCCACGATGTCATTGAAGACCATTCGGGCCTTTGCATGGCAGTATCGTGGAAAAAACATTGAAAAAGACGCTGCAAATTACTCAATTGGGATTACACGAAGCAACATTGCCGGCAGGATACCACGTAAAATGGGAATGCTGCAAGCGTGTAAAGATCAGCGCACACTGGACCTGTGATCCAGGTCACCGGTTCCATCTCTCGATATGCCACTAGAAACGATGGCGCAGGTTTTTTAAACCACCTCTTGCCTCTGCCCACCCAGGAGTGTGAATGAGTCCAGGTTGCATGTGGTGGGGTAAGGGGTAGGCACTCCCCATCTTTTCTCGCACGTCTGAATCACAGCGTGGAAGAGTAGTCCAATGATCCTCCGGAGGGGGCTCTCATAGCGCTCCCTTTCTTTAAGTTGCGGCCCTTCCGCCAGCAGTGGCCCACGTGGGCAATTGCAGGGCTGCTCCTTTACCATAACCACTTTAAATTCGGCAGGGCTGGCAAGTGAGCGGGTGAGGGCGCGTCAGGATTTACTTGGGCTCGCCGTACAGCTCCCAGGCCACCGCGATGCCCCTGCCAAGCTCCTCGGCCGGGCTATTGCTGGGGACCTCCACGCCTTCCCCGGGTGTCCCCAGCAGCCTCAGCACATGCCTGCGTAACACAGGGACACCACGGACACCACGGACACACGGCTCGGATTTTTTGTGCGGGCGAGTGGCACCCGAAAGAGAGAGAGAGAGGTGCCGCAGCAACCCGTCACAAGGAGTCATGAGGCTATGAACAGATCATCCGGCATGTGCCCGATCTCGGAGCATCTCGGGAAGATATTCAGAAGAGGGAATTGCAGCAAACGTCATCGGTGTACTCTAGTATGCTCCCACGCGTATGCTCCCACCTTCACCAACCCGTGCTGACCAGCGTGGTGAAGGGTGGCCAAATAACCAATATGAGCCGTAAACCATGCGGAGACCTCTTCTTGGTTCTTTCGGTAAAGTCACGTAGAAGGAAAGTAATAAAATAATAAAAATAAAACATAATAAAATAATTGTATTATTATTTTATTACTTCCCTTCTACATGACTTTACCGAAAGAACCAAGAAGATGAATCCCTGCCGTCACGAAAGCTTTAAATCGAAACATGCGGAGACCCTCATCCAGCAGTGGAATGACAAAGGGCTGTGCATTGCACGTATGTCACCGGAGGAAAAGGTCGCGGAACGCATCAAAGATGCTGTCCGTCTCTTCGCCAATACGTACGCCATAACAAACCCAACGCGCAATCAGCACACACCAATTCGGCCGCTTTATTTTGGGAAAGGCCCATTGAGCTCCGAAGCTCTTTTTCAATTGTGACCCAGGCAATGTGGCCATCTTCAAGCAAACCGACCACACTGCTCGTCCATCGGCCAATCGCTGCCACGGCAAACGTTGCGCCAGCGTTGGCTCACCTGTGCAGGTCCGGCGTGCTGCACGACAAGCCTCCGAAACTGGCGGCGAACGTGTTTGTCTCGATCTGCTTCAGCGACGTCGCGCCGTCGGCATGCAAGTCGAACATATAGTCCGACCGGTTGAGGCCCAGCACGACCGGCTGTGAACGAAGCGCACAGTGAAGACACTCAGGACTACTGCGTAAGGGTACACTGCCTGGAGTATCCAACAACATCGAGAGGTAGCCGCGTGCCAACTCGACGAAGGAGCGCTGTACCATGGGTGGCTTTTCTTTCTCCGCCGTTCACCAACTAACCCAAACGCTGCGTCGGGTGTTGTCTTGTCATTAGCAACGATCAATCCACTGCTGGATGAAGGCCTCCCCCCAAGCTGTCGCCTTCTGTCAAGATCGCGTGGTACAACGATCCATCCGGCAACTGCGCAAGGGCTGCTTTCATAGCTCCATCTCTGCGGTGCACGTACTGTCGAGTGCGTTCCCTCTTCTTTGGTCGCCACGTCATCGTTTGTCTAGACCACCACCATCAACCCTTCCAGTGACATGTCCTGCCCAAGCCCACACTTTTATCAACAGCCAAAGTCACGAACTTGTGTATGTTCTCTAATCCCACACGTTCCCCTTTCTATCATTCATTGCAATTCCAAGCATGCATCTCTTTCGAGCTATTAATACATTAACGTGACTTGGTATGACATACAGGCAATCCGCAGTTTACGTGCTTTTGTGGTACACCATTTAGGAATAATGCACGCTTTGTATTTAGACGTCATCCGCAACGCGACGTACACCACACTCGCCTGGCACCGCGACCTAATGGCGTTGCCAGCAGCCAGTGCGCTACGATAAGTAGTGCGCTACAGTGTACAGCGTCTCGCCGCGTCGACACCATCGCTCTTCCCTTCGTCTCCACAATGCAACTCCGCGCTAGTTACAAGTAAGTAATACTGTACTTCTTTATTTTCATTTTAGAGGAAGTATATTAGAGTTTCCATTATTTTATTTTAATATTAAGTATTATAATGTGTGTACATGTATTGTACTGATATAAGCCGGGATAATATAGGCGATTATGTCTGCGCGTGTGAGTGAAATCCCCTAACCCCCTCCTTTACGAATATTTATTATGGGAAAATTTATTTTGACACACGCGATTTTGAAATACGTGCGCTTTTCCAGGAACACATCTATCGCGTATGTCAAGGAGTGCCTGTGTGGACAATCGCAAGAAATATGGATAATTACAAGGTGGGAGACACACTGAGACGTAGTTTGACATCATAATTGAGTGACGTGGAATTTCACTATCATTACCTGAGAAATGCAGGGCTTTAAAATAGTACGTGTCGTGACATAGAACTGCTCACTACAGAGCATAGCGCTGGTTGCTGGCAGAGAAGGGGATCTGCAGGTACAGCAGCCCTCTGTCAGCAGGTCACGTGATAAGCCAGAGAAAGGGATGTAGGGGAAAGGTGACAGAGGGGGCACGTGAGGGAAGCCCGGGAACCCGCTAGTAAGTTCTAGAAAGGGGGCGTGGCGGAGCGAGGCCACGCTGGGAGGATAAAAGGGGGCCCCAAGCGAGAGCTCGGGGCTGTCGCCTGGAGTGGGATCCCCTCGTCGTACTGCTGGAGTCTTCGCCGCCATCTTCACCTGCTCGGCGTCGTCAGTCGGGCAGTCTGCCAGCTGCCCTGACTGGGAGCTGTAGTTACTCTGTGTGGACTGTGAAGGCTGTTAATAAATAGAGTGCCTCCTACTCTTAGCCTAAATCGCCAACACAGCGTAATTGGTAACTATTTAGCTTTTCATTGTGCCTGGAAGCAACAGCAACCCGGGATGCTTTACTCTGAATCAGTTGTGGTTCACTTTTGCATGCGCTGCCAGTTGTAAAATGAAATATGTAAAATAAACACCAACTTTTGTGATGTTTTCATCCAGCAATCGCTGGAAAATTCTGAAGACATTCGCCGAGAATTCATCCGAGTCCACCGTGCTGAAATCAAAACACCGCGTGCGTGTGTCAGCAGCAAGCACGTATCACAGCAGCAAGCACGCATCACACGTGGCATTCTCACACAACTGCACCAAAACCCCCGTCTGAATGGGGGAGGGCTGGCCACACATTACTTTAGGCCATTACCATAAGTCTAAATTAGAGAAAATCTGTGTGTCCCGTGACAGATCTGGAAACGCCGACTCGACCATCGGCCATATTCAAGATGAGCCAGCACAAGGCCCTCATGGCACAGGTGGCTTTACCACCTGGCTATTTCAGTGCCAAGCTGGAACCAAACCATATACGGCTCGACTCGCACGATATTTGAATATGGCCCGGGGCCACACGTCCGCTTGTATGAGATCAGTGCATCATGAGGTTAATAGCATCATCCCGCTATCTGAACACATCTCAAATCGTCTATTGCATGTCACGTAAGTCGCATGGCTCGGTTTCTGCAGTAGAAAACCAACCTGGCACCTCCCAAGCCATGCTGGTTTGGCTTGGCATCGATCCCGGCACAGCTCAGTTGTGCCAGTGGAAAAGAGCTAATCGTAAATCATCACTGCGTAGTCTTAACATTCAGTGAAGGCAATGAAGAAATTAATTGTACACAATTTGAAACAATTTCCTTTATAGTTAACCTGGACACAAGACTTACAAACTGCTGTTATGTTGGCCAAACAAAAACAGCAGTCTCGCTACGAAAACAAATTCTCCGTTTGGCAAACAAGTGTTTAAATTACAGCAGCCTTCGCGGGTATATTTTCGGCTATATCGCATTTTCAAAATGCTAACGCGACCATATGTTCGAGGAGAACATATATCGTCAACACCCTTGTTCACTCTAAAAATAATGTGGGAGAAAAAAAAGCCCCCACCAAGGATCAGTGCATTCAGTCCCCAAACTGTGGCCTCAGAAAACCTCAACGGGACATCTTGCAGCCGGCAGTCACCCGAGGGCTCGAGTTGCAGCCCACACGGCACACGAATGTAATTCGTATTTAACGACGGCCCACACTTGCGGCGTCCAGGAATATCCACGACGGGTGCCCATTGATTACTTAAAGTGGAAGGTTAAGGTGCAGCCCTGCCAATGGAAGGGCCTCTGCTAGGAGGAAGCTCTGGAGGAAGGCCCCTCTAGAGCATATTTTGGCCTACTCTTCACACTGGCCAAGACGCCTTGGAAGAGCAAAGGTGGGAGTAGCCACACTTTACTGCACTATCACACATGACCTTCCGATTGACGAAATGTGGTGTACCTATAAATATTTATAACCGCTGGGTCGACAGAGGCGTTGAAGGGAGGTTTACAAAACACAAGTGTCCATGGTTTATAAAACATGCCCATCTGTGCCACGAGATCAAATTTACTCGAAATCTCTGGATTGCGAGTCCAGTTTGTTACCCATTATACCACAGCAGCAGCAGTTATTGTCCAATGCGTGGAAACGCACAGCACATCCAACGTTAATGCTCACACCAAGGCGTGACGCAGGCCGTCACGCCTTTGTGCTGAACATTTGACCGCACTGGCAGAGATTTCACTTGTAATCCCCGTCTGACATGGCACATGCCTGGACAGCTATGGGATGCATGAGATTATCTGAATTGTTGAAATTAAATCAGCGTAACATTTTACATTAAGGGATGCCGCCATGGTGTAATGGTTAGTAGGGCGCTGGACTTGCAATCCAGAGGTCATCGTTAAAAATCGCTCTCCCATCTCGGCAGTTGAAATAATGGTGTAGATCAATCTATTAAATTACCCCACCTCTGTCCACCCATCAGTATAAATGGGAACACCGCAGTGAGTTGATTGGTGGGGTAAAATGTGGGTACCCTCATCTCTTCCAAGACGTCTGGCCAATGTGGAAGAGTAGGCCAAATACTCTGGCGCTCTCTGGTGCTCTTTATTGTGCAGGCCCCTTCCACCAGCAGTGGCGTGTGCAAGACATTACAGGAAGAGGTGGGGGTTGGGCTGGGGGGCATTCTGGGTGTTTTGGGGAGGGGGGCTCTGAAAAATATTCCACGAGATATTAAGCCCTGAATGCAAGAACTATTCTCCTTCTCACGTCTATAATGTGGCATTACAGACGCGAGAAGGCATTGCAGATAACCAGAGGAGAGCGCCGAACCAACTGGCATGTTTACCTCTTCAACGTCTCCTGAAGAAACGCGTGGTCCTGACTCACGCGGTCTATGAGCAGGTTAAAGTCGCACTGCACCTCCATGGCCTGCTGGAAGAGCGCCGTGGGGACGACCGATGGGAACAGGGTGAAGGGCGCGAACAGCACACGCTGAAGGCCAGGGGGGCGCGTGGGCAGAAAGAAACACACGCACGCCAGCAAGTCATTGTACGGCACACAGCGAGTGTTAAACACCCAGTACCCGGCGGGCACGATCACAAACTCTGCATGGGACGGCTCGACTGGTTAGGCAACGCCAAATTTGGGCCTTTGCCGCAATGCACACTTGGCAATGTAATATGTATGCAACAGGAATGGTGCGGCCCTGCAATTGCGTGCTCTTGTATGGGATGTCAGGGAGGAGGAATGGAGATGGACAGTGGGTTAGGGGGCATGGAGAGGATTCCCGCCCAGAAAAAGTGGGGGGGGGGGGGGGGGGGGGGGGCAGTGGAGCGGGGAACAGTGGAAGGGGTGAGCACCAATCGCGAGGAGATACCGGAGGGGGGCATTGGGGGGCTCGGGGCATTGGGGGGCTCAGGGCATCGGGGGGCTCGGGGCATCGGGGGGCTCGGGGCATCGGGGGGCTCGGGGCATCGGGGGGCTCGGGGCATCGGGGGGCTCGGGGCATTGGGGGGCTCGGGGCATCGGGGGGCTCGGGGCATCGGGGGGCTCGGGGCATCGGGGGGCTCGGGGCATCGGGGGGCTCGGGGCATCGGGGGGCTCGGGGCATTGGGGGGCTCGGGGCATCGGGGGGCTCGGGGCATTCTGGCGGGTAACGGATTGGGCAAGTGTGGACTGGGGACCACCCCCCACCCCCCCAACCTCGTGTGGAAGTGGTGAGGATCATTCTTTGGTTCTTTCGGTAAAGTCACGTATTAAAATAAAAAAATAAATTAAATTAAATACTAGCATACTGCAATAAAAGCCATTTGCCATTTATTGCGGTATGCTAGTATTTAATTTAATTTATTATTTTATCTTAATACGTGACTTTACCGAAAGAACCAAAGAATAATTCCTGCAGTCACGAAAGCTCCAAATTAAGTTTGGTCAGGATCAGTGTTGTAGTCATGTTGCGCCAAGCCCCATTCGGACGCATGAGCTTAACCTCCTCTGGAATGCCGTTCCCGCGCTGCTAATCACCTCCGACTCGTTGGGGTTTTCGGGCGTTCTCATGGCGATGCCCCTGTGAAAGGCAAAGTCCTTGGCCGCCTCGGCCAGGCAGTTGAGCAGAGCGACGTCCCGCACCACGTCCACAGGCACCGAGCACAGCGCCTCCATCTCTTGAGCCGCACGCTGCCGACACAACGCACGCGAGCGAGCGTCATTCCCAATTACCTCTGTGGAGGTGTTCACGGTTGCACTGTCTGGAATATTCGACGGGTTTGTTTCGGGTTGTAACACCGCCTGTCGATTCTCACGACGTTCAGATGTTTCGCTCCGCGTGCTGGAAGCTTCTTCTTATTCAGTGATGATTGTCAGTTCCTAAAAAAGGCTGGAGCGAGTTGTCAGACATCATTCAGAACAACACATCCCGGAAACAAACGCTACAACTGTTGGGGCAAGTGCTGCGAGCACAGCACCCACGAACCCTGCCATGAAACACAAAGGGGCTGGCTGATGATGTGGCACCTTCGCCTCCCCGCAGATGATTTTGACGCACCGTACCAGGTACACATTTTCAGGCCGAGGTGACCTAGGAGAGGCTCCAAACTGGTTAAGATTATAACGAGCCACCATAATTTTCGATTTAAAGCTTTCGTGACTGCAGGGATTCATCTTCTTGGTTCTTTCGGTAAAGTCACGTAGAATGGAAATAATAAAATAATAAAAATAAAACATTATAAAATAATTATTTTGAGCCACCATAGTTAGCCGTGGCCGGGAATCTAACTGCGGGTCGCAGGTTGTTCATGGCAGTGTGCTAACCAGTGGGCCACCACTCCTCCAACACACGGGCATTGAGGTTCCTGTGGCGCATTGCACGGAGCTGCGATGGCAGCGTGAGGATGAACGCAGCGGTGAGGGACCAGGTACAAGACGAGGCTGCTGATAGGGAGAAGAGGAAGGGTATTAGGATCAGTGTTGTAGTCTATGGGCTAGTGATGATGCAGTGTAAACTATGTAGTCTATGGGCTAATGATGATGCAGTGTAAACTATGTAGTCTATGGGCTAGTGATGATGCAGTGTAAACTATGTAGTCTATGGGCTAGTGATGATGTATATACAGCAGGATGATGTAGTGTAAACTATGTAGTATATGGGCTAGTGATGATGTATATACAGCAGGATGATGCAGTGTAAATTATGTAGTCTATGGGCTAGTGATGATGTATATACAGCAGGATGATGCAGTGTAAACTATGTAGTCTATGGGCTAGTGATGATGTATATACAGCAGGATGATGCAGTGTAAACTATGTAGTCTATGGGCTAGTGATGATGTATATACAGCAGGATGATGCAGTGTAAACTATGTAGTCTATGGGCTAGTGATGATGTATATACAGCAGGATGATGCAGTGTAAACTATGTAGTCTATGGGCTAGTGATGATGTATATACAGCAGGATGATGCAGTGTAAACTATGTAGTATATGGGCTAGTGATGATGCAGTGTAAACTATGTAGTCTATGGGCTAGTGATGATGGATATACAGCAGGATGATGCAGTGTAAACTATGTAGTCTATGGGCTAGTGATGTATATACAGCAGGATGATGCAGTGTAAACTATGTAGTCTATGGGCTAGTGATGATGTATATACAGCAGGATGATGCAGTGTAAACTATGTAGTCTATGGGCTAGTGATGATGTATATACAGCAGGATGATGCAGTGTAAACTATGTAGTCTATGGGCTAGTGATGATGTATATACAGCAGGATGATGCAGTGTAAACTATGTAGTCTATGGGCTAGTGATGATGTATATACAGCAGGATGATGCAGTGTAAACTATGTAGTATATGGGCTAGTGATGATGCAGTGTAAACTATGTAGTCTATGGGCTAGTGATGATGGATATACAGCAGGATGATGCAGTGTAAACTATGTAGTCTATGGGCTAGTGATGTATATACAGCAGGATGATGCAGTGTAAACTATGTAGTCTATGGGCTAGTGATGTATATACAGCAGGATGATGCAGTGTAAACTATGTAGTCTATGGGCTAGTGATGATGTATATACAGCAGGATGATGCAGTGTAAACTATGTAGTCTATGGGCTAGTGATGATGTATATACAGCAGGATGATGCAGTGTAAACTATGTAGTCTATGGGCTAGTGATGATGTATATACAGCAGGATGATGCAGTGTAAACTATGTAGTCTATGGGCTAGTGATGATGCATATACAGCAGGATGATGTAGTGTAAACTATGTAGTATATGGGCTAGTGATGATGTATATACAGCAGGATGATGCAGTGTAAACTATGTAGTCTATGGGCTAGTGATGATGCATATACAGCAGGATGATGTAGTGTAAACTATGTAGTCTATGGGCTAGTGATGATGTATATACAGCAGGATGATGCAGTGTAAACTATGTAGTCTATGGGCTAGTGATGATGCATATACAGCAGGATGATGTAGTGTAAACTATGTAGTCTATGGGCTAGTGATGATGTATATACAGCAGGATGATGTAGTGTAAACTATGTAGTCTATGGGCTAGTGATGATGTATATACAGCAGGATGATGCAGTGTAAACTATGTAGTCTATGGGCTAGTGATGATGTATATACAGCAGGATGATGCAGTGTAAACTATGTAGTCTATGGGCTAGTGATGATGTATATACAGCAGGATGATGCAGTGTAAACTATGTAGTCTATGGGCTAGTGATGATGCAGTGCAAATATGTAGTCTCTGGGCTAGTGATGATGTATATACAGCAGGATGATGTAGTGTAAACTATGTAGTCTATGGGCTAGTGATGATGCAGTGTAAACTATGTAGTCTATGGGCTAGTGATGATGTAGTGTAAACTATGTAGTCTATGGGCTAGTGATGATGTATATACAGCAGGATGATGTAGTGTAAACTATGTAGTCTATGGGCTAGTGATGATGTATATACAGCAGGATGATGCAGTGTAAACTATGTAGTCTATGGGCTAGTGATGATGTAGTGTAAACTATGTAGTCTATGGGCTAGTGATGATGTAGTGTAAACTATGTAGTATATGGGCTCGTGATGATGTAGTGTAAACTATGTAGTCTCTGGGCTAGTGATGATGTAGTGTAAACTATGTAGTATATGGGCTCGTGATGATGTATATACAGCAGGATGATGTAGTGTAAACTATGTAGTCTATGGGCTAGTGATGATGTAGTGTAAACTATGTAGTATATGGGCTCGTGATGATGTAGTGTAAACTATGTAGTATATGGGCTAGTGATGATGTAGTGTAAACTATGTAGTATATGGGCTCGTGATGATGTAGTGTAAACTATGTCGTCTCTGGGCTAGTGATGATGTATATACAGCAGGATGATGTAGTGTAAACTATGTAGTATATGGGCTCGTGATGATGTAGTGTAAACTATGTAGTCTCTGGGCTAGTGATGATGTAGTGTAAACTATGTAGTATATGGGCTCGTGATGATGTATATACAGCAGGATGATGTAGTGTAAACTATGTAGTCTATGGGCTAGTGATGATGTAGTGTAAACTATGTAGTATATGGGCTCGTGATGATGTAGTGTAAACTATGTAGTATATGGACGAGTGATGATTTTACCGGTCCACGATGCTCCGCTACTCCCGTCTCCACGTGACTTTGGAGTTCCACCCTCGATTCCGATTGGCTGCACCGCCCCACGTGACTCTAATCTGCGCGATCGTGATTGGCTAATTTCCCTCTCAGCCGCTTCCAATCCCCCTTCGTCCCCTCCCCTCCTCCCCGCGGAAATTATCGCGCAAACAAATCCGTGAGTCGCCTGGCACGAAAACAACAACAACCACAACAACAACAACCACCACCTTCTGTTGGGCACGAATGTCGCATGAACAGACTGTCGGGGCAGAGCGCCGTCACGGCTCCCCGGTGCCACGGCTCGCGTTTTACATCGGAGCCCAACGCGCTCTTGAATAAAAACCCAAACGAGCCTTACTCTTAGGTTTTTTTCGGTAAAGTCACGTAGGTAAAAAATAAAAATAAATAATAATAAATAGTAGAAATAATAATGGAAATTATTTTATTTCTATTAATAATAAAAATAATAGAAATAATAATAGAAAATATTTTATTTCTAATGTTTTTATTTCTACTTACGTGACTCTACCGAAAAAAACCTAAGAGTATGAATCCTTGCAGTCACGAAAGCTTCAAATCTAGAACCAAACGAGCCTTGGCTGAAACAACCCCGCCTCTTCTTTGAATGCCAAATCGATCAAAGTCGCCCGATGACCACCACCGCCAACGTCACGTGCACTTTTAGCTATGGGCGCGAACTCCAGCACTTGGAGAATGAATGAGAGCACACCACTTACACATCCAATAAGCGTGATACGTGATTAAACACTCCATTTGTTCTAAATATTTCTTACCCAATGTTCGCACTCTTAAATGAATACTAAATGTTGCATCAACAAATGTGTAAGTTGCGTCCCGCTTTGATGTTGTATTTTAACTTACTGATGTCCCATGAAGACGGGCCAATGCGCAAAACGTCACGGATTAAATAATGTTTGCTTTAAAGGCAGTATTGTGAACAAATGTGTTGAATTTTGATTTAAAGCTTTCGTGACTGCAGGGATTACTTTTTGGTTCTTTCGGTAAAGTCACGTAGAAATAAAATAAATTCAAGAACGTAATCAACCAAGCTATGCGTTAATTGTGTGTTTACCGACTCTCTGCGTTGCATTGAATTGCATTTACAAATTTTACTAAGTTTGTTTTCTCTCTGTGTCTCTGTGTTGTCTCTTTCTGCTTGTGTGTCTGTCTGTGTGTCTCCGTGTCTGTGTTTTGTCTCTTTCTCAAATTTAGCAATCTTTGGAAGAACGTAATCAACCAGGTAGAGTGTTGACTGTTATCTTAGCCGACTCTCTGTGTTGTATTGCATTATAAGTTTACAAGGTTTGAAGTTTTTGTGACTGCAAGGTTCCATACTCTTTGGTTCTTTGGGTAAAGTCACGTCGGTGAAAAATAAAAAAAATAAAAAATAGAAATACAAATTTCCTTGCCGTGGTTGTCACACCTGATGATGATTGCTTGTGCTGCAATCGAAACGTCGTGATATATTTATTTTATTTATTATTTTATTTCTACGTGACTTTACCGAAATATCCAAAAAGTTACTTACACATTCATCCAATAAATAGACACTGTGGTGCCACGGAGCAACTCGGCAAGCGTCGCAACTCCCCCCTGACCCCGACACTGATCACACGCACGCAGCGCACCCACGGAGTGTCCTGGCGGGGGATCGCCTGGCACATCGGGTTTTAATCCGAAGGGCCTCTAGAGGGAAAGTCCCACGATTTCCCGGTGCCAGGAGATTGGCCGACCCTCGCAGGACAGGTTATATTGCGGTGCCCCTAAATTGGCTTAACATTGTATGGGCGCAGAAAGAAAAGGTTCACTGGGCAAACAGAAATAAGTTATTCAAGACATTGGGGGGGGGGGGGGGGGGACTGAGGGTGGAATATTAAGCAAGAAGAGCATGAGGTCAGGAGAATCGCAGCGCCACTGCCGCCCTCCCCCCATATCGGCCCTCATACCGAATACACACTTGCAGGGTGTGTGTTCGCCAGCCAGATGCCCTTCCAGATACCCAGCAATGAGGGACAATGGATGGCCGGTGACATCCCCGTGGCACTCGATGGAGGACACGGTAACAGGGGGGCGGTAGCCAGAGGTAGGCGCACGGTTGGTCGCGCGGTACAAATGCCATCGCGGCCCTTGGGAATGGGGGGATTAGGCCACGGAAGGGATAGAAAACGAGCGACGGCGCAGGTAAGCGCGCACGATTGGCTGGGCGGTGCGACGTCACCCTGGGCCTTGAAGTTTAGGAAATATAAAGAGTAGCCCGGGACGATTTCCGCTCTCACGTCTTCTACCTCCGGCCCGTCAAGACCCACTCCCTGCCGTCCTGCCTCCTCGAGCCGCTCGCAGCGTCCGTGTGATGCCAGCGAGTGCTGCTACGAGGCAGCGGTAGGTAAAGTTTCCTCTTGTCCTTCTCCCTCCGACTCTCACAGCGTACATGCGATGCCGTGAGTACAGCTTCGAGGTACGTGGTAGGACGTCTTAGTGACTGGGTACGCAGGCAGAGTTAGGCTAGGCTCTTCTAGCGAAACATTCCCCCAGGTAGTGGGTATTTGCACCGCGAATAAAAGTTAGCACAGAGCATCGGTGTGGTGTCGGTGATTTGCGTGTGGAGCGACACGTTGCAAGAGGAGTGGACGCGGAGCCGCAGCGTGTGCGCGCGTCTTAGGACATAATCGCCCGCAGGTGTGGGTGCGGTCGTGCGGCTGTGCGCCGCGTTGGGTGAGTGGTGGTGTACACGGGCGAGTGCGGAGTAACCCCGTGCGGCAGTGAGCCAGCAGTTTCGCCGTGTCCCCCAGAGAGGGCGCTAGCGCGGGGGGGGGGGGCGACAGGAGCCGACCGATGCGGTGGAGGAGGGAGCGGAAGGGGCGAACGTTGCGCCCCACCTGCCCAGCGAGGGCGGTGGGGCGTACGTTGTCCCCCACAACATTTAAAATACGTTGCCAACAGACAGCAGGGCGTACATATCAATGGTTGTACTGTACTATGACCTCAACGTCTACGCTCCCAACTTACACCAACCCGCACCAGCGTGGTGAAGTATGGTCTAACAACCCCCTATGACTCACGCGGCATTCGGAGGCTCTCATCCAGCAGTAGATTCCCTCCATCTGCCCCCTTGTCTCTGCCCCCTTAATACAAAGCCACGTGCAAGTTGAGACTTCACAATTAGCTCTGTCAAGGGAACCCTCTCCTGAGTCTCGAGACTTTTGTTTCAGGATGTTGCTGCTGCTGCTGTTTACATGGGAGGGGGGGGGGGTGTTTGTCCGATTAAAAATTAACGCGAGTTTGGCTTCAGGTGTGTTGCAACCCAGAGAAACCCCGCGCAATGCGAGCTGACGTCCAAAACACGCCAGACAAATAGATTAAAGAAAACAAATCCATTGCTGTACTCATACCTGTCAACCCCTTATCAGTGCCCTACCTTGTTACACACCAATTCAGACCTGATTGGTCTCACCCCGTGCCCATTATGAATCTCAACGTTCATCCTACAAAGTCCCATCACGAGGGAGAAACACAAACACAGAGACACAATAAAAATTGTGTTTGCCCGCACTCAAACGGCTGTACGCCGTACGGAGCTGAAAACTCGATTTCCCTGTACAAAATTACGGGGTAAACCAAATGGGTTGACAGGTACGTGTACCGTACTTGGAATGCCCCGGTCACCCATCTATTCGGCCCATGCGTACACATGAACTCAACTTCGTTTGAGATTCTACACAAACTGAAGGGTGGCTAGAGGTGTGTGTTCCACAGCTCAATGAGACTTCGCATTAAAAAACCCCCACGGCGCATCGTTCACTCTCACCTCGCAGCCCACGGCAAGCTGAGACAACGTGTGGAGGAAGAGGGACGTGAATGCAGGACAACGCGGGCGCGGAGCGGGGATGAACGCAGAGTCCGTGGCGGGTTTGTCCAACACAGCAGCAGCAGCAGCCGGGGCCCCCGGGTGTCTGCGGAGTGAGAGGAGAGAGCGAGAGGAGGGTGACGAAGAGTTGTGCGAGCGACTTTGCCCGTGCCAGAGAGCTCTAGAGAGAGTTTACACGCAGGGGCGGTCCCCTGCTCAATGTTCACACCCAGAGGAGCCGCCCACCACCACCAGCAGCAGCAGCAGCGGCAGCACCCACCCCGTGGGGTCAAGAGGTCGCCCCGCTCCGCCTGCACGTGGAGTCGTCACGCAGCAGCTTGCGGACATTGCGGCGTCGTCTTGATGTCGACCCATACGGCTTCACCCTGTGTTCGTGTACGGCGTACGGACGTTTTTAATACTGGCAAAATCGTTGTTTTTGTCTGTGTTTCTCGCTTGTGATGGGACTTTGTAGGATGAAGGTTGAGATTTGTAAGGGCACAGGATGACCAATCAGGTCTGAGTTGGTGTGTGATCAGCTCGGAGGGACTGATGATGGTTTGCGACAGGAATGCAGCGTCAACATGACTAAGCAGTTCTGTAAGTGAACGTGGGAGCAGTTTAGTATTTAGAAATGTTTGTACGAGTTGAGTCACTTCAAGTAGTAATTCGTTTTTCCCCGTTCCAGAGACATCCCACCCTCCTGACACCGTGGCGTTGTGGATTGTGGAGGTAGCAGCAGGATGTTACTGAGTGGGGATGACGTGGCCATATTCTCTGTATTCGAAGACTGAACACAGCATCCATAAAGTAACAGCAACCCCATACTCACTCAGCACCCATATGGGGCAGTATAGACTCACATCGCACTCATAACTAACACAAAGACAAAGATCTCCCCCGTATAGCCTTAACAGACTGTAGGGGCAAGTGCTGTTTGCGAGCACCTATAAAGGCCGGCATGGCACACGAGGGGGTGGGTGGACAGCACCACGCCCGGCCGCCTTTGTCTCCCTAGTGGCGATGTTTACACCGCACCAGGTACTCATTTGAGGCTGAGTCGACCTAGGGGAGGCCCAGAACCGGTTCAGACAATCGTCACTGGTGTTGGCTGTGAGCGGGATTCGGACTCGTGTCGCTGGGTTCTCAGCGCTAACCGCTACACTACCGCTCCCCAGACTAACACAGCAACCCCACAGACTGGCATGGAGACTCACACAGCACTCACGTTTAGCAGCCGTAATGACGCAACACCCATAGCCTCGCGTCATCTGACCGCCAGGGGGCAGCATAGACCCACACGGCACTCAGACTCATACAGAACCCACAGACCAACACGGCTGCCATACTCACACATCACCCATATGGACACACACGCACCCATGGACTAATACAGGACCCATCGACTCACGCGGCACTCATAGGCTCACAAAACAACCACCGCCGCTTGCCACTAAGTGGCAAAGACACCACCACGGCGCTTGTGCCAGGCCAGGTGCACTCCGAGGCCACGTGAAGTGTCGAATGCCCGCTGGCAGGTAACGGAACAGGCCCAGGTGCCATGAGTTGAGTGAGTGAGATGACTGGAAGATGCACCACCACCTGTGCTTCCCACTGTGTCAACTTGCTGCGTTTTAACCGCATGGCGCTCCGCTCGTTGTTGTGAGCGTCGCCCCTCCACCCTCCGTTGTTGCTGGAAGGCGACTGTCTCAAATTGCCCAGGAGCGTCCTTCACGAGCCTCCTCCATAGAGGCCGATATTGACACCGCTGGTACCGGTCATCGGAAATTCTACTCAGTTCCACATCCTCCTGTACCACATCACTCCATCTCTTCTCTAGCCCGTGCCACGCCCGTTTAGCCCCCTCCATCCGGCCAAACAGAAGCTGCTTGGGCATGCGGTGGCTGGGCATGCGAGATACATGACCTCAGCCATGCTCACACGCCAGAAGCCATAATCACACACCACTAGCCATAGACTCGCACAACATCCATCCACTCACACCCATACAAATAATGAGGATCCATTTAAATTCACAAGACCTATAGACACAGTACATACCACCCAGCGCCGCCTGTTGTCCAGCAAAGGCAACTGCGGTGGACGAGCGTACACGTCAGTGAGCATCTACACGGCTGTGTCGGCAGGGCGGATGAACTGGGGCAAGGGTCATGGAAGACCCTATCTGGAAGCCCCTGGAACCCGCTAGTGGGTTCGAGAAGGGAGGCGCGGCCAGGGCGGAGCCAGGCCACGCCGCGTAGCATAAAAGCAGCTGAGAGTGGGAGCTCGTGGCTGCCGGTTCTTGGGAAGTGGACTCGTCTCGTCGTCTTCGCCGCCTTCGTCGCTGCCGTCTTCGCGAGATGTTGCGTGGCCGGATAATTTTTGGCTGTCTCGGTCGGCGCCGTCGGTGTTACACGGTCAGGGCCTGTGTTCAGGGCTGGGCTAGACAACTAAGGGGAGCGCGAGGGCGAACCTGTGAACCTGAAGGTGTTTAATAAAGAAGTGCTCCTGAAAAAGTTTGTCTCCCGCTCAGCTGACACTTCACAGGGACACTTAATGTTAAGCCATTATATAACATAACACCTCTTCCAAGACGTCTGATGAGCGTGCAAGAGTAGGCCAAGTACCCTCCAGAACCCCCTCGAGTGAAAGCCCTTACAGTGATGTGAGCAAGCAATTGTAGGGCTGCACCTTTACCGTTCAATCGACACACGAGGGCAAATTACCACGCTGTGGCTAAGGCCGCAGTGACGTTTGTACGTTTGGGCATGTCAATCAGTGCATTTAGTATGAACATTGCACTGGAAATGATGACCGGTTCCCGACATTTGAAACTGGCAATCGATTGTGAAAACGGTTACCGGTTTAACAGCAGCTCGTGAAAGCCTGCCAGTGCCTGTGTAGTGAGTTCTTAAGGATGATGGAGACGTCGTCGTAGAGGCAACACGGTTTATTATTAAACTAACAGAAAACTCCCTTAACGTCCCCTATCTAGCGAGATACAGCCTCCAGGCTATCTGCCAGCTCAGCTCTTAGTCCTCCGGCTATCGTGGCCCTCGGGGAGGCTCTCTGACCCGACCCAGCCAAGGTACGGGTCCCGACCACTGGTCCCAGCTCGACCCGGCCCAGGGTCCTAGTCTAGCTGGTCTTCAGTCTTCGTAGCACTGCCCCGAGCTGAGCTTGGGGTGCCCCTTTTATACACCTCCAGGGGACCCTCCGCCCCTGGTACCGCCCCCTTTCTGGAACCTTCCAGAAGATCCTGGAAGGGCCCCCTCCCAGCCCCCCCACCTGGGGAAGGGGAGGGAAACCCAGCCTCCCTTGAGACCAGCTCCCTCTCTATCCCCTCGTACTGGCTGGCACACCCTACCGACCTCTGGCTACAACTGCAGGTAAGTGGATACAGGCGAACGGCAGGTAAGTGGATACCAGCGGTATGTGCAAACGCGATCCGACGCGACGCTTGCATTACTTTATTATTTTCATCAGCAGCCGAGATCTATCCGCTGCTGGATGAAGGCATCTCTCTCCAAGGCGGTCGCCGCCTCTCACGGTTCCGCGTTGAGACTCACAATCCACTTCGCACGTGTGCCAACGAGGCTCAATTTCATGACTCCATCTCCGGGCCGGATGTATTTTTTCTCTCGTGAGGCCGTTACGTTGTTCGTTGACCGCCTCTCCACCTGGAGCAGTCAAACAGTGCTCGGGCAAAGCGTCTCCCAGAAGTGGTGGTGGCTTGACGGGCAATAATTCATTTGCCGTTGTGTTCTAGGAAGTGATTCGTGACGCCCACGTACACACCGCAGTCCTCAGACAACTATCATCTCATAACCTCACGGTCTCTCATCAACGTCATCATCAGCCTTGATTCATCCACTGCTGGAGGATAGCACGGGCCCGTCCTCAACTTGCCGATAATCTCACACGATCCTGCGACAAGCGCTGATTGCATCACTCCATCTCGATCTACAGCCGATGTCCTCTCTGGCGCGTTCCATCCTTTGGCTGCCACTCCGTCCATTAGTCTTGCCCACCGGTCAGACGAAGCATATCGTACGGTACAACAATGGAATTTGCAATACTGCCCTCTGCTGTCTCAAGGATTAGACATTCAGCAGCCGATAACACCTGGTAGGCATGGCGGGGCGCCACTCGAAGCAATATCGAGGCTCACATTCTCGCGGAGCTTCCGATATTACGATGAGCAGTGCCGGATGATCCTCGCAGCAAAAGTAGCGACACGTGCTACGGGCCCCGCACTTTCAAGGGACCCGCGCTAAATGCTTTCAAGCTATCAATTCCGGTTCAGTGATTCTGCACTTGCTTTATTACTATAGTACTATAGCGCCTTCAACTTGTATGAACGACTGGGTGTTTAAGGTTAACGATTTGTCGTATTAACTGGTTGTACAGCAATTTAGAAAATACAATTACTTTGCTATGCAAGTAAAAAAAGAGTGTTTAAATATGTGTGTTTATTTATTTATTTACCTAGGGCCCCTTTATAACACATGCTACACAGCCCCGCACTAGCTTAATCCGGCACTGATGATGAGGCTGGGCGCATTGCGGGTGGTCTGGTCACACAGAGGCGGGTGAGCAGAAAGCCCTGGTGCAATAGAGAGAGAGAGGCATGTTGTACTAACATGGGTAACCCTGAGAATGCCTAGTGACGGCGTGGGACAGCAGGGGAGGGATGGTATATCAGGCTAAAGGCAAGGTTCTGGCTCTTTGACTTAAGCAAAATCCGTGCGCGGTGTTTGTTCAGTAATGGGAGCTTGCAATTGGTGACCTGACCGACGCATTATCCGGGAACATTCTCAAGGGCAAGATTATTTACAAAGGCTTGACCCCACGTGAACGTACAACCCCACTCAATTAGCGCGTCCAACATTCTCCGCCTCTGTGTGTCAATGCTTCTGTCTCTCGCAGCGTCTGTGCCTCGCTGTGCGCGTACAAAGGCATTCAATGAGTGGGGGGGTGGAGTGGTGGCGGAGTTGTTAGCGCACTGCGTAGCGAACACGAGGCGACACCTGAGATCGATTCCCGCTCACGACCAATAACAGTGGCGAATATTTGAACCGGATCTTAGCCTCCCCTTAGGTCGACTCAGCCTTAAACGAGTAGCTGGTGTGTAAGTATCACCACTGGGAATACAAAGGCGGCCGGGCGTGGTGCTGGCCAGCCACCCCCTCGTCTACCGTGCTCGCCCGCAAAGGTGCTCACTAAGAAGAGCACTTGCCCCAGCAGCCTGTCAAATGCTATACGGGAACCTTTGTCTTTGTTGCCACTTTACGTGTCCCTTTGCATATCTAACTCTCTCTACGTATCTCTTTGACCCTCAACGAAGACCCCGGTTCAGTGATTAACTGCTCCCAAGCGAGTTCAATAAAGAGCTGGGCTCAACGGAGACGTGGACACGAGAGTGGGACGGGGGGTAACTGTTGCAGGGACACTGGATCGCGAGTGGAGACTTTGGCCAGCAGACACCCAACACCTGCGCTGTCCCACTCCCCACTCGGGACTTCATTTTCCATAGAATGTTGTTCAGGGGGCTTTGCCTCCTAACCTACCCACCCTCCAAAACTCCCGGACTCCGACCCAGTCACAGAGCGCGGAGTAACACATTCCGGAGCGCAGCCTCGGGTAGCTCCGGATAAAATTAACTCCTCCTCCTGCACCCCCCCACCACCACCACCAGCAGCACCGCTCGTTCTCCACTCCCTCTCCTCCGCTGGGCGGCGTGGCCAAGGTTGATCGCGGAAGCAGGAAGAGCGCGCGGAGCGTCGCATGAGCAGCAGCAGCAGCATCTGTGGCAGTAACAGCGGCAGCAGCAAGGCCAGCAGTAGTTGCAGCAGCAGCAGCATCAGCAGCAGCAGAGAGGCGGGCGAGAGAGAGGGAAGGAAGGAGGGTGGAGAGTCGGGAGCTGTCGACGCACGCGGAACCGCGGGAGGCGCCCGGTGAGTGAGAGCGACGCGGACGTGATGGGGCTGTGATGGGGATGTGATGGGACTGTGATGTGATGGGGATGTGATGTGATGGGGCTGTGATGGGGATGTGATGGGGATGTGATGGGACTGTGATGTGATGTGATGGGGCTGTGATGGGGATGTGATGTACTGGGGATGTGATGGGGCTGAGATGGGGCTGTGATGTACCGGGGATGTGATGGGGCTGTGATGTACTGAGGCTGTGATGGGGCTGTGATGGGGATGTGATGGGGATGTGATGGGGATGTGATGGGGCTGTGATGTGATGGGGATGTGATGTACTGAGGATGTGATGGGGCTGAGATGTACTGAGGATGTGATGGGGCTGAGATGTACTGAGGATGTTATGGGGCTGAGATGTACTGAGGATGTGATGGGGCTGTGATGTACTGAGGATGTGATGGGGCTGAGATATACTGATGATGTGATGGGGCTGAGATGTACTGAGGATGTGATGGGGCTGTGATGTACTGGGGATGTGATGGGACTGTGATGGGACTGAGGATGTGATGAGGCTGTGATATACTGAGGATGTGATGGGGCTGTGATGTATTGGGGATGTGATGGGGCTGAGATGTGATGGGGCTGTGATGGGACTGAGATGTGATGGGACTGAGATGTACTGAGGATGTGATGGTGCTGAGATGTACTGGGGATGGGGCTGTGATGGAGCTGAGATGTGATGGTAATGAGAGGTGATGGGTACGGGATGTGATGGGGCTGAGATGTAATTGGGATGGAGATATGATAATGCTGAGATGTGATGGAGATGAATGTTGATGAGAATTGAATGTGATGGGGCTGAGATGTAATGGGGATGTGATCGGGCTGATGTGATGGGCATAAGAGGTGATGGATGGGGACTGGAGCTGATGAGGGTGGGATGTGATGGGGATGGGACTTGATGGGTCTGAAATGTGATGGAGATGAGAGTTGATGGGGATGAGAGATGATGGGCCTGGGATGTGATGGGGATGTGATAGGGCTCATCTGATGGGGTGTGGGATGGGGCTGAGATGTCATGGGCATAAGAGGTGATGGGGACGAGCTGATGGGGGTGGGACTTTATGGAGATGAGGGGTGATGGGGATGAGGGGTGATGGGGCTCGGATGTGATGGCGTTGAGATATGATGTGATGGGGGTGTGGATGGGATGTCATAAGAATGGGATATATGAAGGGGATATGACGTTGTGGAAGGTTATGTAAATGGTAGGTGGTGAGCTTTGGTGGTGCCAGGTGAGCTCCAGAAAGGTCGCCTTTGTGGGCCTCCTCAAACAGCCTCAACAAACACGTTTTGTGTTCTCAGCGACTCAACGTTTCGTATGGGGAGGGGATGCGAGAGGTGGTAATCTTGAGGGGATTGCCTCTGCGTGCCCTCCCTGTGTACGGTGCTTATCTCCAGTTCAGTGTGCCACTTCACGAGCTCCTAATAGCTTCCTCAAATTCGAGAAACACGCCCCCTGCTCTCACGGTCCCGTTTTTCCACTGTACAACCGAGCCGCGCCAGGGGCTGTTCCCAGCCCGCTGGTACAGCGCGGGAGGCTCCAGGTCTGTTTTTGCCACTGCACAGGCGAGATGTTAACTACCTCACCTGGTGCACAGGAGGTTGTGGGTTCGATCGTCGCCCTGATACCTGCTGTATATTTGGAGTTTGCGTGTTCTCGTGGGATTTTCTTCGGGTCCTCTGGTTTTCCCCTTCGCATTTAGAAAGGTGCGTTTAGAGTATTTGGCTGCTGTGAATGTCTTCATTATAAGCCGCTTCGTTGAGCTATCATTTGTAACCAGGTCGCTTCTGAAAAATAGCTACGTAGTTCAGTGTGCCTTACCTGGTAAAATAAATGTATTTATTTATTATGTAACACGCATTCAACAAGTTTCAAAACCATGTAGATGACGTGTTGATGTCCTCGCATTACCCCACCCCTGGCCCTGCTTGGCCCTGAGCCACATTCAGATGTCTTGTCGACTCTTGTGACGGCTCGCGCATCGCGTTCTGGTTCCAGCTCAGCTGGGTACCATGGTGGTGAAATGTTATCTCCCTCGCCTGCTATGCAGGAGGTTGTGAATTCTATCCCAACTGTGACGATGCCTGTTGTATATTTGAAGTATGTGTCTTTTCACTTCCCATAGTCACGTGTATTTTTCTCCGGGTCCTCCGGTTGTTCCCCCTCCACATTTAGAAACATGTATTTTGATTATTTGACTGCAATATATTCCCACATGCAATGAGCCACTCCTTTGAGCTATGATGTGTGGCCAGGTCGCTAAGTGGGCTTTAGCTGATAAAATACAATACTAAAAAATGCTTTCAAAAGTAGCATGGCAAATAACCAGTGGAAAAACCATTCGAGCCATGATAGCCCCATTCTGGTGTGGCTCACATCTGCCAGTGGGGTAATGTCTGCAGTGACAGTAAAAACGTCGTGAACGTGGCAGTGAGATGATGGGCAACTGATACTGCAGTGGTGTGGGCGTGCCCTCACCTGGGCTTACCTGGAAAGCAATTGTCGAGTGTCTGCCGTGTATCAGATGTCCGCCAACGCATACCTGTGCACAGACATCGTGTACGATCCAGAGCTGGTCTATGGGGTGCCGGTACTCAGGGCGGTTAGAGCAGGGGTGAGGAAGCTACGGCCCACGGCTCCGATACCGCCCAAATCCCAGATCCAGGCCATGGCCCACGTACGGCCCGCGATGTCATTTCATGCGGCGCACGGTCACGCAGGGCCTACCGTTTTGAAATGACCAGCCGATTATATTTATCGGTCACCGCCGAGGATCTACGGTCGAGTATATTTGATCTGGCAAGAGGATTGTATTTTCGATTTAAAGCTTTCGTGACTGCAGGGATTCATCTTCTTGGTTCTTTCGGTAAAGTCACGTAGTAGGGAAGTAATAAAATAATAAAAATAAAACATAATAAAATAATTCTCACGACGTTTCGGCCACAACGCAAGCAGCCGTCCTCAGGTGAAGAACATGTCTGTCGATAAGACAGTGACTTTACCGAAAGAACCAAGAGGATTGTGTTTCTAATTGTATCTCTGTCTGGTGACTTGTGTCACTGCAGTGGCCTCTTGTGGTGACAGCAGTGATGGAGGAAGTGTGTGCGTTCATGTGAAGCTTGCTCAAGGTGTCTAAAGTCCTCTTTGGCTCTCAATTCGTTAATGATCTCCCTCCCCTCGTTGTGGCTCACAGTTTCATATGGCAGGTAGAGCTTTGACAACATTTAAAATTAGTGTCACCTTGTAGGAAGTTAACATTGGTCGCACTGCCCCTGCCATGAGAATGTGGAATGTCCACCACTGACTCAGGCTGCCAGTGGAGACGAGTGCCACTGCTATATTAGTCATTCGAGTCGACTGAAATCTTACCGTGACCGAAAAGTGGGCCGTGTGTGATTTATCTCGCTAGTTTGGATCATTGTAATAGTTATTTTGCAATCGTTAACTGCGTAAATGTTAGCCTTTGCTATTTATTACAGAGACACAATCCGTGTCGTGACGACCTGGCCTTGTCGCACCCCGCCGGTGGCTAGAGCGCGTGCGAGATGCACGGCGAGTGCAGGGCGACGGCGCAGCGGAGGAGGGAGGAGGAGGAAGGAGGTGCAGCTCAGAGGTCGCAACCGGGTACCCGATACCTGTACCCTACCCGATACCCGGCTACCCGTACCTGGCCAGGTACGGGTACGGGTACCCGTTTGCGACCCTGGTGCGGCCGGGTACGGGTACGGGTAGGCCGTGAGTCACTGGTGAGTAACCGTTTGTCACTCATTTCGGGTAGGGTACGGGTACGGGTAGGGAACGGGTACCCGTATCCGGCTGGGTACGGGTACGGGTACCCATTTGCGACCCTGGTGTGGCCGGGTACGGGTACGGGTAAGGAATCAAAACCCATTTGCGATCTCTGGTGCAGCTGCACTGGAAAATTAGAGAAGGGTGAGGCTCGTTTCATTCCTTGCACCCAGGGCCCGTGCCAGCCACTGCTGCCAGGTTTAAAACCTCTACTTTGGTAGTTTCCTGGCCTCTCTAAGGTGCAGCCCAGGTCTGGGTGACCTCATAGTGACCATACCCCACGATGCCTCCTTTTGACCATTGTACAGTGTCCCTGTGAGGCCGATTTGCCACTCGTATTGTTGTATGTACTTTACACGTGTGTTCTGCTCACTGCGTATACCTGTTTGCTGAACCGGTACACAGTAGGCATTGTCGCCATCGATGCGTTTACAATGCGAGCTGTACAGTGGTCACCTGTAACTTGTAAACATTGGTTCAGATGGCAGTTTGTAGCAGAGCAGCCACCACCAACTGTATTCACCTTTATTTGGGATCATCGGTACAACACCGCCGAGCACCACCTTTCCCTGTGCCTAGTGGTTATTCCGGCAATGTCTTTGATTATATTATAGGAGCTGTCTGCTGAGAAGGGAGCCTGTCACGAACTAGGCCTACGTAACCCACATCGTTGTCAAACACATGGAGACGCATGACCTGTGAGCTCGCACCGATCTCATCCCCATGAGCGCCTGCCTCCTCCCCGCTGCGTCCGTTTCCCCCGCGGTCCCTTTGACGCCTCGCCGAGTAGGCGAGCGATCGGACTTGGCGATCAATTAGTGGAACGTGGTGCATGAGAGCCGTCGACCCGCACCAGCGATGCGATTAGAGAATCATTCCGTTGTTGTTGGCAGTGGTCCTTGTGCGCGTTCGGACCCGTGTCTCCGCTTGTTTAGTATTCGCCGCCGCCGCTGTGTTGGCACTTTCAAGGTGGACGCACGAAACAATGGCCCGGGGAAGAGCAGCTGTCCGCCGTGGTGCTCACCACCCTCGCAGGAGACGGAGACAGAATTCAGAACGCTGAGCGGCAGTCAGCAGGGACAGATCCCAGTTCTTTTTTTTCAGGTTAAATCACCAGCGGGTGATGGCTGTCGCATAGAAGCGATAATGACTGCCGGGTGGGTCGGAGAAGATG